TGGAAGCGATAATTATCATAATGTTTTAGAGAGTACTGCCCAATTGCTATAGTCTTAGAGCAAGTTCCTAGGTGGAAGATAAAGAAGGCTGACTGGGCACTTTTTAATCTTCACTCCACTTCATTATTTTATCTTCATTCTTTTACGTTTCCTGAAAATGCTAGGCGCTATCTCACTGGGCATATACTGAGGGGTGGTCAGCAGCCTGTTCCATCAACATCGGATCATGTATGGTCAAAATGTAAACCTTGGGGGAACGAGGAGTGTGTCGCAACCCTGGCATATCAAAACAAGGCGTAGGGAAGATTTCGCAGATATTCACATCACAGAATTTTGTAGGGATCAAGCGACGATAAGTCGAGGCTCGCTGGACTTGGAAGAAAGCAAAACGGTAATCGTGGGTAAAGTACAATCATTTTCTAACTAGTGTTGTTGCCGCCAAAGTGGCCTGAGACAAATATAGAAAGGTAATTGGAGACTACAGAGACTTTGCCTTTCCAACGTTTAATTTTTTTTATCATTAAAGGACACAGATAACATCCTCGGGGAACTTTTTTTATTATATAATTCATCTAGCTCGGCCAACTGCAGTGCTAACTTTGAGTAGTTTAGAGCTCGTGCGGAGCAACAAAAGCTAGTCATATTTGGAGAGACTTCAGCCTGTTATAACCAGCCATTTATGAAATGGGAACTTGAGATGGCTCTTAATAAAAAGAAAAAAAAAACCTTTAAGGTCCTGGGCCCGATAGGCTTCTCTATTAAATGCTTCGCAACCAGTCCACGCAATCCTTCGAAAACCTTCTCCTTTTCTTCAATTAGTTATGGCAAACGGGATGTTTCACCAAGGCTTCGAAACTTGCACACATTATTCCCTTTCTGAAATCTAATAAAGACCCCTCACTGCCGTCAAGTACCGCCCAGTCTGACTGACGAGCTGCCTCGGAGCATCTTTTCAAAGGCTGATAAACTGGCGACTAGTGTATGCATTAGAAAAACAGAGGGCCTTTTATATCAACTGGTGTAGATTCCACCGAGGTCGTTCCCCTCTCGACCACTTGATGCTCATAGAAAATGTGATACACGAGGCATCATTAAATGATCAGCACTGTGTTGCAGTTCTTTTATCGATTTGAGAAGGTGTATGATATAGCGTGGATATACGGGATTCTTCGAAATCTGTATGAATGTAACATCCGAGGTCGCATGTTGCACTGTGTATGCAAATATCTAACAGACAGACCTTTCAACTTCGTCTCGGCTGCGACCTATCTGATTCCTTCGGTCAGGAAAAATGAATTCAATCGCACGACTGCCACAACCTTCTATTTTACATAATATTTATGCTGGGTATACGGAGCTCGTCATTCGTTTGTAACCTTTCCAGCTGTAAGCGCGAGTTGCTGGTAGTCATCGAGAAACGTTCCCTGTGGGCTCCAAAGAATTGGTTTAGGTTCTTCGCAATTATAAAACAGTTTGTGTGGCATTTCGTATCGTCGGTCGTCGTTGGATCAGTCGCTGGAATTAAATGGAACTCCTGTACGTGCCAGGAAAGTCCACAGATTTCTTGGAGTGCCATTTGATACAAAGCTTAATTGGATTTCATATCTGAAACCTCTGAAAACAAAATGTCTTCGGTCTACAAACCTTCTGAAATTTCTACCTCACAACTCATCGTGTTCTCATAAAAATGCCTTCTACATTCAGTCAATCAGTCAGCGTTTATTTCAGCTTGAAACATAAACTGAGAGTGTCGTGAAAAAAGCAGAGTCGTCCACTGCTTGACGGGTATCGCCACCCTTACAAGTCAGCAGTGTAAGCTCGCGATAAATAAATAACAAATAAAATAAAATGTATATTGAAGTACACGTAGTTCTGTGCGTATTTCGCACAACCTACATAAGGTTGAAATACAGACAAATTATAGAAAAGCGATACGAAGGACAGAAGAAGATATTTCACTCAGATGATCATATAGATGCGCTAACAAAAATTTAGGCAATATGACTTAACAGAGTAAAGCTATAGTCCGTTTTACATCTTGGTAAAAAACAATGTGTTTTTTCCCTGGTCTTATAAGGCGTATTGTGAGGCAGAGTAGAAACAATATGTAAAATAAAATGATAATTTTTCGCTATAAAACATTTTCAAAACACGCAAATTTATATTCTAATAAATTATATGCAGACACAATTTGAAACTGCAAGTGGGCCTGCCCTGTTGGGGAATTATATGGAGCTTTCTTAATAGCACGTAATATTTTCTTTTGCAGGATCAGGAGATTCTGTGTATTGGATGCTGTGGTAGTACCCCAGAAAAAATAACCGTAGCTTAAATACAAATAAAAAAAGCGCAATACAAAGTATGTCTAGTTTCTTTTAGGTAGAATATGCCTATCTCGTGAGGTAATTCCAACAACCTTAGAAAGGGCAAGAAAGATTTCGTTTGTGTAGTCGTTCCATGTCATCGCTGCAGTAAGACTAACACCGAGAGATCTAAAAGTTTCCACGGACTGGATGACGGTACGACTCAAAACTAAGGGCTGTAGGTGCATTACATGTTTTCTTTTGGGATGAAATTTTACAGCTTTAGTTTTCTCTGTGTTCATTTGAAACGAGTCGACTAATGATCACCGCGCTGAAAATGTCAATATTCGGTTAGCTGTGCCAGTTAGTTGTTCAACGTCGGAGGAGGAAAAGAAAAGACTGGTATCGTCAGCGTATATAACGTATTCTGGAAGAGTACTAATATTGGAAATGAAATGAAAACCGTTGTGCAGTCCCTTTGTAAGATCGTGTGTTGACTATTGTGCGGTAGAATATGAATCGGCCCGACCATCTTCACTGAGGATGTTGGATCCGGTTCACCATCTTGGCTTAAGACTAGCAGCCGGAGCTTTGCGGACGTCCTTCTCGGTTTGCATGCAGAATCTAACGGACTATCACTGACCGAGTGACGTACATATCAAAGCCGAATATATGCCTACAAGATTCTGGCTGACCGTTAACATCCGACTTACTCTTCTTTTACAAGGTTGAGGTTTTCTCGTCTCTAACAATAAGCCAATCATCGTGATTTCATTAAGCTCCTGCATTCAGCATCTTTGTACTTCGCTGCATGCTTCACTGGACCAGGTCTGCCGCGTTTGTAAAGCCGACGGTGACATTACTCTCTGGAGGTCACAGCCAGTGGCTTGTGACTTGTCTTTCAAAATTTGACAGAACTGAATTTTCCCACTCTAATTGAGCAAGATCATCGTGAAGTACAAATCAAGTACGATGGTTATCTTCATACTTATACATATATCGCCAAGACTTTATCTTTTGTTTGTTGCGCTGTGTATTCAGAACGCGCGTGTCGAAAATTAAGCGAGTTAATTCGATTGCCAGCATTTTACTACAGTACACTATACAGTATCAATAGCGTTTGACTACATTATTCAGAAGAAAATATTCAGGGCTGGTTTGTTTGTTGATTCTCAAAGTTCAATTATTTCAATTTGCTTTCTCAAAAATACTAAAACATGCTTGTACGAAAAATTTAATGTAAACTGGTGCCAGTATTTTAATAAGCACTTCTAGTAGTAAACGGAATAGAAAAAACATGAGTTCGGTTGCCCAGCTGCCATGGCGGAGACGTGCGTTTGTCTCGCGATGCTCGGGCCTTGTGTACTTGCTCGCGCTGTCTTCGCAACGCGCGAGCAATGACATAACATAAACTCAACGTTAATGCTTAAAGAGGACATAAGTTAAACTCAACCTTGCTCTGCAGGAGGGTCAAAGATAAGGTTTGGTCGGGTTCTTAGTCACGTTGACGTAGAAGGAAACGATAAGGCCGACAGTATAAATATTGAAAACACCACAAAACACAAGGTTGGACAAGAGGTCCTCGGGTCTTATGTTTTTCCCATTATATATATTATCCTGACCAGCACGCTCTTCATTCCAAATATGGCCGATTGTCCTGCAGGGTCTGCGGGTAACCTTTTCCAATCATTTTCCTGGACATGAAGCACGGAAAAATGCTCCATGTTACTAAGCCTGCTCTTAGGGCCTGGGAAAGCTCTTCATGCAAGAGTCAATTTCATAAAACTTTGGTGTGCCTCCTCAGAATAGAACAATGTTTTATCACTCATAGGTACCTGTTTTGGGGCAAAGACCATCGATTGGTGATCAATGTGGCGCTACCCTTGCTGTCATACCTTGTTGCTCTGTCCCGGTCTAGAGCCAAAGAGTCGCAGTCATTTTGCTGCATTTTTTTAGGCAATAGATCTCATTTCATTTTGGCTCTCCTGCTGGGGCGGCATCCCGTAGTTATTTTTAACCGAGTAATAGACTTTCTTAACTAGCATTTACCTTTGACACGAACTCTTGCTTTACGAAGCTTGAGGTTGAACTTTCAAGCAACCCTTGCCGAAGTTGGAACAAAAGTGTTTCTTGATTGTTCACTTATTGTGGCGCAATTGGCCTTGTAGCTCTTGCGCTATGAACTTCCAAAATCAGTCAACCAAGGCGCTGACATCGACGTTGTCTTGCTGGTAGTTAGCGAAATTTTTCACCATCCCGCACACTTTTCTTAAGCTCCATAAAAATTAGACACACAAAATTTACCTTGGTGGAAACAACACGATAGGATGTTTCGAAACACGCGCAACAACTTTGTATCGGAGGGTTTGCACACTAGAAATCTTTGTTGCTTACTCTACACCACAGATGCGTAATTTTAAGGGTCACAAACTAGCCAACTGGCCATGGGTTTATCTGGTTTTTCATTATCATGCATACATTAGGTATTCCTGCTAATATAGCGAATTAAAATTGAATTGAAAGCTTGCGGTAAGATTGCGAACCACTCAAATTCCAGCTTTGACTGCCGTAGGGATCTGACGCCCACATTTAGCAAGAACTGATGTATAGTAGTAAATTTACATTCCTAGAGTCTTCAGCTTATAGAATCCTGCGCTGCAGCGTTAATGTCATGATCGCAAAACATCCCTTGCGCAGCACCGGTGGACGGCTCTTGCGACTTCGACTGGGGAAACGCCTGCGGTTACAGTGTATCTCATCAGTCGAAAGATTGGGCGCTGAATCACTGGACTGCTGTTCCTGAACCAACACTTGGTTCCCTCAGACCCCGAGATGTTACCGTAGGTTCCTTTGAAGGTGAGTTATCCAAGTTCCTCACATTTTTAAGACGTGATAAAACTATAAATGACAAATAGACACTGACTGTCCGTTCGATTTCCGAGAAAGTTGAACTGAGGGCGGCTGGTAAACATCTTTAATTTACCTGATATTTTTCCTTGTCACTGACTAATCTATAAGATAAACAATCAATGACTTCTTTACGACGGAAAGAAAATCTTGGGTCCTAAAAATTGTGAACAAAGAAGAGGTTGATACTCGCATTGGCTATGGGCGGTGGCGGTGTAGTAAATATCTCGAGTAGTGATATAAGAAGAAGCTCTATAATTTTAGACACAATGTATGAATGCGAGATTGTTGCCCTGAATAATATTAGTCTTTAGTTACGTTACCTATATTTTATAAAAAAAAAACTCAAACATGACACCTTGCGCGATTGTGTGCGAACGTTGCAGGCTTGTATCGTACAAAATGTTTTTTTGAAGTGCGTGAAATTCGCATAGAATATGTTTGTGTCACACAGCTGTAAAATGATATAACTATCAAATATTTGCATAAAACGTTTATTAATTCTAATTTTTGTTCATTTAGAATGCAAACGCTTAAAAATGAATATGTGCGGCAAATAGATTTCATGTGTGCGGAGCGCCTACAAATTTGAGCTTGCATCAATTTTCTAGTGCCTAATTGGAAACATTTTTTATGCCTGCATTTCATTTCAAATTTACTTTTAAAAGAACGCCTGGGTATTCGTGTTCCTGTAATCATTATAAAGGCATCACCCCAACACTATCCTGGTAGTTTCGTATCGTGTTCATGTTTAACATTTAAACATGAAACATTTTTTGCTTTGTCGGGGGGGGGGGGGTGGGGGGCGGTCCGAACACTTTGTGAAACCACCGATTTTCTAGATGCTGATTGACCGAGTCAGACGACGGGGGATAACCATCGCTGTAAGGAAACGTTCGAGCCAGGCGGGAAACAAACCATACCATTTTGATGATTAAATGACTGCCTTTCCGTCCTGTCACTTCTCATTGTCGTGAGTTGAGGTGCCCTTTTCCGGGAAAGGCCCTGGGGAGCATCTGCTCTGCGTCTGGCAGGCAGCTAATTGCCTCGGTCACACGTTTTTAGAATCCAGGAATAGCTCCGGTATTTCCATTCCAGGAATTGCTATCGAGTAAACCGGCCACGTCGATAAACTAACCGATGAAGATCTTCGAGAGTATAAATGCCACACATTTCACCGTGCAACATGATTGCCCAACATTTGTTATGCATTTTTTGTTTATTTCCATTTGCCAGTTGTCACAACCTGCTCTGGCCTCTGGGCTACCCGTATATTAACATTTAAAAAAAATATAGATATATATTTGGAATCACTAGTGATTGACGATTCACACGGAATTTCGCAAGTACTGTTTGTAATAAACACTTACTTACTTGAAGTTCGTGTTTTTGTTCTTGGCAGGTGGCTTCGCAATTTACAAACGCAGTTTGTGGGTCAAATCTTCGGCTGTGATGAGCTCACCTAAACTGAAAGGTCTCGGCGGCAAGCAGTGCCTGAGGTTCTACTACTTCATGCCGACATATCCCTCCATCATGGGGAATGACAACCATACCCTCGAGGTCTCCATGTTGGGTGAGATTTGCAATTTCCGGCATGCCCACGGGTTGTTAATGAGGCACAATGTTTTTATGCACAACTTAATGCAAGCGTTGTATTATAACCTTGGGAAAGTGCTGGAATTTGATTTTCGGAGATTATTGTCGTACTGCGTGCGGAGGGTTGTGCCGTATTATTCACGAAAGCACTGCTGTGCTAATTACGGCAAGCGCAGGCTTACATTTTGTGCTAACTCGGTCCGTATGACTACGGCAGAGCTAATAGAAGACGCAGGCGAGCTGGTAAGTGACATCCATAGTAACCCTGAGACGTAGGAACAATAAGATAAACGGACAGAACAACGAAGTCTCCAACACAGCTTGAAATTTATTGATCAACCATCGCCTTATATACAAGTCCCATATCTCTTTCACAATTCGAACGTCGAGTTTAACGACAAGGTGGGTGAGGAGGTTGTTGGATTTGTGAAAGAGGTCTGCGACTTGTATATAAGGCGATGGTTGTTCAATAAATTTCAAGCTGCGTTAGAAACCTCGTTCTGTCCGTTTTTTATTGTTCCTACGTCTTAGGGCTACCATGGATAACTATGGTACGCTCTACACTTTCTGGTTTTAACGAAAAACATATAAATATCCGCAGGTGACAAACATACAAATTGGTTAAGTCTGAAAAACATACGTGGTAGCATATTTTCACCGCGATTAAAACAGAAAAAAAACACCGGTCGTTGAAAGCTTCCGCCCAAGGCACGGCTATTTTCTTTGAAACTCCTCCGCCATTCATGTTCGCCAAACGTGCTATTTCATGGATCCAGCAACCCTCCCCTGTCTATTCAGAAGTTGCTGCGGTTTTCAGAGAGACACTGCCAACATCAGTGTTGTCTTGGGCGACTGACTTTGGAGAATGCGTCTCCTCGCCTGGGAAACGGAGAGGCCTTGATTGCTTTCCGTTTAGTTTTCAAGGGCTTTCGGTTAGGTTAGGTGTCACGCTGTCTTGGATTCGCTGGAACTGTTTCACTCTTTTGGATAGGAGGGGGGGGGGGTTTGATAGGAGGAGGGGTTCACAATAAAATGCTGATTCCGTGCGTTTCTATCCTCGATATTAAATAACATAAACAGAACTAGGAAACGAGACGAATCTGTGGATAATGTGTTGGCTATGTTGAGACTGAAGTGTGTGCTGCGGCTACAAAAAACTGTCTTCAAGATTTTATGTACCCATCGCGCCACTTGAAAATAAGGAAACTCAGTTACGTTTCCAGTTGCAGCATTTATTCACACTAAGGATGTTCATAACCTAATTTTTCTTTTTGTTGATAATCCCCGTTTTTAGCGTCGTCGCGAGTCATCCAACCGAAACAAACCAGTGTTTAAAAAAGTTACCAAGTTAATTAAAACATTCGCCTATCTTTCTCGTGATAAACACCGGAAAATACACACCCTACGGATAACTTATATAAAGTACTGACCGATATTTTATGGGAGGTGTTGGGGTCTAACTTAGGGAAAATATTGCTGTATAGCACACGAAAGTGTCTCTGTAGAGGGTGCTTTCACGTGACGTCCTTACTAAATAACTGGTTTGAGTTGAGCTAGTGGGTACATGTCTATGAGAAACAGCTTGAACACTAAACATTTACACACAGACAGGACAGGACAAACACGGAGCTGACTATCAACTATTTATTACTTCTTCCTCTACCTCCTCTTCCCCTTAGTCCCTCTGAGCATCCTTCGATTGCGAAATAAGATGCACGTTTATTTTCGGTTCGATTTCGATTTTGAGTCGTACTTACGGCTCGAAATCTCACCGGACACCATGTTGATGAACTTCGGCCCTGTCCTTTTATAAATGTTGAGGCAGTGTTTTCCAGATTGGTTAAGATCTTTCGCATCGTGATCGACTGCGCCAGCCAGAATAGTCTAAGACACAAAAAATATAGGCTGGAACTCAGTGTTTAGGTATGCAGGTCTTTATTCAGACTTTAGACGAGCCGGCGATCATCAAGTCAACCCATCGGCGGCCAAAAATTGGCGCGATTGATGCCGCCGGGTTGACTCCGAAAGGCAAACAAGCAAAATTACGTGTTTCTTTTTCAACCCAGAAACGTCCCCAGTCATACTTATTGAGTTCTGTAGTTAACCACATGCCATGCTTGCGCGTTTCGTGAACACCAAAAGCAAGGTTAGTAAATTATCGTCTACATACAAACTAATGAGGGAAGTGGCAGACGCTGTCCATCCACATGGCAGAGCACACTTCACAGGATGCCAAAAGGCATTTCGTGAAAATGCCTCATGTGCTTCCTGTAACATAGTTTGTAGCATATATACTTGTTCCTGGTTACCGTGCCTCGGAATAGAACATGGTGGGAATGTCTCGAGCTTCTTGGCTGGTAAAGGGAGAGCGTCCCATTTCGTCTGAATGCATACTTTTGACGTGACTGAATTAGGCTGAGCACAAAATGTAGGGTTGTGCGTTTTTCGGTAGTGCCACATATACTAATTTTTTCCCATTGCCCATAAATCTCCCATATTTCTGAGACAATCGTCCGAACATTGTGTATATAGTGTATACAGAAGCAAATTTCACCTAAAAGAAACGTTTTAAATCGCAGGTCTTAGGCGCCCGTTTCCGGCTTGAGCGGCGTCGCCGTCGCCGTAACCGTGCGGTGCTTTTATAGGACGCGTCACGCCACTGGTGGCGCCACTGATGACGTCATTGACGGCGATGACGTCATTAGGGACGATGACGATGGCGATGATGAAATCATCATCACTGACGATGGCGTCATCAGTGACATTGATGATGATGTATACACAATGACGTCAGAGGACGTCACACGTGACATCAATAATGCGTCACACGTGACGTCACTAATGTGTCACACGTGACGTCACTGGTGATGTCTAGTGATGGGACGAATCACCGGAGATTCGGATTCGGACTGATTCGGAAATTTCCGAACTTCCCGTGACGAGTATTCGGCAGATTCGGAGATTCGTCCGATTCGTCGCTGGTTGAAGACGGCAGCGTGAATCTTGTCGTAAAGCTCGTCAACGCGGTTAATTGTGTTTCTTTTTAGGTACTGTTATTGAATATAACCAGACTTCGTCTCGTTTATTTCAACGTAATGATATGTACTGTACTGTCATTCTAAACCCTGGCACACGCCCAGATCCAGCTGAGCTGATCGGTGTGGTTGACGTAGGCCTAACCAACGCACGGTCTCAGTTTCTGTGTGGTTTTGTGGTGATCGGTAAAATGTAGCGAAATGCTGCGTATTATACATAATGTGACGCAACGCACAATAAGCATATTCAGACCAGGAAATTATCCGTCTCCTTCTCTAGAGCTGCGCATGTCTGTACCTGTAAGGCGCGAGAGCGAGGTGAATGTTGCTCGTCACAACTTCGACCGCGTACCGGCACGGTGGCGAAGAAAAACGTCGCTAATTCGCACCTTCGCTTCTCCGTCCACGGCAGCAAGTTATGTGTACGTGAACTTTATTTGGTGAAAAAGAAACACAACACAGGGGTTTCCAACGCGGAAACAAACACCACTAAATCAGATATCATTAACCAGAAAGGTACAAATGCTGTGCGGGAGATTAATAGGACGGCGCAAGGAGTTTCAGGTAGTTTCCCGCGTTCCGATAAGAATACCTCAGTGGATACACGTTGGCGATAATCAATCCGAACATACTCACTTGTGTGGTGTGTGCCAGTATAACCGTAATTATGGACATAAAATGTGTCTGTACCGAACAGCACGTACGGCATCGATCTTTTGCGGCGATGAAAACATGCACTTTTACTTCCACGTGCCCCAAGCATGCCTATTTTGGTCGCCATCCGAAACCGAAACCAATTTTCCCGCGATACCAGCGGTACCGTTCGACAAACATCCAAAATAATATAAACAAAGCGTGACATTTTATTTATTACTATGATCTTTAATTACAATATTATTTTGTGCACTTTGCAGAATTTAGTGAATTCGATATTACAAAAATTGAAACATTCATCAACGTGATCTGGCCACCATGGCAACGCTCCAAATCTTTCCGAACTTTTCCGAATCGCTTGAGATTCGGCTACTCTTCCGAATCTTTCCGAATCTCGAGATTTGGCTCCGAATCTCGATTCGGATAAAGATTCGTCCCATCACTAAATGTCACTGATCCCGTCATCCCGATACTGATGACAATGACGTCATCGTAAGGACGTCATCGTCATCGTCACGTGACTTCACAGGGGTCACGTGACAACCGTGAGGTCACGTGACTCTCGTGAGGTGGCTTCGACGCCGCTCGGAGGGAAGAGTAGCCGACAGGATGAGAAGGTGAGGAGGAGGCAGGAGGAATATACCCTCCCCTCAGTTCCCTTCCCTCCTCCTCCTCAAGAGCTGCGCTCTAATTCGGCGTTACAGGGAGTTGTAAGCGGCTTTCATTTCTTTCTTTAGATATTTCACAGCGGTGCATAGTCGCGATGTGAAAAGCATTGCATATGCGTCATACCTTAGAAAAGGCCAACTTTATTAGCACACAAGCAAGCTTGTACTGCAGAAAACGCATGATATACATAATCTGCCATTCACCAAATCTGGCGTACGTACCATCATAATGGAAGATATTGGAAAACAAAAAAAACGTGTATCGTCCACCCCTGTAGATAGCCCGCACTGCATAAAATGTTAACGTTTAAACCTGTGTAGTCTATGGGTTGTGGTCTTGAAAATACGGTATCATTCATTAAGTAATCTGACAGGTTTGCTTGAACTGAACCGTTTGCAAGATTCTAAAATCCATTGGTTTCACGGCCGCGATTTTTTCGAATTGAAAACCGGGGTCATATTTGCGACCATTAAGTTTTGCGAATCTTGAAAGCTGGAATTAGACCCTCTAGTCACTAGTAATATTCGCCCCCTGTAAAGTTTGCTAACTTTCGAGTCGTGAAATTCGCGAAAATTATGGCTCGCTTACATTAGGTTACAGTATTGCTCATAGTATGGAAAGTACAGGTATGTGAATTGAGCTCATTAAATTTGTATAATCTTTCAGGTGGTGACAAAAAGAGTATACTTCTCTGGAAGCGATCGAACTCAGCTCTCCTGTCTGATGAATGGGTCCAGGCTGAAGTATCGTTTAACGCCAAAAGCACTTTTCAGGTTTGCAGTTGAACAATCATCCTCTTCTTCACTGTTATACAAACATGCTTGGTTTCAATGACATTGCAGAGTTTCACTGCTGTAATTATTACCATAAATATTAATTTTTCATAAGGTTTCAGATGGGCATTTGCAAGGGAATGGCTGTGCAATAATCTTCGAATTAGTAGGTCTGATGAAGAGTAACAAAATACATTGCTCACCAAACTTGCTGTAAAATCCCATACCGGTACCCATCTGTCTGAAGAGGTCAACGGTGAAAGATATTGGGTGAGCAATCCTCGGGGATGTGACAGGAAAAGATTAGAAAAAATGATCGACAAACATCAGTGGAATTAACACGGGAGACAGTACCGCAGATCACAGGCACGGCAAACTTGAAGAAAATTCAAATCTGTGACATGAAATGAGTGCGTTAGGAAGTGATGAGTTTATAAATTGAGAAGAGAGAATAAAATTACAAGCATCCCCCGAGGAGAGTCGAACCCAGAACCCCAAGTGTTTCAGCTAGACGCTTTATTATTGTGCAAAGGAAGAGACCTGGCATGGCGGCAGTTGTTACGTGCCGTTTGATGATGCAGCTACCTATTATTGGGTATTTTGCAATTTTTAGAGCGCAGCTCTTAGGGGCCCGTTCCCGGCTTGAGCGGCGTCGCCGTCAGCGTCGGCGTCGCCGTCGCCGTCGGCGTCGGCGTCGGCGTAACCAAGGTCATCCCAAGGTCACGTGACCCCCAAGGTCACGTGACCCCTCCCAAGGTCATCTCAAGGTCACGTGACCCCACGTGACCCCATGAAAGTCACGTGACCCCTCGAGGTCACGTGACCCCTTCCAAGGTCATCTCAAGGTCACGTGACCCCAAGATGACCCCACGTGACCCTTTGAAGGTCACGTGACCCCCAAGTCACGTGACCCCTCTGAGGTCACGTGGCCCCCGAGGTCACGTGGTCGCCTCCCCAAGGTCACGTGACCCCCGAGGTCACGTGACCCCTTCCAAGGTCATCTCAAGGTCACGTGACCCCACGTGACCCCCAGGTCACGTGACCCCTCTGAGGTCACGTGACCCCTCCAGGTCACGTGACCGAGGTCACGTGACCCCCTCCCCGAAGTCACGTGACACCCCCCCCCGGAGCATATTAATGAATGAGGGGAGGAGGAGGAGAAGGGGGAGGGGGCTACCCTCCCCTCAGTACCCTTCACTCCTCCGCCTCAAGAGCTGCGCTCCAATTCGGCGTTACAGGGATTTGTAAACGGCTTTCACTTTTTTTGGGCGGAACATAGTCTTCATAAAAGAAAACAAGTAATGCGATTCATATATTTAATATAGTCTGAAGCGAAGCACTGCAAAAATACAGTATCTTATTTTTAAATTTCTAGTATTTGCACACACAACTACGCGCACCGTTGTGCATCTTGATGTGAATGTAAATTGACAACAGGTTAAGAGTTCAGTGCCATTCTGTTATGTTTAACAGCTGAACTTCAACTGCTCTATTGACAATGGATTACACCCGGGCTTCTACTGCGCCGTTGATGCCGTGCAACTGTCCGATTGCACCCGTCCCAAAGGTAGGTTACAGTCACAAAATTGCTAATTATGTCTTTGTGTATTTCACGTAGGGTCATACAGTATGTGCATCTGCACCCTCTTCGGCTATAATTCTCGGTAAATAGCTCTGTGAAAACACATCGCAGTGCAATAGAAAAGGTATTGTTTTAGTCTCGCATTTCGGTAGCTTTGGTAGTGCGAAAGCGAGACTAAGATGGCGAAGGGTGCAGAAAGCCTGAAGAACACTAACCCCGAAGGCTGAGCAGTGTGACAGACTGGCCTGATCTTGGGGACGCTGAAACGTCTTGATTTGAATTTGCAGGTCAGTACAGACAGGAGTGTGATTTTGAGCAAGGACTCTGCAGCTGGCGTAATGTCAGGGATCGGTTTAACAAGCTCCTTCCTTGGGTGGTCCATGGCGGCTCAATCAAGTCGACATTGCGGCATCCCAGCGTCGACCACACCCATGGGAACAGAACAGGTGAGTGTTGAATCTCGTTTTAGCCAAGTCTCATTTTAGCCGGGTCCCATTGCAATCGAGTCCGAGCCTAGGCCACCCCCTGGTCCTAGCCCAGTCCCATTCTAGCCCAGTCCTAATCTAGCCAAGTTTTATTCTAGTCAAGTCGCATTTTAGTCAAGTCACATGTTAGCCCAGTCTCAATCTAGCCAAGTTTCATTCTAGTAAAGTCCCATTTTAATCAACTCCCATTCCAGTCAAATCTCAGTTTAGCAAAGTCATGTTATAGCCGAGTCCTATCTCAGTCGAGTTAAATTGTATCAACTCTGGCGCCATGTAGAGTTGCATCTTTCCGGAAGAGGTGCTGACAAGATGTTGGCTTTAAGTGCACTCCAAGGATTATTTTTAGAGATGAATGGCGTGATTAATTTTCCTGTGAGACGATGCTACATCTTCTCAGGTGGCAAAAAGAAAAGAGCTCTTTTGGCATACCCAAGTGGTGTTCAATTGAGCTCGTCCCTTCAAAAACGTTCTTTGGTGATTTCTCTGTGACTCTCAGGCATGCAAAATGTTGACAACATTCTGTGTATTTGTGGACGTTCAGTTGCTCATCTCTGGAAGTTGCTCAACGCCTTCGAGGCTATTAAGAAGAACCTCTCAATTACACTTTATACAGGCTGTTTTGCGCCAGAGTGACAATATTTAAGAAAAAGGCAGCAACCATTTCGACGTTTACGCTCATAACATTTTAAGTATTAGTGTGGCATCCGGGACGCCACTTCCTAAAGAAGTTAACATATTTCCAAAATGATTTTGGCGTGCGCCGTCAAAGATATTTGTATTTTATTTGGACACCTACAATTTACAAGTTTGGAGCCTTCAAAGTTTGAACCAGAAAACGATCGAAAATGTCAGTCAAACAAATATCACCTTTTTAACAGGCGGCGTCGCTGTTAACTGTCAACTGCAATTTTTATAACCTTTTAGGTCATGTGGGAAAAAAAGAAAACAACCTTGTAAGTACTATAATTAAAAACAAAACAGCGCTAAGACCAGGACAAAGTAAAATGTAACAGCTGTGTCCTATCGGTTATCTTGTACTTTGTCGTCGTCTTTGCGCTGTTTTGTTTCTAATTATGCATGCCTGCGCACCAACTAGCCCAACCTTAAACGCTAGCAAGGAATATCGGCTATCAGGCCGTACGTAACATTTACTTTTTTCTGCTAAACATTACTGAATGCGGCACCTTTGCTTTTCATGATTTATTTCTCATGCTTTATATATATATAAACAAATGAGCTGAATCATGTGTCATAAAATTTGCAGCTGATTGGACGACATTTGCTGTCGGAAAATGCCTGCATTTTTTACCCTACGGCGCAGACCGCAATAATAAGCTGGTTTGCTCGGTGCGTCAGAGCCTTCGTTGTTCATTCGCAACGATCAAGGAACATCAAGCAGGCAATGTTTCCGTGCAAAACATCTATTAATACATTAGTATTAGTACCCGCATGACAGGGAAAAGCTGACGGCGTCCGTCAGTGAACAAAGCAGTGGAAAGAGAAGCGCGCTGCATAGAGAGGAGGAGAGTATAGAAGTACAAAGGCGAGAGGGAGGTGACGTCACGAGGCAAAATCCAATCGGCGCGCGGCGCGGGAAGTCGAGAGAAGGGCGACGTCACGGGGCGGAAGCCAATGCGCGAACCGATGCTGCGGCGAGTCTGAACTTGCAGGTGTGTGGAGCGCTTATGCCTTCGTTTGTGCTACAAAATGGAGTGTGAAACAAGTACACTCTTAGAAGAAAAGGGTATCGATAGTCTTCCCTTAGGGGAGGAACGGTCTTGTAACCTATGTTTCTTTAGAAAGGGAGAAACTTTCGTCCCTCAAGCAGGGGAGCAACTAGTTCCTCCGTCGCCTACATCTCATTATGGCTGCCCTAAATCGAGCAAATCGAGCTCAATAAGTCTTAGCGAGGACGCTACGTCTCTTGTACGGGACGAGAGGAGCAGAAAATAAAAGCGTAACACGAGCTTTGCGCGAACTGTGCTTATTTCCGAAGCCAGATTCCCCCTACAGGTACAGAAACTTGGGTTTCAAAAGCAGTTACTCAGTCTTCTCGTCTACAGCACTGCGATGTTAAACGGAGATAACCGATACCCAGTTACTTCGCGCACTTTGCGTCTTATCTTTGGAGTTCCTCGAGTTACAATTCCTTCGTCAACCGCACATCACGGAGCACTGGCAAACTAAATGCGCGAAACCAGAAGCCGTCCTCAAAAGAAAGAACTCGAAGCCGCTGCCATGGGAAGCTCCTTTTTTAAGCGCGTGGTATCTAGAAGTTTCTGAGCTCGAGCAAAAAACAAAATTTTCGAGTCATCTTGAATATTGAAGTAATTCAAACATAAGAAAGATTAGAATGGCAGGCGCTGGCGGAGAATAAATCCCAGCCAAAGAAGCACGCTGCTGACTCAGCTATTCGCATGTGGCAATATTGTCTGCAGTAGTGCTTCGGCATACGCTGACATAGTAGAAATTTTGTCTGTGTGTTATTTTATATTTCAAATCTTTGCGCTGTTGTCGGTGCTGCTTAGACCTTAAAAGGGGCTGCATTACTATAATATTAAAAAAATACTGCACTGCCTTAATTTGGAGCATCTTAGAGAGTCCAGGCATCAGCAAACTATCTAAGTTGCAGATTCCTAACTCACTGTAAATACAAAACTCTTGTGCAACTGTTTTTGGCCACTTCATGACCCTCATTGTTGTTTTGTGATTCTGTTTCAGGTTCTTACCTTTACATCAGCACTTACAACTCTCTGAAGGGAGCCGAGGCGCAGCTTCTCAGCGACATTGTTATTTCGGACGTCAAGACGACGCACTGCATGAGCTTCTGGTACATAGTCGCCGGAGACAAAAGCGGTAGACTGAGGGTAGGTTTTTGCAAGTTACTTTTTGCTTTCTGTTCACTTCAGCTTCACTGGTGGATGAGTCGATTGATTAATGAATACATATTAAATTTTTTTGAATAACACATCCATTGTTTTATTGCTTGCCACGATATGTACACAAACCTCGGCACCATGACAGCGGGACGTCAGGAACTCATAGTGTAAGACAATGTTACTTCAGATGAAAAAGTATCACGTGAAATGAAATCATGTGACGGAATAATGTGACCATACGTCATGTTACGCTGCCATTGATAAACAATATTTGAATATATTGTCAGTTTGACATCATGACAATAGATGACATGACTTCGCGCCATGCGTGACATAACATGTTATGTAACATCATGATATTACATGGTACCACGACTTACTAACAAGATGTCACGTGATGTTTGATCTCTTAAAGCAAATCTGAATTTTCACTTTTTAAATGTTGCATTCTATTTATCATAGGACTTCGTAGATAAAGATCATTGAGTTTCTGATATGTAATTCTTTTGTTGCAAGAGCCTGCACATATGTCGAAGGTCAAATTTGTTGTACAAATGATTAAAAAGCAGGAGGCCAGTCTGCCCTCAACGCGTCTTCGTTTTCTTCTGAAGACATTTGCTGCCTGGCCGTGCAAGAACTCAGTCTTTTAACATGCATTTTAAAGCCATGATTTTGCAGCAGTACAAGCTGGTGCAACAGTCATTCATATGAACTGGTGGAATTTACACCCGAACTCGCAGTGTTCAAGTAATATTTTTGCATTTCTCTGCATCAGAGTTCTCGAGACTTTTATCATGCATGCCACTGTTCGTATTTTCTCGTATGTTTGATGCCATTTCCTTCTACAAGTTAACTAACTGCCTCAGGGCACTGATTAGCAAGCGCAGTACATTTAGTTTAGTCAAACATAGGACGAGATAAATCTGTGTGGTAAACACATGATTGCGCTTTGGAGTGCCATCCGAGGAATAAATGATTACTCTCAGAATGCGCACGATTACAAGCGGTTCTGCTGTCTCCTACTCTGCCCGTCCAGCCTAACCAGAAAATGATGCACAACCACACCTTTTATATGGTACACGCTGATCACGAAGGAACGTTTCATGCAGAGACAGGAAAGGCAAACACAGCGAAACCAGTAGTGTGTTGTCTTTTCTGTCTCTCTCTGTATGACCTTCCTTTATGTTCAGCTGGCAGCTTATATAAGCAATGAACCGACTAGCTCAGTGTCAAGCCGTCACAACCACACCGAATTTATTGACGCCTCTTTGGTGCATTTTGTTCAGCTATTATACTGTAAACAACTTCAAAGTTTGGCGAATTTCACGGCCTTAATAGCATAGCGAAAAATAGGTATTCCGAATATGTTTTCCTATGGTAACAAATACGCACAGTACCGCCCTTAATCACGAAATGTGCCCGCGAAATATTGTTGTAACACACATTGGCAAATGTACGAAATACTAAGCCTGCGTAAATAATGGTGTTTACAGTATTTCATTTTTACTTGCAGTGTATGTTCTGTAGGACGCCATTGATATACCCCGAAGTTTCTTAACACTCCTCTCTTGTCGATACAGGTGAAATCGACACCACCAGGAGTGGACCCAAGTCGTGACAAAAGCTCGCCTTTGTGGGAAGTTGGAGAGAGTGGTTTTGATACTTGGAATCAGGGACAAGTGGCAGTCAACGCCGGAATGAGGGTACGTCTCTTTTAATGTTAAACTGGTGGCTTAAGTGAGAAACACAACCTGACTGCAAACTTACAGATGAGCGATGAGGAACATACATCTGTCATGAAAGTATAAAGCAAGTTTATATAAAAATAGAGTGGTGGCATGAAACGTGCATGCGCGTCTGGGCAAATCAGATTGAATCATGCATGTGTCGGCCACTGCAGTGTACAGGCTCATTATTATTAATAAAATATAGTTATGTATGTGGGTGAATCATAATTTTTTAAAAAAAGTGAAAGGGGATAGAATTTATACAAATATTTGCTTCGGAGCATTCCTAGTCAACCTAGTTAAACTTGCTCTTTAAATGCACTGGTTGTTCCATTATTCACACTTAAAGTATGGTCAACCATGTTTCACCATGCTGGGGCACGCGCATCAATTCTAACACCGCTCCAAAGTTGGACATGATCACAAGATGAAAATTGGGCACTTGTTAGGCCCAAGAGTGTAAAAGCAGAAGGTGCACATCGTAGGGTGCTTAGTTCAATAGGACCGAATAGGAGTAGTATAACCGATCGGCAGGCCTGCTCAGTTTAAATCATCCGCGCTGCTCATGTCAAGCCGCCGAACTTGCACCGGTGCTCTTGCGTCAGGTTTTACTGCTCCGCACTAGCGCGTGCGACTAAAGTTTCCCCGCTTATTGCGGCCTCACACCCATAAAGCGTCACCACTTTACACTGGTGCGCACATGTAAACCTTCACCACTTTGCACTGTCGCATACGTGAAAAGCTTCACTACTTCGCTGACCGGCGTGCTTGGAGAAGAATCAGGCACAAAGATTATCACGATTACCTTGGTGGGCTTCCAAGTTTGCTCTTTGACTGGCTGATATGATCTTATCTTGTATTTCAAATGTTTCAGAAATATTGTCCAGGTAAAGGCTTGCACACACTACTCGAATACATACTTTCTCTGTTATGGTAACTCGATGCAGGACTACCGTAGTGATAAAATACAGAGTTTTTGATTTTAGCATGAACTGATGTTTTCTTAGAAAAGCGGCAAAAGCGGCACAGGGGCCGTTTTCACCACGTATTATCAAGCTCGGCAGACATTTGGTGTAGGAACAACCGTCACAATACGTAAAATAATTAAAATTAGTTCATTAACATTTCATTGACTTTATGGATCATGTGGCAGTTGCAAATATTTGTTTGGGCATTTGTTTTTTAGTTTGCTTATTTCGTAAGTTTCTATCATCTCTCGAGTAAGTTTGTCCATGTTTCATTTTAGTATTTTGCTTTTTTGGTAGTCAAGGGTACATCCACAGTTACGGCAGTGAATTCCATGATTACCGGAGATTTGTTTTCTTACATCATACTCATGTTACCCTTATCGGTCATTAATGCACCGTTCCCCTCATCGGCCATTATTGCGTAGGTTCTATATTCAACAAACGGGAAGGTGCAATAATGACCGATTAAGGGGATTATCAGTATAATCTAACAAAGCAAATCTCCGGACATCTGGGACTGCACTGCTGTCACTGTGGATGCCCCACGGACTACTGAAAAAGCAAAATACTCAAAAGGAACACTGACAAAACTACTCGAGAAGTGATAAAAGCTTACAAAAATAATCAAACTAAAAGACAAATGTGTCAGCACGCCCTTCGTTGGTCTGTCCAATAAAGGAATCTGTTTCCATTCTGATGCATCTTAGGACCGACTATGAGAGATCACCGCATAATTTAACTAACCAGATGCTGATACTGCATGTGTTTTTTCGTCTTTTCTTGTCCTTGTCGTGTCGCGGTGTTATAAACCAAGTTGCAGTCGCTGTATGGACAATAGTCACGATTAGAGGGTGAAACAATTTAATCAGCCCGCACAATGCCAACAAGGTTTGAGACGTACATAAATCAATTTTCACATTTTTCCTAATGATTTCAAAACTAGGCGCGGAAAGAGTGCAGTCACTTCTATCCACAGTGGTGCATGGAAGTGTGACGCAGTCACTTCGCGCACTGCAATATTATCTGAGCGGCCTGTCCTCGGTGGGCGCGCCGAACGCGCGCTGCTGAGGTAATGTCGAAGTGCCCGAAATGAGTACCAATAAACAGCCTGGATATCCAATCAATTATTCGCATAAAAGGTCACCTCGCTAGTCATTAAGCAAATTATGTTGCTGGTCATTAGCTTCTAGCTGTTGTACTTAATAGTACTATTCTATTGTTTTATTTTGCAGGTTCTACTCAGCGGCGTCATTGGCTCACCATCGACTGAGGGTTACATCGCCGTCGATGACGTCGTTATTTCCTCTAACGCTTCCTGCGACACACTGCCACGCACTTCCCCAGCGACTTTCGACGGTGAGTTCTCCGTTCCCAATTTCGTGTTGCCAGAGTACCTAAGCACTGACAAGGTATCTTGTGAACTCCAGGGATATTAAGGGGCCTAGAAAGTTCCCATAACTTTGGTACTATGTGGTCTAAGAGGGGAAAATGCTTCTAGAGCTTTCTTAACATGTAATGTGTTATGGGACTGGGCTTCGCGAGAAAAGGAAAACGCTTTAGTGACACAGATGTCACGTGACCTCATGACATCACGTGACTTGACGTCAAGTTTGGATGTCACGTTGCAGCATGTGCTATTATGATGTCACGTGACACCCTGAGATCTGTGATCTCACATGACTTGACACCAAGTACAGGCCTCATTTGACATAACGTGACATCATGTGCCATCAGACATTGTGGCATCATTGTAGTGTCCTGAATTCAGACTGTTGTAAATATACAGTTGGCAACAGGGTGTGTGAAATGGCTGAGCAAAACGAACGCATTACCACCCTCCGGTGCCCTCCCTCAGTCCAAGCCACCCTGGCCGAAGCAAACACCACAAGGGTATCGGGAGCAGGATTTTTCATAACAAAGCGTCTGTGTAAGTAGTCTGCCACGTTATCGCCAGAAAAAAACACTAAGAACGCAGGCAACGAGCACAAAGACATTTCAAGCAGTCGCTGCATGACGTGCACGCTACCGCAATTTTCAAACTTCAATGTTCAAGCAATCGAAGCGAACAACGTCAGTCTGAAGTGGAAAAATAAGAGAAAAAGTTCGAAACCTTCATCAGAGTGTGCAACATCACTTCAGACACGCGTAAGAAAGTACTTCTTCACCACGCGGGAGAAGACGTGTTCGACACCTTCAGGTCCCTAAATGACCCCCTGACAACATCATCGACGGTCACAAGCACAGCCCAAACTCAAGGCCCTTTGAGAGGGTCAACATCGGAGTATGAGACAGTCACAGTGAAGCTAGACACTGAATTTTCACCGAGAGTCAACCCGAGTGTTGATTAGGTGAATTTTATGGCCCATTCCCTAAAAGAAAGTATGCGATTGTAGTAATCGAACACTTTTCCCGATACCCGGCAGTAGAAGTAGATAACTCTACAAGTGGACAGAATGTGATACCCAACCTCCGAGCAGTGTTCGCCCAGTTCGGCATACCGGAACAAATCAAAACGGCCAATGAGCCTTCGTTGCAAGGTTCGAAATTCTCCGAGGTTACTAAGCAGCTTGGATTTCGACATCACAGAATAACCTTTGTCACCTCAGGCAAATGGTGAAGTGGAACGATTTATGATAACTCTAACGAATCAGGTGGTCCATGCTAGCTTAATTGAGAGCAGTGAGTGGAAGGCTGAGCTGTACACCTTCATAATTTCGCACAGATCTACCAAACAAGGAAGGACAATAACGCCGTATTATTTTTTGTTACGGAGACCTATGAGGGATCTCCTTCCCAGATACGCAACACCATCTCCGGGCAAGGCAGACTATGAAGGGTTAAGGTCAACCGTGTTCAAAAGAAGAACAGTCAACGTGTCGGAAAAGAAGAAATACCCAACCGAGGTGCAACGGCAGCACCGTATTCTGACAGCCGCCAAACCTGCGATACAGAAAAAAGGAAAAGGATAGGGGGCACAGAGTGTTAGTAGTAGGGAGCTGTAATCTGTCTAAGTGTACAGCGGGAATCGCCAGCAAGGTGCGTGGAGAGCGGATTGTAAAGCTTGCAGCCCTACCAGTCAGCTAAATGAAGGAGGTTATGGACACGACAGTAGAAATGTTTACTGTGAACGAGGGCCACGAAAACTTTGTGGTGCTACATACGGGATTGAATGACGTCATAGCTAGAAGGGGGAGGGACTTGGCACACACATCCAGAAGTGTGTGAAGTAGTTGAGGCTTATAACCTCTGGGATGGCGCACATTGTACTGTGCACTGTGCCCGAGTTCAGTGACTGAGGTATGCGTAGACAGAGGGCAGTTTAGGAGGCTAACACCACCATAAAGAGAGTGAGCTGTAAAAACGGATATGAGGTCATGAATGCGAAAAGTGATGAATATCAGGAGACTCCGATCCCCCCCCCCCCCCCCCCTTCAGCCGAGACAACATTCACTGTGGGATCTGACGGGGATGTGGGTGGGGCTGAGAAGGGGCTGTATAGCAAAGGCTTTTTAGGAGCCATCAGAACCTCTCGATAGCTGAGGTTTCAAATGCCCTTTGGAAGGTTGGAAGGAAGCCTAGAAGAAGAAAGAAAAAAAAAACAGCTCAATATAGGATTTAGAAACCTGCAAGAGGGCAGAAAAAGATTGAAGTGGGAAGAGATAGCGGAACAATTAAATGGGGAAGATTTGTGGTGTATGGATTGCCAGAGACGTATCTTAGAGATATGAAGGAAGCACCCTACTTGGCAGGTTATTTTTGTAAGGGATTCAATTGATGTGATGTGGAAATGAAAGAAGGCGGATCGGGAGCGCTAATGAAAGGACAGGGTTGGAAAATGTTGAGGGGAAGCTGCAGAGAACACATGTCGTTAAAGACAGTATCGGAGGTTTAAACACGTGCATAGGATTTGTATATTGGAAAACAGGAACTGATTAAGGGGAAAAATGCGCAGCACCTAACGTGTATTTCCAATAGTGTTAGAGAAATTGGCACTGATCGAGAAGTAATTATATCTGAAAACAAAACTGCACATTTAAATGACTTCAACATATATACAGGTTCTACAGAGGGGATTCTACAAAAGAAAAATTTGCGTAATTCTCTGGATCTAGTGCTTGTAAACGCTGAAGTAAAATGCGGTGAAAAAAATAATGTGGGTGGAGCGTGAGAAACAATTAGCACTTGAGAATTTATTACTCTCTAATGTCTAGCAAATTGTATAACATTAGGCTTTTACGACAGTTATAGCAAATAAGAAGGTTGTTATATTATGGGAAGCGGAAATAAAGGAACCGGCAGAAATAAAATTATGTCTAAGGCAGGGTTGTTCCCTATCGCCTGTACTTTTTATTATATACCTGTGTAGGATAAAAGACAAGGAGAGTGCAATTTTTAATACATATTCTACGCAGAGGACATTGTCGTGTTAGCGATACACGGTATACGTCACAGGATCGAATTAAAATATGTGCAGAGACGTATAAGCGACAAGTTGGGGATAATCGTCTAGAACAATGAAAATTCAAGATATTTCAAAAAACAAGGAGAGGCATAAAAGCCTAGGAGTGCTGCTGAATAAGGGAAAACAATATACATACTTAAAAAATAATAAGATATGGTATAAAAAAGGAATGCAGCAATGATGAAGCATAGGGCGCAATGGAATTACAATAGATATGTTAAGGGAATATGAAAAAGAGTCATGGTGTCGGTGTCGTCCTCTGACAATGCGGTATTATGCTTGAAATCTTAGGTCCAGTTCATCATAGGGACCCGGTAGAGAAGCTTGCGCTGACGCACTGCGGGCGCGTGGGAAGGCAGCAAATCAAAGTGCATGGAGACATGGGCGAGGCATCATTTGAGGCTGGAGATGCGATCAGTATGTTAAAAGTTGAACGAAGACTGGATAGGTTTGAGGATACACGAGGGGCAAGAAAGGTATATACGCTTATATACATAAAACAATCTGAACACTAAATAGATAAACCAAACCCGAAATCTGGAACTCAAATACCAACAGTCCAGTGCTGGGACAGAGAAGACTACCTATGTGAAAAAGGAAGTAAAATATTCCGAGAAGAAGATCTGGGAGGAAAATGCCAAGAAAATCAGCTTTAACTATTGTGCAGGTGAAGAAAACAGGAAATCAGGAAAGTGCATCGGTGTGATCATTTACAAGGGAGCACGTTTTCATTCAAGGCTAGAACAGTATTCAGGACTAGGAGATATAGGACAAAGTTTTAGGAAATGGAGATGTTGTGAGCCGTATGCTTGGGGGAAGGCGACAGAATAGAACATGTGGTGTTGAGGGGCACAGGGCTTGCTTCCACCCTCCCGGAAGGGGCTAGGGATTTGGCAGTAGCGCTGAGGTTTGTAGACGACGATGAAAAAAATGAATGATACGTGCATTTTAATAAAAAAAGATGGGGTTAGTGGACTGGTGGAAATTATCAAGGGATAATTGAATGACGTACGCCTAACTGACACAGCTGGGAACAGTAACAATGGTAAGTTGGGACTCCCTCCCGCGCGGCTCCAGCCGAAATGTCCCACCCTGCCTCCTAGTGGGCCCGGCGCTGTGTTAACGCTGACTAGGCTTAACCAGAGTAAAATTAGCGACTCCTTCGCCGGGGGAAAAAGGGGGGGGGGGTAATGTTTTTCGTTGTTTGCCCGATTCCGCAAAGCTCATCCTGGTGATATCGCACACCGCCTCGTGATAGTTACTAAGTTGCAGAGTGTAAAAAAATTGTCGAGGGAAGGAAATCATACTTTTGCGTTTTAATTTCTAGGCTCGGTGGCGCAAGCTACCGTTTGTTATGAAGGCTACAGCCGTTGTCATCCCTCCATCGATCCCTCGAGTAACACAAACATGTTATCGCCCTCCCGTGTCCTCTATCAGTCCAAGCCACCCTTGCCGAAGCAAATACCGCAATCATGACTTTACGCAACATCGTGATATCATGAGTTTGCATTACTCAAAAAGTTAAGGATGACTTTTAAGTTTTAATTACAGCTTGAAATGTTTGTTTCACGACTAATTGTTAAAGGAATTGTCAGAGGCATTTTAAAATACTTCAGATGTATTTGGCATCTGAACCACTTATTGAGTACTTTAGTTACATATTTCTACCGAAAAAAACAAAAACATGATGGGTGCAACAATATTTATGATATGACATCCACCCAAGTATAATACGTATTCATAGAACCAAGAATTGGCAGTTTCAATGTCTGGGGTATTTGTTTTTGGTGAAAAATACATGTCCGAAAATACGGAGTTTTAGAATAACGCACGCTATTGTAGCGCACGCTAGGGCTAAATTTAGCGCTTGTATTAGCGCACGCGACGCGAGAGAGTTTTAGAATAGCGTTTTTTGTCACGACGCAAAAGCCCAAGCATCTCGTGCTTGCGACGCCATCAAGATAGTAAAAATTTTTATTTCACACACGAAATGCTGTAACTTAAAAAAAAACAGGTTTTTTGGTCCAGAGTACCTTTTTAGATCTCTTTAAACATGAGAATATAATACGAGCGGTTGACCGGTCGTGTCCGCTTCCGTCGCCTCGGCAAGAGAGCTCTCGTGTACTGACCTTCGCACATCGTACCTTCGCCGAGAAATGTTCGCGCGTCACAAGCATCAAGCTGTCGGTGTTCGTTGGCAAACCGAGTACAATGTCGTCCCGTATTAAAAATCTCAGTCGCAAGGATGCCGCCGACGTCGCACTCACGTCGCCGCCAAAGCGGCCGCAGCCATGGTCCTGGGAGCTGCCATTTTTTTAGCTGTGCTCGTCTTGGCTTTAGCCAACTTCTCATCACGAAACCTCCTTTGGAGAAGCGCAAAGACTCTGCGTACGCACGCTATTTACAAGAAATTGCGCACGCTAAAATTACGCACGCAAACCGCGAAATCTGGTTTGCGTTCGGAGCATTCGCAGTGGCGACGACGCTATTCTTTGCGTACGCAAACGTTCAGCGTGCGCTATTCTATAGCTCCCTAATAAGAGAATACTATTTTTCTCTTGCGAGCAAGTTTCTTTTTTCACTAAATGAACGACTACTGGCACCCGTAGTGATATTTCCTGGTTTGACCAAAGCTCACCGATATTTCGTTTTTATCTCGTGGTCCACTTACTTAATCTTCCAAAACTTTTGTATTCTATTCCCACTGCTAGTGTCACATTCACATGGGAGTTTCATGTTTATGCAGTACATAGTTTATTTATGCGAGCCAGGAGTCAGGTTTTTTTGTTTTTTTTTTGTTTCTTATAACTCGGGCAGATAGGTATTTTCAATACAGAGCCGTATATGTAGCGGGTTTGGCAGTTCGTTGGGAAGTATAGTAGACAAATGAAAAGTCGCCATTGGCCGAAAGTGGATTGGGCGTGTTCCAGTGCGTCTTCACAAATTCGAATGTGACCAACGAGAAGCCGAAAATAATACCCTGGCGGTGGTCGGAAGAAACAAACCTGATAAGTGCATCGGAGTAACTCTTGGTGAATGAATATATGGTGCGCGTGACGTTTCAATCACGCTCATTCAAATTGATGGTGGAAGAGTGCGACTAGTGGAACGATCGACATAATCTTTACGCCAAGCGCTGAGGGCCGGGAATCTGCCGTCCGAGCGGTCACACATTTTGTCCAAGCAAAACAAAGTTGAGCTGCGCATTTCTTTCTTACGTCTTTCTGCGTGATCATGATCGAAACATCACGTGCACGCTATTTTTGACCACAAAGAGTTACTACACTTCACTCTTACGCGCTTATTAGAACCATATCAGAACTGTTTGTCGCTACCACCGCTAGGGGTTTCTTTTCGGCTTCTGGTTGGTCAAGATAACATGCCAAGCCCCCTTTCCGAGTCTGGTGTACGCCCTGGCTCTGCCCGCGTCTTCCATTGACCAAACTCTCTGTATACACGGCTCTGTTGCAATAATCATGCAGCATAAAAGGTACAAAAATTCGACACCGACATACATATACGAACATATATATATATATATATATATACTAGTTATGCCGCACCTAAAAAGCAAAAAAAAAAACAAAAAAACTCAGGATTAAGTTAGAAAACAATATTTTCTAGTTAAACCGTTAGTTCTTCCACCGGTCTTATTTTTAAGAGGTGGTAGCCGCATGCCTGGCACTTGTTATAATTGTGATTTATGGGCACGTGGACCGCCTTCTGAAATTGTGAAAAACGTACCTATTATCATGTGAATTCCCGGTCTTTTCAATTAATATTTACATTAGGATTATTGTCGAGGCAACAGTTTGTTCCCATATATACTTCAGTTGACACCGAGCTCAGCTGCACTTTCAAGGACCTCCACAAGTGCCAGTGGTCAAGCGTCAAGAAGGAGTCTTTTATCGCCAGAGAGGACTGGAAATTCGGCAGCAGTCGGCCCCCCAAGTTGATGACCGGTCCTACACGTCTTCCGGAGGAAGCAAAAGATGGTGATTTTATATTTTTGGTGATTTCATAGTCCTAAATGACAGCCGACGAGACTCACAAATATATGGAGAGGAGGGACATCAGCTACCGTGAACAAGCCTCATTTTCACAGTGCAACTTTCGAATAAAGTGAATGCTAGTTCTTGAACTTTGGCATCTCTTCTGAACCTTTAGCTATACATTTCGACAGAGACTACGTGCATGGCAGTGCATAGTCAATTTTCGTGCTATGAAAAACACTCTTATTTTTCTTTCTTTTCTCTTTGGGGGGGGGGGGGGGGGGGTGGGGAGTGGTTTGTCACGGCGTACTGCAAAACATTGAGCATGCACTAGGGTCATAAAATACCTTTTCAAGAAACAACAAATAAGAAAACAATGCAGTTTTTTTTTTGAAGTGGTAGTTTTATAGGGCCAGCAAACCTCAGGAGCCAACTACAAAATGTGTGGGTTAGTCAGTCCGTAACCGCTGAATTATCTTGAAAAACGTGACCCACGGGAAGTGCCGGGGATAAAACTTCGGTCACTGGCGTGGAAACCATGTGCACTGCCAACTGAGTTACGGACCTAGCATGCAGGAACGGGAGGAGCAGATTCTGGTGGTGTGAGAATGCGCGGAGAGGAGAGGGCTGGATAGGGCAAGAAAGAGAGCAGCAGTAACAGGTAGTGTAGAAAAAGCATGCGGAACGAGGAAGAGTGGAAAGAGCAGGAAATTTCCGCTTTCCCTCTCTTGGTGACCCAGATAATTCATTGCAAGGCTCGGTACCCGGGTTGTGCTGAAGGGAAAGACACGCCTCGTTACAGAGATAGCGGTGTGACGTAAACTGTTTCTATAGACCTTTTCCGCTTACTCCTGCCCCCGACCGCCAAGTAGGCATATCCAGTATGGGCGACGAGAAAATATTAAAACGTTTCAACCTGCAACTAGTCGAAAAATAGAGGGGAGACAAAGCGAGAACGGGTGACGGTTACGCTTATCTCCTAAATACATTCTATTGGCGTGGCGACGGCAAAACAATGTTTTCGCCCATACTGGAAGTGACGATATTTCAAGATGGTGGCGGCCTTGCGAAAAAGGTCTATGCAAAATTCTGCCCTAGGCATCAGCTGAACTAAGAGCACCGTACACACCAGGCACTTAAAAGACTAATACCCGTGCCATACGGGGAACTCGAATGCCCTTTACAACAAATGACATTTGTCTGGTGCTATACGGCCTGCACGAATGGCATTCGCAGCGAATGCCATTCGTGCAGGCCATGTAGCACCAGTCGAATGGCATTTGCAGCAAATGTCATTCGCTATAAATGGCATTCGAATTTCCCGTGTGGCACGTGTATAAGTTTGATCTTGTTCTAGGAACCACCCAATCTAAGAACGCAACGCACCATGCAAGCTACTGCATTTAAATGCTTTTGGCTGAATGACCGAACATGGAGCCAATTTGTGTTTTTCCTGGTGTCTTGACGTTTGAAAATAAAAAGATGCGTGACCAACAAATTGCAAAAAAAAAATATTAGCGTCCTATAATACCACTGTATTCGTAAATGTGAGTGTTTGCCTCATAGCTATTTATCAGTGCGTGGCTAAGGTATGCTAAAATAGTGCTTAAATTAGGAAACACTTAGGGCAGGCTCGGTCAGCGAAACATGGGAGCTCAAGCCCCTGTGTTAGGAATTGAAACGCATTTCGACGAGGACATACAAGGCTCACCGGTTTCTCTCTTTCAGGTGACTTCATTTATGCCAGCCTCGTCCCCTCGCGGATTACCCTCGGGTTAATCTCGAAGCCGCTGCCACGCCAGGAACAACCGCTATGCGTCACCTTCTTCTACCACATGTTTGCTGGACAGGAAGCCACTCTTTCCCTTAGCGTCGAGCAGTCCACGTATTGGATCATTCCTGTGTTCCAACGCAGCGGAAGCACCACCGTGGATCGGTGGTACAGTGTGCAGCGCACAGTGGACGTGACCGCCCGCTCAAACCACGTGAGTTTGTCCTTGAACATGCACGAGTTTGACGTTGAGCATATCTGTGTTTTACCTCAAACAATCGGGAGTTTTTTTATTTTTATTTTTTTATTTTTCTTACAAAGAAGCTGTTAAGGGCTAGTTTCTCCAGTTTCGTGTTCGTGGACAAATAAATCTCGACACAACCCCCTTGACAGCTACCGCCATCTATAAGTGACGGCGGCACCGGCTTCCTGGTTGTCTGGTTGCCGATGTCGTTCTTAACTAGTGGCACATAGTACAGCTCCTCTGCTCTTCCATTTTCATCAGAGTGGAAAGGCTGAAAGATTTTTTTCTTTGTTTGTTTTGCGGATTTCATTCATCCGCAGAGGGAGCAGAGATATACGCATGATGCCTGGCAGCGCCTCTGCCTTCTGCAGTTCATACAGCTGAAATATTAAAAACAAGTCACAGCTAGAAGAAATAAAAAGGTAGCCATTGTCATAAAAACAAATAAAAACAGTCATTATAGAAATATCTGAAAAACGCATGGAATACAATGACGCAACTCAAACAACTACACAAGCGCCATAGCTTTTACAATCTGGAGCGATACGCTTTTCATAACCCAGAAGTAAAATAAATTAAAACAAAGATGAAAAGACACCAACTTTTTATATCTACTAAATTTTATAAAAATGGATTTATAAAAAGGGAAAACAAACTGAACCAAAACCACAAATGAAGCTACAAATCCAAAAATGAGGCTACAAAAGTTTCGCATACATTACATCTCATTGAAAAAGACTATAAATACATAAACATGTCTTATATAGATAAAAATATGACATTACTGCAAACCAGAGCTCGTCTGCAGTCTTTCTTGACCCTTTGAAAACCGTCACAGAAGTTAACATCAATACAGGGCGAATTTAATAATTTAGTATTCATGGAACAATAAACTTTGCCTGTCATAGTTTGTCAGTATGCCTGGGATTCTACATTTCGGGTCCCGTAATGTGCATGCACTAGAATAAGGTGTCTGTGTTAAATGGAGATTTTTTTTTATAGATCTATTAATATAATTTAAAGTAATATATCAGGTGTGCCTTCAATATATTATATTTAACAAAGCGGGGTTGAAAGCTCAAACTTCTTACATTACATCTGTGATTTTCGCAAATACGAAGTATGTTTTTCTTGAGGATGGTTGGTTCGTTGTAGTTAGATGCAGTGGTCGTACCCAAAACCAACATACCATAACTGACCTCAGAATAAACGAGCGAATAATATATTGTCACTTTAGGCGAAATGGGTATCAAATTTTGCATTTTGTGAATCATACCAATAGCTCGAGAGAGCTTTGCCTTCAGTCTATTGACATGGGTGGACCATGTGAGATCTTCGCTAAACCAGGCATCCAAAAACTTTTGGTCTGACATTTGTTCTATACCAGTCTTTTCAAATATAATGTTAATATATCTGTTGTGTCGCTTACTAACAGATTTCATAAATTAATGAGGTAGGCATTGCAAGTATTTTCTAGGTACTCTTTAGTCACACCAGTGAAAAAGACATTTGTGTCATCCGCATACATTACTAGCTCGAGGGACCACGTATTATTGTTATGTCATTCACGTAAACAAGAGATAATAATGGACCTAAGATGGAGCCTCGAGGAACGCCGTGCTGTATTCTCAATTTACTGTATGTTATGTTGTTTTTAGAAACGTACTGCTGACGATTTTTTTAGATAATTTTCGATTCGTTTTAGCACTATTTATTTTATACCGTAACTCTCGAATTGTTTAGTAGGATATTATGTTGAACGGTATCGAAGGCGTTTTTAAAATCTAAAAACAAACCAAGCGTGGGCTTCTTGTTTTCAATGTTTTATACAGTTTTGTCCTTGATGTCTTGGAGTTCTTACTCTGTTGATTTATGTTTCTGAATGCCATATTTGTCTTTCGTTATTATGTCATAATACTGAAAAACAACTAGTTAACCTAATAATGATCACGCGTTCATGAATTTTTGAGAATATTGGCAGAAGAGAAATTGGTCTCTAATTATGGATATCTGTTGCTCCACCTCCTTTGTACACGGGAATTACTTCTGCTAATCTTCGTTAGTCAGGAAGCAACCACTTACAAGCATCTGCTTATAACATCGAATTGTAATGAACTCAGCAGAGCTGCTGTATATGTAATCGGCAGTGCCTTTATTCCGTCGTCACCGGCGGCAACAATACATTTGAAGCTGGCAATAATTTTATTTAGTTCCCTTGGCGTTGTCGGAGCTAGCATTATGGATGCATACGGATTAGCGGTCGTTGCGTATTCATCTGTCTAGTCAGGTTGCTCTGTGTACTTGCCGATATTAACAAAGTGCTGATTTATTTTGTCGGCAAGTGTTTTACCAGAGACGCTTTGATTATCTATTAAGGTATGTTCCACCTGGTCATTTGCTTGCTTCCTATTAGTCAGATCGTTTACTGTGTCCTATATTTTTCTATGGTTACCGTGATCGCGTTCGAAATTATTTTGATAGTATTCGAACTTCATCTTCTTTACGTCCGAGTTCAATTTATTGCTTTTTTTTTTAGTCAGTGAGCATGCTTAGGTAGCGATGCCTGTTGAAAGCGTGAAACTTCTAATTTTTATATTTTATTGTTTTTAACAGGTCAGCAGTAACCCACGGTTTTCTTTTTTTTTTATTTCTTACTTCGGTTTCCTTGAGAGGGAAAACTATATTGTAAAGCTGTTTTTGAATTTGAGTATAAAGTTTTTATATGCCACTGTAGCGTTGCTTTAGTGTAAACGTTATCCCGGGTTCCCTGTTTCATACGGGAACTAAGAATGCCTAGAGCTGCTACATCTTTTTCCATGTTTGGCAGACTGGACATGCATTGTCTAGTACAAAATAATAAAATAACGTAATAATGTACACTACTTTTCTAAGCACTGGACAATGCGATTCTTTTATACTGCGCTTAATAGTTTTCTTTTATGCGGCACTACAGATAATGTGAATATAATGAACCTAGTTCATTTGAATATTTTGTTTCAGTGGGAGGTATTCAGTGCATGTTAAAAACCACTCCTTGAAGAGAGATTGACGTCGTACTATTTTGCGGCTTAAATAAAACCCTTGTTCCTGGCAAGCTTGCTCTTTTTTAATTAAACCTACGTTTTAATAAAGATCCTTGCGGATATGAAATATAAAAGACAATTAAAGCCGTAACCCTTAAAACACCAAGGTGTCCCCACTTCCATGGGTTGCTGCTGATCCACGACACCCGGAGATGCAACATTTCGCTGGTACGCGATTGTGAATTCTTCGTGCAATAGCCCCTCGTCGACATGCTTCTGGGCTGCCGCTTTTTTTACTCAATGTAAGATATACGTAAAACAAGAGCGCATGTCATTCAACAGTTTTTAGAATTTCGTCTAACTTCGTTCATTGTGATGTTCATTATTTATTTCAATTGCGTTCTGTAAATAGGGCGTTGCATTTGTATGGTTATAATTTATAAACTAATGTCAACGAAATAGCAATCAATCGCAAGAAAACGACAAGGGATTATACTCCATGAGCATTGGGTGGGAAGATTTTACATTATAGGTAATAAAATAGAATAACACCGAAAACCAGCAGGCACTCACTCACATGCTCTTTTTTTACGCTGTGCTCTTCTGTCGCTGTGCTGTTTTGACGCCGTGCTGTTTTGACGCGTGCTGTTTTGACGCGTGCTGTTCTGTTGCTGCACCCTTTTGACGCCAGGTGTTTTGACGCGTGCTGTACGTTTTAACAGTGCAATTTTGTCGCGTGCTGTTTTGTCGTGTGCTCTTCTGGCATGGTGCCTAAACAAGCTGTGTACTGTTTTAGGATTCGAATGCTCCTTTTTCAAACCATTTATTATACTTGCTGCACATATAACGTTGTTTGCGATGAGCTGCATCATTGTATGTGTTGACGGAGCATGACCTTGTTTTAGAAAAAAATGTATTTCAGTGTGTTTCTGTATTCATATTTGGAGATATGATTTTGTCGTTTCTCCTGAAGCATCTTGTGTATATACAGTTTGATAAACAAAAAAATGTATTTTGGTATTTTTATTTCGGCCATAAAATACATGTGTATCAGTAAGTGTTTACCTTGATACTTTTTTGAGCATCTCTGCCCAGCTCTGACTTTCACATCATATGCTATCCGCATATGATGGTTTAATCAATAAATTCATTAAAAAGTGACACTTTTTGCTTTAAGCATTTCACCGTATTTGTACGAATATAACGCGAGGGCAGGTTTTGATGACCTCAAAAAAAAAATAATTACTATTATAACGCGAGCCGAGGCCGTGGTAATTTCTCGCACTCGGGGGCATAGCAGAAGTGAAAAGTCGATGAAAATATAAGAAATATCAGTTTATGTTTTGACTGCACTCGTCCTCGCTGCTCAGGTCCTTCCGTTAACAATCCACTTGGCGACTACGCAGATAAGCAGCAGCACGGCACCGCTTTTATGGTAGTTCCTTTTTCGTCGGCGTGAGCTCCTCGGCAGTCCACAATCCAAGCAAGGCACGAAGCAGAAGCGCCAACACACAAACACCAGACCACTCTGGAGCAGAAACTAAAAAATGCGCAGGCAGAAAAAATACTGCTGAACCCGATACACGATCACACTTCTTGTTCTGCTGGTCCCTCTGCATAAACAAACACCTCCTCGTGTGCAGTCTTAAGTAGTAACGCGTTACTAGTAACGCGTTACTGTAACTTTGTTACTTTTTTGGTAACTTGTAATTGTAACGAGTTACTTTTTAAAAATGTAACTTATAACTGTAGCTCTATTACTTTTTTCTGAGGTAACGATGAAAGTAACGACGTTACTTTTGTCGTTACTTTGTAGTGTTTCATGAATAATATATCACTGAACGAGTGCAACTTAGCCATTCCTTGTTGCACTTTCCAAATCGTCTATTCCGACATTTCGAGTGTCAAGTTGGCCTTGCACAAAGTTGTGAATACGTTCTTTCTCGCGAGTCACGACCCGAATATAGCCACGTGTAGATTTTATGAAAAAATATCTAGTTATCTTTACGCACGCGCTTGTACTTTGTGCCTGAACACTCACATCTTAGTGTCTTGAAGCACTACCTCTGTTGTGTTTTTTTTTCTTTTTTCTGTGCAAACGCTTTTTAATCGGGTTAATCAACCGTAAAACAACAATACACGTGAAGGGCACTGCACATGTCTCGTATTTTGATTAGCGCCACTATTCCGCACTGCGGATGTTACGTATTTTGATTTGCGCCACTACCCTGGAGTGGAAACTTTCAAACAGTAACTTCGAGAAGCAACTGCTGCTAAGCTAGAATATAAAGTAAAAAGCGTACTTTTTAATTTTATGCAATAAAACGTTGTGAGGGGCGTTTTCTAGTTTTTCCTAATTTTTTTTTTGTGTTATAGAAAAGTAACTGAAAAGTAACGTCGTTACTTTTTGAAAGTAACTGTAACTGTAACGAGTTACTGTTTTGTTGTGGTAACTGTAACGGTAACTTCGCTACTTTTTTCTGAAAGTAACTGTAACTGTAACGAATTACTTTTTAAAAGTAACTTACCCATGACTGCTCGTGTGTCGCAGGATTATGTAAACGCGGTAGGTGGTCTTGGCTTGGCTTGTGTTGACTTGGCTTGGCCTGGCTTGGCTTGGCTCGAATTGGACAGTGCCCGCATACCCGCATTGCGCGCTCGCCGAGTTTCTGCGGTGTGCGCGCGTTGTAGAAACACAAAAGCGATAAAAATGCTTTTTTATGTTTTCTATTCCCCCTTCACGTAGCCCGATAGCTAATAAATTCCCTTCCACAGCCCCACTCCTCTTCACACCGGACCTCCTGCATTGAGCAGGAGGAATAGCTCTCTCCATACTCGCGGGCCTCGTGACTGAACTCGATTCCGAATATAACGCGAGGTGCGTTTTGGAGCACGTAATTCCAAAGAAAAACTCGCGTTATATTCGTGCAAATACGGTATGAGACTAGCATCTTAGCAAGCTGAAGCTCAATTGAACTATTGGAGCTGTGAGACATACCGTTAAATCACAAAAACTACCATTACTTCTTGCAGTTACGTTTTATGGTGACATCAGGAGGGTTCCCAGTGGAAGTTGCTATCGGCCCAATTCGGACCACTCTTGGGGCCTGCGACATAGTCTCGGAGACACAAGGTAAGCTTTTAATGCAGAATACATTTTAATGGCAGCAAAGTAAAAATTTGTGTTCCATCGCACTTGCCCTACCGACCGCGATGTCGTCAGCTAAATTTTGCAAGTGAAATTCCTACTAAACTTAGAAAAACAACACATACGGAAGGAACAATGTCCACTGCATGATTTTTCTGTTACAAAGTGTCACCAGGTGTGTTCTTTAGCCTGCGCGTACCTGCCGACGTACATCTTTATAGTACAAATCTTCTGTAGAATATCTGGTGGCAGTTTAAAGCTTCGATAATATCACAATTCACATGCTTTTCAAAACATCGTATGATCCAGTAGAGGGACACGACTCCTCTCACGTCACTTATAACACCCGGTAACCAGCCTCAAAGTTTCAAAACCTGCATCCACCATTCCTTTCTAGATTGTTTAGCATAGTTCGCTGGGCCCCAGTTTTCTGGGAGGCTTGGAAAACGAATTCGTTCGCTGATGCCGAAATCAGTTAAAAACGTGTATCGATGTTTGCGGGACAATATCAGAATGCCGTCGCAAGCTCTGTTCTCACCGACAACAACGCTTCTGGCAGCGGAAATAAGGAACCCATGTCTTTAGCTTACCGCAGAAATTAATCCATTTACAATTGATAAATGCAAACTGGAGGCCGTTTGAAGACGCCAAAGATGTGATGCTTAAAATCCCGTGAAACGCAAACCGAGAATTTACCGGTGCTAGCCGAAAAAGAAAACCACTAAATTTAGCGTCAAAACCCACTAAATTAGCAACAAGGATGCTCGTTCTTTCTGTGCGCCTGCTATCACCGGCTAAACTAATGAGGTGCATTGAATGCATCCAAGTGAGACCGCAGCATCGGCTGCGATCTCACTTGGAAGTGAAAGAGAGTCTAGTTTTAAAAGGTAGCTGAAAAAAAATCAGAAGTGTTTTTTAAAGTCTAATTGGGACAAGCATGTCACAAAACAAATCTTCCGCAAAAAATTGTTTTGTTTAGCAATATTTAACTTACACGGCGTAATTTAGTCGGAGTCACAAACTCTCCACATTTGAAACTCCCGCTCTTTCGACCCGCGCGGAGAAGTACGCCCTGCCCAACGCTACTAGAACCACTCAGTTGGGAAGCTGCCATAGAGACTGCTCTGAAAATGTGGCCCCGATCTGTCCTCCAGAACCGAGCTAAAGGTGAACACAACGCCGCCATTTCTCCCGCAGCGGCCACTCGAGGAACTGCACGTTACTTCTATTTTGCCTTTAATCGGCCATTTTGGCGCCGAAACAGATACAGCGGAAGAGGTTGCAGGGGTGCCACCCCTGTCTCCCCAGCGGACGGGCCGCGAATTACTACTGAAGTTAAAATGCACCTACGTCAGGACGCGCTGCCTGGGCCGGTTTTCTCGAAGCGATGGTAAACCCTATTTGGTAAACCACGGAAGGGAAAAGTACCTAGTGCCTACGAAAAGTACCTAGGTACTGTAATAAACGGCTGGATATAGAACAACAATAATTATTTTAGAGCGCAGCTCTTAGGGGCCCGTTCCCGGCTTGAGCGGCGTCGGCGTCGGCGTCGGCGTCGCCGTCGGCGTCGGCGTAACCGCAACTCTCGTAACCCTCGTGAGGGTTACGAGGGTTACGAGGGTTAATCTCATGAGGGTTACCCTCACGAGGATCACGAGGGCCACGAGGGTTACTTAGGGTTAGTTACCCTCAAAAGGGTTATCCTCACGAGGGTTACCCTCACGAGGGTTACTTACCCTCGTAACCCTCACGAGGGTTACGAGGGTTAGTTACCCTCAAAAGGGTTACCTTCACGAGGGTTACCCTCCACGAGGGTTACTTACCCTCGTAACCCTCACGAGGGTTACGAGGGTTAGTTACCCTCAAAAGGGTTACCTTCACGAGGGTTACCCTCACGAGGGTCACGAGGGTTATGAGAGTTACCCTCACGAGGGTTACGAGAGTTACCCTCACGAGGGTCACGAGAGTTATCCTCACGAGGGTCACGAGAATTGCCCTCACAAGGGTTACTAGGGTTACCCTCACGAAGGTCACGATGGTTACCCAGGTCACGTGACCCCGGGGGGGGGGGTCACGTGACCTGGGGATACCCCCCGAGGTCACGTGACCCCCCGTTGACGTCATAGCCACAGATGACGTCATCAGTGACGTCACTGATGACGTCACCGGCATCCGCATCGTCATCGTCATCATCACTGATGACGTCATCAGTGACGTCACTGATGACGTCACCGGCATCCGCATCGTCATCATCACTGATGGCGTCATCAGTGACGTCACTGATGACGTCATCGGTATCGTCACGTGGCCCCAGGTCACGTGACCCCCCGACGTCACGTGACGCCCCAAGGTCACGTGACTCCCACAAGGTCACGTGACTCCCACAAGGTCACGTGACTCCCACAAGGTCACGTGACTTCCCGCCCCCCGAGGCCACTTGACCCCCCCAGTACCCTTCCCTCCTCCTCCTCAAGAGCTGCGCTCTAATTCGGCGTTACAGGGAGTTGTAAACGGCTTTAATTTTTTGATTGGGCAATAAGATGGGCCATCTATCGGTGAAACAAGCCAGTCATTTTGTTTATACTCTTTTTCCGCTCGTTGTCATCGATCTAGTATGGTATTTTAAGTCAAAATATAGAAATGTTGTACTTGAAGACTAATTTATTTGCTTCCGATGGTACGAGGAAATTTTAGCTACTATGCTAGAGTTTGTCGACGAATATTCGAATATGTAAAAAAAAAAATTTCCTTCAATATGTTTCGCCATAAACAACGCATAACTTTCCCGTGTTTCTTCCAGTCTGGCAACGCCGGTGCTGTAATCTCGTTTTCGTTGCTTGCGACGCACGTTTCTGCGATTGCTGCTGATCTCAACTGTTTGCCCTCTCTTCCGTTTGCCCAACCGATTCACCGGTGACGAGAAGCGAAGCTTCTCGTCACCGGCTTCTCGTCACCGTTGAACTGCTGGCCACCGGGGATATGTAGAAACCTCAATGCTGTCGGCATACTGTCGCCACACTGTGAACAAAAAAAAAATAAAACAGTACAATGTCTCAGCTGTTCACCCCGAACGAAGACTTTATTGAGGATAACCCCCTTTCTCCGCAAAGTAATCGCTGCTCACGAGTTGGCGTGCATAGCGTAACAAATTAAAGTCTTAGTATAAATATATACCAACTCTCGTTCGCAAAACATTATTTTGCTCAGCATAAAAACACTTGCAAGGCTTATGTACCGTCATATGTCTTGGATCCCGGACTGCTGAAGAGTGATGCGTTCGCAGAATGCTGCGGTCGATTAGCTTAGTAGTCCCTCTGAACTACCGCTTTGCTTGACGCGCTAATTGGTTGATGGTGCGTCATTAATATAACAGCCGGATCGAAATGAATGTTCAGCAGAACCAAGCAGAACTACTAGCCCTCATTAAGCGACGTCGCGGCCATTTTGCTTCTAGGTACTGCTCCTCCCTCGGCGCCCCTGCTCTCCCAGTCACGTGACCTGGAATTCCCCCTTCTAGGGACAATAGCTAACTTTAAACCACGGTTCGCGTTCGAAAAAACGGGCCCTGAAAGCACCGCTGAGGCATGGTTGTATGAAAACAATATTAATTGTGCCGCAAAACCCTGCAAACTAAGAATAAAAAAAAACATTACGCGCCCATTATTTGGTACTAAACTCCAATAAATTTCATACATAAAGCGCCGTTTCCGTTTGTTTTTACGCAAAAAACATGCTTTTTAAAAGCTCACGGTTACCACAGTACAGACAAATGATAAAGAGTGGCGCTGTTGTCGTATTTCGCTCGGTATCGGTGGACGCCAGCGGCCCAGGTTTCGACGGCGAGTTTCCCAACTGAGTGTTTTAGTAACGTTGGCCCTGCCCCTCGCTCTTGTATTTGCTCTTGGATTGACTTGGCTACGGAGTTGAACGACGTACGCAGCATCTCGACTCCCCGGCGCGTCTTATGTGCGTACCACATCCTTTTGTAACTTCTGTGTTTTGTGCAACTAGCAACGTTGGTTCTGTCTGCGAACTGCGCGCTAAAATGAATGTTGAATTGAAGCGTCAGCTTCTTGGCCGCTACGAGCAACTGGGTCTTCGGCCACATACCAAGATACGCCGAGGAGGATGGCTGCTAGCAACCAAGACGGCGCACCGCCTCAACTTCCCGAGGCTTCGGCGCGCTCGGTAGTAGAAGCGTCGGGACCACCTCGTGTCTCAGTCGCGGACGTTCGATGCATTCCGTGCGAATCTTGAAGGCCTCCCGAGCGAAAGGACGAGAACATATCTGGACACGTTTTTCGCTACGCGAATGAACGATTGCTTCCAGCAAAAATGCATTCAGCTTGCCTCTACAAAAATGATCACTGAATTTCGATTGCGTTTCTAATGTGTTCTATACGAATACATTGGCAACGCAATTGAATCTCATTGATAATTTTTGTAGGATTGGTATCTTTCGGGGCGATATGACTGCCGAAAGACTCGCTGTCGCGATCACAAATCTGGCAGCACTTTACAGAGTAACGGTGCCACTTTGCAGGAGATGACATCTCCAGAAAGTCGGCATTTGCACGTGCGAGCAAAACAAGAAAGAAAAAAAAAACACGCTGAGAAAGCAAAGAAATGCGCTACGAAAGCAAAGAGAACACCCCAGGGAAACGAAAGTAGCAAACCGCGCTATGAGAGCCAAAACCCTGCATCGCTTCCTATCACTAACACCTGCGACAGCTGCTAAACACACACTACTGAACTTCAGGAAGTCTCACTGAAGCACCTGAGTCAACGGGAAACACTGATCACTTAAAACGACTAGTCGAGGTAGGCGAGACAGGCGGGAGCAGACAGCGGAGGCCATGCTTTTGTTTGTTATTGTATGAATCCAAACGGAAGTGCCCACCCTGTAAACCTTTTATAAAGAATAATAGTAACTCTGATTACATGGGGAATTCTTTAAACGTAAAAACATGCGGCTCAAAAGGAAATTACAACATATCACAAAGGTTTAACAACTAAGATCTCAGCTGTCAACCATTCTCGTAGCCAATGAGAAGAGTTGCTATTGCACGTCACTCCGTGGCATATAATACAAACTTTGTGGCGCGCGGTTTAAAACGGACGAAATAGCCGTAAGCTAAAATTAGCCTCGCGCAAGCAATATTGCTGTAAAACCTTTTTTCTCGCAAAAATTGTTTTGTGACATGCTTGTTCCAATTAAATGTTTAAAACTATTTTTTTTTTCTTTACAGTTTACCCTTTAAAGCAAGGGCTGAACAGAATTTTTTGAATTACTAAGATTAAGAAGTGGTTCCGAGAATGGCCACTTTGCATATTTCGGCTCGTAGCATCATTCCTTCTTGACGTAAAGCCTAGATTTTAAATGGGGAGAAACGGAAACCACGGAGAATGTTTGCAATTAGTGGCAGACACCTGCACAGACCTACCGCTTATGCACACGCATATGTTGCTATGTGGCGAGGAAAATGGTGAGCGGAGAGGTAGAGCAAGCCTGAAGACGCTTGCAGGCGATCTGCACTTTCACATCATCCTTGTATGGCTTGGATTGCAAATGCAGTCCGCCTAACAACCCTATCCCAGTCGAGCGGTTAAAAACTTTCAAATCTGGGCACACACCGCTCGTGGCGAGAGCCGTTATAGGTGAGACTTCTTCCGGCAAATCCCCGGGCATGTCTCACGTAGGGTTGTTGTGGAATGAAACGTCGCAGTGTCACGCGAAGTCGCTGTGTTACGTGATATTGGAGTGTCATGTGGCGTCACAGTTTTATGTGATCTCACGGTAGTCTATAGCTTTATGATGTCTTGTGACGTGTTGTAACGGCACCTCGGAAATCATGGCTTCATGGGATGCCATGGCTGAGTGACGTCGTAATGACACGGGGCATCATGTTTTCATATGACGTCATTGTTATATGTGACGTCGTAGTGTGAAGTGACGCCAGTGTCACGTGGACTCACTGTGCCATGTGGTATTTCAGTGTCATGTGACAAAGTTTTGTTATGTCACAGTTTTCCGGATCAACATGGTGTCCCGTGACGTTATTTGCTTGTGTTAGAGGGTGTCATGGTTTTATGTAACATCGCAGAGCCACGTGACTTTAAATTACCGTGATGTCACTGTGTCACGTGACATGCAATGTCATGTGACGTCACACTGTTACATGATGTCACAGTGTCCCAAAACGCTGTGGTGTCTCGCGATGTAGTGTCACCGGGCATCACAATGTCACTGATGTCATTGTGTTAAATGACATCAGTGTTACGTGATGGCGCAGTGTCACGAGTCGTCAGAATATTGTATGATGTCACAGTGTCTCATGACATTATGGTGCCTTGTGACGTGATGCCACAGTATCACAGGACATCACAATGTTAGGTTACGTTATGGTGTCAAATGATGTCAGTGTCACATGACATCAGTGTTGTATGATCTCACAGTGTCCCATTAAATTATGGTGTCTTGTGACATGATGTCACAGTGTGACGGGACATCACAATGATAAGTGTCGTCATGGTTTCAAATGATGTCACAGTTTCACGTGACGCCGTGATGTAACATGATGTTTTGTGACACCGACGTTTAGTGGGAAGATGCCCGTGTGCAGTGTGATTGTGTGTAGTCTGTCTGTATTGAGACTACAGCGAGGGAGGCCGCGAATTGCGTTGTTGCCGCAGTTCATTTAGAGCATGTGGCAAGAAACTAGGAAAATTTTGCCTTAATTACTTCTTTTGTCCCCCTTGGCAAGGCAGTTTATCGTTCAGGCGCCGAAGAGGCAGGCTCCGAGTTACCTTTCCCTGCAGTCTGCTGGTTTTCGTAACTCTCAGTGCGGAGCCTTTAAAACCATGTCTGCATGCATTGTTTTTTGGTGCATTTCACTCTAACCATTCTTTGTTTTTTTAACAGGACGGTGTGACTTTGAGCGCGACACGTGCGACTGGAACGTGGATCCAGCTTGGGTTCGGGAGCAGGTCAAACTGGCGCCTTCACAGGATCGCGTCCGTTCGGGACCGGAGGACTCTAGTATGACTTTATTTATTTTTGAACTCTCGGAATGCTTTTAAATAGAGTCCCCAACTTCTAGAAATGTGCCTGTCCGTCTGTTCATTCAGTTATGCTTTTCCTCTCTAAATTTAGTAGGAAAATCAATGTTATGTCACGTCACAGTATCACGTAACATTTCAATTTGGTATCGTGATACCAGTTACGTCATGAGGTCGCGTGACATCAGGTTACTGGACCTTCGGGTATCGCATCACCGCGTGACCTCACATAGCGAGGTCACGTTACATGATCAAGTCGCGTAACACGAATCACGGGGTGCGAAATGTATCACGAAATTTAATGTGAGGTGAATTAGCATGATCTTCACTCCCAAAGACGACTGTTTATAGACACATTTAAATAATCGTTGCTTGAATACTGAATTCCTTACATTGTAAAGTACTTAAAAAATAAAGGTTGCTGCAAGTTTTAATTTATATTTTGATATTGTGCCACTTTGCTTTTCATGGTCTGTAAATGTGCAGAAGTGTTTCAAGTGTTCCTCTGCTCCGGAGAATTTTCCAGTCCCAACACTTTTCTTTCTGCGCTAATGTGAAAGCATGCATATCAATAAGCAGCAATTACACGTACGCATACATGGGTAAATTACTTTCAAAATGTAATTTAATTACAATTACAATTACTTTGCTCCAAAAGTAGTTTAACTACAATTACAATTACTACTACGCGAAAGTAATTCATTGCAATTACAAATTAATCTTAAAAAGTAATGCAATTACTTCACAATTACTTATTTATGAGAGTTACCCACCTTGGGCCATATAACTTTAAACGAGGTATATGGCCGCTTTATAAATGCCACGTATCGTACTTTCCTTTTATGAAATTTGTTAAATGAATTATAGAACTTAAACGTTTGAAGTAATGAACTCCTTCGTTCTTATATTCTCAATTAATAAAAATAATGTATTTTATGCACTCCGAGACGCCCGATCGCTAAGCGAAATAGGGTTGACACACTTTTGTTAGTAGTCAGGCAAATAAAAATGCGACAATTACAGTCATATTTGAAATATTTTATTACTGTTATATCAAACTACAGTCGACACGCGCTAATACCACCATATACACCTACAGCCTTTCATGTTATTTTAAATTATGTTCATTGAGTTGAAGTAATAATGGCTCAGAAATTTATAAGAACCGAATCGGGGCTCCCGAATCAATGGTAACAAAATTCACAGGTGCGAGGAGAGTCTCCTTAGTGCTTATGCAAAAGGTATCCAAGTCAAACCAACAAAAAATAAACTTAAAACTAATACAAGGAAACAAATATGCAACAGTACTCGCATAATTAAACTCACGTGAAAATCGCTGATAACAGGAACTTGTAAACGACATAAATAACTTCAAGAATACGACAACGTACGAAAACAGTTCAGCCACTATGATTCGCTGCCTCTTCCTGTGGACGTGTAACATGCCGGATGTGGGTAACCGTACGTAGCAGGCGAAATGTGGTCGCTTCCATAAAACTAGTGTCACAATAGCAGAAACTCTTGCGAGGGATTCTGGGTTAGTCCAGTGCACGGTAACACCCGAAAAGCTCCTGAAATGGGTAATAAATTTAGGATTGTCATGTAGCTTATCATTAGGAGAGCAATGATTGTATCGATGTTATGCGAATTAAAAAGAACACCGATTTGAATTTAGCATGGCAAGAACCAACTCGAAAAGTTCATGATATACTGTAAACTACTTTATTTTCGCGAATTTCGCGAATCGCCTACGATTCGCGAAAAATAGGTCCCGCGCACAATTCCAGTAAAATATAAACACATTGGAATCTATATTGCGATCCCACTGCGTGGCAAAAATTAGAACCCGCAAATTATTCCAAAACTCAGACCTCTTGGACGCCTCAATTTCATGAGTTACTTGGGCGTGTTTCAGTTGAAAGATATGAACGAGCCATTATTATTTTTTTATAACTGTAAGTATTATTGAAAGTGGCAAGAAAGTTGTCTACTCGCAAATGTTCCCGCAAATTGGAGGTTGCCTTTCTGTTTGTTAAATATGTTTTCAGAGACGGTGCGCAGAGTTTGCATCTTACAGTTATATGTTTTTCATTGCTGCTAATCTGTTCAAAGACGTTTTCGTAAGAAGGCCACGGCAGCCTTTCTTTTTCCATTGCAAATAGGACCGTTGCAGGGTCTCAATGCAAAGCGACACTGCGCGCCTCGGGACAGTTACTCAGGCTAAGACGAAAGGACAACGCGTGGAGGGTCATGATAGAGGTGTAAAACCAAAGTGCATGAAACGCATGTGCGTGAGAAGCCCTCTATAAAAAAAAAGCCTTCAACGAAATACAAATGTAACAAACAAGCTCCTTACAATCTAAAGCCGCGGTTTGTAAAGTTTCGGAATCTCCTCCAATCAGGCTGACAAACGGTTTATAGGGTTATGGGTTAGAGCAAACACTAAACAATGAAAATTTATACAGAAAGGTAGACGAGGATTGGGAGAGGGAAGAGCAGTGTAGCAACAACGGTTGGAAGGAAGGCGGGACGTGAGTCGTGTTAACGAGACCTGTTGCTTCTTCGTCTTGACGTTAGAGTAGCACGACTTACTGTTAATGGAACCAACAGACGACATGTAGGAGAGGGTCGTGAAAAACTCATAAAGAAAAGAGAATAATTTCATGGACAATAAAAATGCCCAACCTTGACTGAAATATGTAAGCGAATATGCTAGCGGCGAAGACACAGACAGGTAAGCAGAACCTTGTACCTCCCCGCCTCGACCGGATGATATGATCGGAGCCCAACGAGCTCGAATTCGACCCCCGATGGATGGGATTGAGAAATAAGAAAGGCCCCCAAGAAACACGAGTAACAGGAAGCGAACGAGACGAAGGGACAGATTCAACTACAAGAGGAGAGAAAATGGACGCGAATGCAGCCCTCATTTATCGAATTATTTCTCAAAATATTCATTAAATCGTTTTACAGTCTACAAAACCGTTCATTCCGTTCTATCCTAGTCTCTCTTTCCCATTCCTCCTTTCCCTTTTTTTGAGCGGGTTGGAACTTGGGATACTTTCTCTCCACTGCCGCTTTGGCTGTACTGTCGTCTCCGTGGTCAGGGAGGAAAAGCGTCGGCGCCGCATAATTTTGCAAAAGTAATTGTAATTGTGCCAGAAATTTTGCCATTACTCACGTTAGAAAGTAATTAAATTACAATTACAATTCCTTTTAGCCAAAAGTAATTAATTATAATTGCAAATTACTACGAAATGTAATTAAATTACAGTAATTCAATTATAGTAATTGAATTACTACCAAAGTATGCACGTACGTACTGACTTAAGGAAAGACCATACTTTGGACCAATTTTGTATTACTTCTCTAATGTATATTAAATCTCATATCTAGGATTATGTTTTTTGCTTGGCAGAAACATAACCTCATCGAGAGTTTTTGTCTGTTACATTTTCAAGAAAATCTCAGCTTTATCGCAATAGTTTTTGCCCACATTTAAAAAATAGCGCCATTAAAATATGGGGCGTGCTCCACAGAGTGTAGAGAGTGCAACAAAAACAGTCTTATAATTTTAGCATTATACTAAAAAAGTTATGATATGTCAAAATGTTTTTGCTGATAGTTAGAGATGAGTAATTGAAGTGTTTTACAATTAGAAAAGCTCGTAGATAACGTTTTAGAGAAATATGTCTTTTTCCTCTTTTTTATTTATGAGGTCATCATTAAGCCACGAAAAAGGTATTGAGACAGAAATTTTAGATCAAAAGTTACCGTGGGATAGGTTTTGTTTAGTCAGTATGAAATGAATTTTGAAAAAAGAAAGAAAAGCTTTTTTTTTTACTGTATAAATGTGCACTTCCTGAGTGCAGTGCAAAATATGTTGTTTGTGATCGACCAAAAGAAGAAGAAAAAGAAAGTTTCTAGAGGTGATATTTCTCGCAATTTTCGTTTTTCAAGGTTAGGGTCTTCCTTTTTGGGGGAGCATAGAAAACTTTGAACACTCGGCAACTCTATTTTAAGTAGAAACGTTCTTAAAACATTCACTGTTTTTTAGAGCAATAGCCGTTATAGGGCTCATCCGACCACTGGAAACGACATTCCTTGTTGAAGTTGTTGACGTTCTAGTTGGCCATTTAGGGCGTCCGTCGCCGATGCTGCCGAGTATGCGAAAAAGTTCGCGCCCCGCTTGCGGGAATCGAATCGAACCTAAGTCCGCTCCGTGCGAAGCGGATGCGTTAGTAGAGAGCTACGCCACACTGTTAACACCCGTCTTATATGTGGGGTTTTATGCAGAATCCCGTGCCCACTCCACGCGCTCTCTGGAAAAAACAAATATAACCGATAACAAAATGCAGTTGTAGCACTATCAGTACCAATAGCTATTGCCGAGACACGTTGGTTCATGTGCTCCGGAACGAAAGAAGAAATAAAAGCATTCGGCACAAATTGACCAAATATCCATTTTGTTCCGCAAGCTTTTTTTTTCACGCGCCCCTTGGTCCAGAAACTCGACGCCGATGCCCAACGTCCTTGCTGTGAGGTGTTCCAGCTATCGCAGTGACCGTACTGTAGGTACTGTGGATTGACGCGAGACTGTTCTTTTTTGTTGTTGTTGCAGTGTACTTTCTGGCGTTACCGGCGCATGCGGTTATGAAGAGCTTCCCAGTGACAAGCCCCGTGTTGGAGGGGAAGCCTGAGCCGCAGTGTCTCGAGTTTTGGTATCGCAGGGCCAGTCTCTCGGTGGGGGCGCTTCAAGTGGACATACTGCCCGAAGGCAGCAAACAGTCACAGGTAAGAGCTGTAGCAAAAACAAAGGTTTAATTGTGTGCACACTTTTGTTCACCCCTTTGGACCGTGCTCTGAGCATGCGAAACTTTATGAAACAGCTTTTTCTCTTGTGTTCCGTTCTGTTTTTTCTTGGGAAATAAACGTTTTATTATTTATACAAAAGGTGAATTAAGGTCAAACCTGAAGTGGCGGGCTTATGTGTTTGCTCTAGAGGGGATCCCTACCGAAAACTCCGGTATAACTTTACGCTACCTGGAATATGGAACTTGAAATCTATCTGGATTCTATACGGATTTCAGGTTTTAAGAAATTATTCATATGTCTGCGTTCTGGATTTTGAGTTTCTAGAAACAGATTTTCAGTTCCATAAACCAGGTAGTCGAAAGTTATACTGTTTTTTTTTTCTGTAGAGATAGCTTTACCATTACAGTGTCCCTTTGGTCAACTGAGGGGACTCTGTGTTTATTACTTAGTACGTATCACAAAAATACACGCAATTGCAATTCTAACCATTTTAAATACAGACGTAAGTGAGAATCGAACGCAAATTGTCTAACGGCGACTCTGAACTTGCGAGTTTAATGTACTCTGAACTCTCACTAAACTCACAAGTTCAAGGTGAGTTTAGTGCCCTCTGCTGGACTGAGATGTTCAGTGGGAAATCTAAGTACATGAAATTCCCCTGGTCAAAGTTCAATATGAGTTTAATGTGAGATCAGAGTATATGGAACTCACAAGTTCAGTAGGGGTTCTGTGGAAGTTTGTGTGCATAGCACTGTAGTATGACTTAAGTTTAATTGGAGTTCAGTTTGATCAGAGTACATAGAACTCAGAAGTTAAACATGAGCTCAGTGTGGGTTAGTGTGCATGGAACTGACACGTTCACTATGAGTGTTGGTAATTCTGAACCACCATTGAGTTCAGAGTTGTACTCTGAAATTGCACTAAACAAGTTCAATGCAACTTATTTCCATATATCTATTCATGTACAGTAGAACCTTGTTCATGCAGTTTTCAGGGGATTAGTATACAACAATATAACATCCAGTTAAGTGCATATTGGCCTTGAGAATAATTGCAAACAATAGTTGAGGTTCATGATTTAACAACATTCCTTCCCTCAACCGAAAAGACAAGCATCTTGCACTTACAATATGCATATGCATTGTAAGTGCAGTATATGCATTCCACTAAGTACAAACGCATGTCTTCATATATAGCAAGATCGCATAGTCGGTTGGTCATAATATAGATGTCGTTGCCGTTTGTACCACAGGTGCTTTGGACACAACCACCGTATCCCAAAGACGATTGGATGTTATCACGTGTTCCCATCGTTCACGAGAAGAAGTTTCAGGTAAGAGGAGTCGAATCATCTATTGCTTCTGCAAGGAATTCTGCATGTGATGTTTGTTGTGCTGCAACTTTGTCAACATAAAATAATCACCCAATGACACAGTGACCTTTTGAGGGGATTATGAAAAAATGTGTTTTTACCAGATTTTTTAGGTTTATTTCAGTTTACACTTTTTAATAAAAGTATGAAAGGATGAGTTAATTTAAGAAAAAAATTAGGATTAAATTTTGTGTTAACGTAATCTAGTTTGCATGTAACCATAAAATGATCTGGCGGGCCTTTGTAGCATTCATTTTGAGAAGTTGTAGTAGATAAAATGTACATGGTTGAAAAAACCCCGAGACTGCGGGTAAACGACACAACACTAAAAAGTCTCTAACACAGCTGAAATTTTTATTTTCCAAACCTGGTTATATAGGCACTTCGATACAAGAGAAAAAAAAAGGGGGAGAGGGTGAGAACCCCAAGGAATGCCACTTTCCACCAACGTAACTTCTGACTAAACAACAAGGACAACAGACTCTGCGTCACGCACTTCTCTTATCTTTGACCCCCCGCTTCCCGACCGCCAAACACACTGGTAACACCAAGCCCAGTAACACATATACAAAAAAGAAAAGAAAAAGAAAAGAACGACCCAATGTCCCTTCTACCCGAAAACCGACAGACATAAACCTTGAAGGTCAGAACTTTTCACAGCCTAAGAAAACGCCGCAGTTCGTCCAACCCAAACGACGGCTTATTAACTGCATTCCCGTGACCTAATATCATTAATGACTCTTTTATCAACCGTTTATGATCATCTTTTTCCCGCAACTCTACTGAAGTTAGATGCCACAACGGTACGCAGTTTCTACATTCGATAACATGTTTTGACACTTCGGAGTACGGGTCTTTTTTCATTATACAACGTTTGTGTTCCATCATGGGCTCATTTATACAACGTTTAGTCTGTCCAATATAACAGAGGCCACAATCAAAGGGTATCTTGTAAACGACACCCAACGAACATTCTACATCCTTTTCTCTGTGTTTTATCGTGCAACCTGAAACAGTTGAGGCAAAAGGGGTCAAACGGCTTAATCTATAATCTGTAGAAAAGGCAGTGCCAATATTAAACCTGCTGGCTAACGCTTTGATGTTGTGCGAAATTTTATGAAAATATGGAAGGACTACTCGCTTTGAAGGTCTAGGATTTTTCCGAATTGACTTCTTTGGACATATCATATACATCAACTGCCTTAAAATATGTTCCTGTGGATGTCCAGCAACCTCGAAACGTTCTGTCAGTCGACGAAGAGAAGAGCCAATAAAATGTGAGCATGACTTCTGTACTGTTGAATTGACGAGATTCCGAATTATTCCCAGTTTGACATGTTTAGAATGGCAGCTATTGAAAGGAAGAAGAGGTTTTGCTGCGAACTTTCCGTACTCCCAACAAAGGCCTGAACTATTCCTAAGTTGAATATCGAGATACTGTAAACGGTCGTCATTCGGTCTCTCTAGCGAAAACTTTAATTCGGGGGCTGCTTCGAACGCTACTTTCTCCAAAGAATCCGCCAAGGAGCCATCTGTCGAACAAACCAAGATATCGTCTACGTACCTCCTCACCAGAATTTCCTTAGGGGATCTATGTCTAAAAGACTCCAGAAGACGCAGATCTAGGTCTCTTAGATAAATATCCGAGAGAGTTGGGGCTACCGCCGAACCAATACACACTCCCTGTTGCTGAATGTAACTTCGGCGGTAGCCCCAACTCTCCCGGATATTTATCTAAGAGACCTAGATCTGCGTCTTCTAGAGTCTTTTAGACATAGATCCCCTAAGGAAATTCTGGTGAGGAGGTACGTAGACGATATCTTGGTTTGTTCGACAGATGGCTCCTTGGCGGATTCTTTGGAGAAAGTAGTGTTCGAAGCAGCCCCCGAAATAAAGTTTTCGCTAGAGAGACCGAATGACGACCGTTTACAGTATCTCGATATTCAACTTAGGAATAGTTCAGGCTTTTGTTGGGAGTACAAAAAGTTCGCAGCAAAACCTCTTCTTCCTTTCAATAGCTGCCATTCTAAACATGTCAAACTGGGAATAATTCGGAATCTCGTCAATTCAACAGTACAGAAGTCATGCTCACATTTTATTGGCTCTTCTATTCGTCGACTGACAGAACGTTTCGAGGTTGCTGGATATCCACAGGAACATATTTTAAGGCAGTTGATGTATATGATATGTCCAAAGAAGTCAATTCAGAAAAATCCTAGACCTTCAAAGCGAGCAATCCTTCACTATTTTCATAAAATTTCGCACAACATCAAAGCGTTAGCCAGCAGGTTTAATATCGGCACTGCCTTTTCTACAGATTATAGATTAAGCCGTTTGACCCCTTTTGCCTCAACTGTTTCAGGTTGCACGATAAAACACAGAGAAAAGGATGTAGAATGTTCGTGGGTGTCGTTTACAAGATACCCTTTGATTGTGGCCTCTGTTATATTGGACAGACTAAACGTTGTATAAATGAGCGCATGATGGAACACAAACGTTGTATAATGAAAAAAGACCCGTATTCCGAAGTGTCAAAACATGTTATCGAATCTAGGAACTGTGCACCGTTGTGGCATCTAACTTCAGTAGAGTTGCGGGAAAAAGATGATCATAAGCGGTTGATAAAAGAGTCATTAACGATATTAGGACACGGGAATGCAGTTAATAAGCCGTCGTTTGGGTTGGACAATGAACTGTGGCGTTTTCTCAGGCTGTGAAAAGTTCTGACCTTCAAGGTTTATGTCTGTCGGTTTTCGGGTAGAAGGGACGATGGGTCGTTCTTTTCTTTTTCTTTTTTGTATATGTGTTACTGGGCTTGGTGTTACCAGTGTGTTTGGCGGTCGGGAAGCGGGAGGTCAAAGATAAGAGAAGTGCGTGACGCAGAGTCTGTTGTCCTTGTTGTTTAGTCAGAGGTTACGTTGGTGGAAAGTGGCATTCCTTGGGGTTCTCACCCTCTCCTCTTTTTTTTTTTCTTTTGTATCGAAGTGCCTATATAACCAGGTTTGGAAAATAAAAATTTCAGCTGTGTTAGAAACTTTTTAGTGTTGTGTCGTTTACCCGCAGTCTCGGGGTTTTTTCAACCATGTGCAATGTACACCAGCTCGATTGCGCCCTTACTTTTTGTTCATAAAATGTACGCAAATTTTATTTCTTTTTTTTCCATCCGTTTTTTTCTTTGTACATAACGCCACAATGAGCCACAATGCAAGTTGATTATTTAGCAATAAAAATACTTAGCTGAACGTTAATTCTTAGGCAGAGAGCTTTTTATTGCTTTATTTAGTCTAATGTGAGATATTCGATATTTTCAACTGATAAGTGCACCATCTTCGGGCACCCTTGTAGCAAGAAACCCACTTTGCATCCTTTAGGGGTCCCACATGCCATCTGCTATTCATTGCATGTCCAAGATTCGCAACACCTTAACGCATCGTGCTCGCGACGTGATCACATGAGGCGAGGTCATGTTACCACGACCTGACACTGGTTCTAATGATGTTAACACTGTAACGACACCACGGCCCCGCACTGCGAGTCATGCGACATCATAACATCACGCGACGTGACATCGTGACATCATGCAAAGTCATGATACGCTACATTTCGACACCCAACGTTAGTAGACATAATAACATTGGTGCCACCACAATGTCACGAGACGCGACTTCACACTGCGAGGTCTCGTGACTTGCTGTTGTGCGACATGGTCATGCTACAAGAGATCGCATTACACTTCGAATTGACAGCCAATGTCACCAGATATATTAACGCCTATGGCATCGTATTGTCACGCGACACCAGATCTTCGCAGCATGGGTCACAAGACATTGTGATGTCACACGCTGTTTGGCGCTACATATTGACGTCCGTCTTGAAACCTCGTTTCAGGTGATTTTCCGAGGAAACGTGACTCAGGCACGCTTCGGGGACACTAGCCTGAAGCTTGACGACGTGGCAGTTCACCCTCGTCCTTGCAGACCCCTGGTGGAGTGCGACTTTCAAGACGACCTGTGCGGCTACGTAAACGATTTAAGCAACGAGTTGATGTGGCTGGTAGGCACGGGCCGCGTGGAGAGGCCCAATCGAGTGCCCCGGTTGCCTCCGAGAGCGACATCTGGTGAGGGTTATTTTTTATTGCGGCTGATGCGGGCTTATTTCGGGAGCTTTTGGTGTGTACTCGTCGAGATTCTAAGTTGAACGAACAAGTAAATGGTTGCTGGCGACGACCTCTCTCGTTCAGTACAATGCAAATCGAAATACTAGACGTTTAATGTCTGGGCAGCGTGTGGTGGGTCTGCCGTAGTACGGCGTTACTGAATCCCTCTAGGTGAAAAATTCATCCAATGAAGGACGACTGCCAGCCTCGGAATTTCAACGTGCTTCGCGCAGTGGCGCGCAACACATTTATTCTAATAAGGGTTCATAATGCGCATGAAAATGAAAATGTTTCACATAAGGCGACACCGAAAGCCCGTTTGTTGCTTTTTGATTATTGGGTCACTTGTGTCAATCAGATACTTGCTAAACTTGCTTAAATTTGAGTAAAGCGTTAAAAAAGTGAGAGGTCTTTATTAGTATTATATTCGTTGTACCATGGACCTCACCCACTGCAGAGTCCTCGTACCCCTGGAAGAATGCCTGCTTCATTAGCTCACGCGGAAGCTTGTCTCATAGAGGAGTCATCTTTTACAAAATCTGCCATCCCAAACATTCATTACATTTTGTGATAATTACTTCTTGTCATAATGAAGAATCTTAAACAAACACATTTTTTTATAGTCGGCATGATTGTAAAAGTTAACAGGAGTGCGGAAAATACGGTACTCCTCTTTGAAACCTGAATTACACATGTTTGAATCTTAGGAGAGTATTGCCAGGTTTCAAAAACAAGCGTTAAAGAACCTTAAAATAGCAATTTTTTTAAAGTCACTTTTCTGATGGATGCTGTAACAAACTTGCACTCCTGTAACAAACATATCTTTCAGCAGAAAGATATTTCCGAGATGCCAACACTATCTATAATGCTCCTTTCTGAGCTGTCAAACGCGTTTATCTGTGTTTCAGATTTTGGCATCAAGCCTTTGTTCCGAAACACTGTCATTTGCTAATCAATTGGTCTGTGGAGCCAATTCTCAAAAGATTAGGTACTGAAATTTTGTAAGGAGCGCCGCTGTGAATGTACTAGTCTCTGCAGTTTCATGGTCTTTTTACATAAAAGGCTGCAGTATCTTCAAACGAATGCATGTATAATACACTTTTTTTACAAGGTTTCTTTCATTAAAAACGGTACCTAAAGTCTGTAATCTCGTTGTCATAGCCGTGTCACACGTGTGTTATACTGTATATTTCACCAAAACAACTGCCCATGATATTTTCTCAGGAAGCACTGTGTTTATTTTATGCACTTTTACCTAACACTTTGAAGGATGGACTTATAAACATAGAACTTTGCATGTTACTCTCTATCCCAGTTTTGAATATTCCCTCCAAATCCAATTCAGCTAGGACTATTGCTTACAAAGTTTACCCTCTGGAGTAGTTATCAATTCGTTTGTTAATACAACTCAGCAAAATTCATTAATACACTGTGCTGCTGGACCTGTGAGCCTGCCTTCCACTGATGTCACGGGACTCCAAAGCGCAGTTATTTTTAAATGGTGGTTTCGAAGTAATTTTAGCTTGCCGGCTTTACATGAACTATTCCGAATTTCATGATACTAAACAACATACCGGAAAGCGTAAAAGCCGCTGATTTAAAAAAGAAATACAGTTAGTGGGGAGAGCTGAAAAGAACAAAATTGCCGGAGTCACACATTTAAGCGGTGCAGTGTTTCTTAGTAGTATTTCTATTCCTGAATATTTATTATTCTTTTCTTCACTACTTTGTCTGAAATGTAGACGATGCATGGGCGTCGTTTGCCTACCTGGACCTGAGTACGAGCGAAACCAGCAGTGCCAGACTTCCTCCGTCGAGGGATGGCAGCAACGTCTCTTTGTTCAGCCCAATCTTCTCAGCTGTGGACCAAGCTGGCAACATTGTACTTGACTACTTTCGACTGGGTGATGGTAAGTGGCAGAAGAGCGAGAGCGCAGGAAAGCGGGTGAACACTTACAGAGACGAGGTGTATGCTCTTTTCATTTACGTCTCCTTTTCTTCCTTTTGTGTTTTGGGTTTGGTCGTGCTAAGAGGGCAATGCTATATCGGCTATCGGACCTTTCTGTTTTACAGCCATAGTCGTTATAGGCTCTCCCCACCACTGGAAATGATGTTCACTGTCGATTTTATAGCTGTGGTCCTTGTTGATGTTGTAGTGGGCGTAATAGGGCGTAGGGCGTCCGTCCTCCATGTTGCCAAAATTGAGAAAGGGCCCGCCGCCCGCGAGAATCGGTACTTAGGTCCGCCGCGTATGAAGCAGCGTATCATATTTTTGTCAGTTTTGAGTATTGAGTGTGTACCTTCGATGACCCCCGACTTTGATTATCATTGGTGGTTGAGTATAAACCATAAGAAACGGCACGTGATCACGAAAAAGAGAGTGAACTGGACGCAAACAGGTCACCTCTCGATCGGCGATTTTTGGGCGGAAAGACTACGAATTTTGAGCTGCGGATTGTGTTCAGGGTATTTCGGCCATCATATGTCATGTACAATGAAAAAGTTTGGCGAGCATAAATACCCTGTCAGTGCCGTGAAAGTTTGGGGGTGCAATGCTTAGTCAGGTCTACATCTAGACACACGTGTTTTATCCTGCTAGAACACAGGATGCTAAGGGGGTTTGCAAATGAAGATGTAGCTAAAGGCCTCAACTACTATATACCCTACTCTCCCGATTCTAATATGTTTATTTTTGTAGAAAATATACTTAATCAGGGCCTGCGCATGGTATCAGCTACGGAACCTAAAATGGCGGGGGGGGGGGGGGGGGGCATGTCGGAATCATTATTGTTTGGCATAAAACTGGGATCCGTGGAGAACCAGTTAAACACGGTACCTTCTAACGTTTCAGATGTCACTGGAATGGAGCTCAGCCAGCTCTCCTACGAAGAAAACACCGGTGCTTCCAAGGTACTCCAGACAGTGCCACTGAAGGAAGCTGCGCAGTGGCAGACACTTGAAATGGCGCTGAAACCCGCAAAGTTCAGCCAAATTGGAGTGAGAGTCACTAGAAGGGCTTCAGGCAGCGCCGGAATGGCCGCTGTCGGACGCATTGCTTTAGCGAGCAAGCAAGCAGGTCAGTGGTCTTTTAAGAACAGTATTACCTTTCCGAATAGATTGCACAAATGATTTACGCCGAGTAAGTATGGGGCCTGGCGTTTCATTGGAAACGCCCCAAAATGTTTTCGTAGAGAGGTCTCGCGGTCATGATTTGATGCAAGTTTTCACAGTGTAGCCAAACATTGTCAAGTGGTACTGCGAGAACCAACCTTACCTATGAGAGGATTCATTGTCCTGAAGTTTTTCTATATGAATCGGTGCGAATATTATTACAGAGGGCCTCTCTATCATACTTCATTTTTTTAAAGCTTGAACAAAACTTGACGGCTAAAATTCTGTACCCTAGTAACCTAACAATAATCATATTTTAATGTGATAAATTATCATATAAAGCAGCTCATGTCAAAGTGTGCTCAGACTTCTAACACCTACTCTTTTCAACGCAGGGTCGACGGACACACCACCCCAGACTGGAGAACTATGTGAGTACTACTCAGATGCCGAAAACAACGCTTTTCGCTGCTTTTCTATTGTCTGGACTTGTTGATGCTTCGTCATTGTTTTATTTTTAGCATGTCTACATGTGGTTAGTTTAAAAATAGACATATCTCGCTACAAACTACTGAATAGCTTATATTATTTGGAAAACTACATAAAGTACAGGGTATTTCTAAGCGTCATTTGGGCGTAAGAGAATCTCTATAAATAAGCTAATAAATGGAATACATCCATATTTCTTTACATAAGTGTTTTTAGGTAGTGTATTTATAATACTGTGACACTGCCAGTCACAGGAGGTACCTCACGGAATCAGATCTGCTGTATCTGCTTTTGGGTGCTCATCACAAAAAGGTTTCGAAGTTTCAAAGCGAGAGCTTTATAGCGCCAATTAAACTCAAAGGCTCGTAAGCACAAAATGTGTGGGTCGGTCAGTCCCTAACTGCTAAACGATCTCGAAAAAAACGGCAACCGTTGGCAGGAATCAAACCCGGGTCACCGGCATGAAAGCTGACTACGTAGCTGACTGAGCTACGGACCCACGTTGTAGGAATGGGAGGAGCAGTTGCAGGTGGTGTGAGAAAGCACGCAGAGTAGAGAGGGTTGGAAAGGGCAAGAAAAGCAGGAGCAGAAACAGGTGATGTAGAAAGATTGGGTGGAACGAGGAATGAGAAGGGCAATAAAGTGCGCTTCGGTTCCCTTGGTGACCTAGAAAATTCAGCGCAAAAGCTTTAAAACCGTGAGGTGCTGACGGAAAACGTGCGCAGCGTCAAAACAGGCAATGATGCTGTTTAATCCATTTTCTTACAAGACCCTGCCCTAGGCACCACCCAAACTAAGTTTTAGTGTTTAAACGCGTTCAGCAGAATGACCAAACATGGAGCCAATTTTTGTTTCACGTTGCATCATCTGTGAGTAGCAGCACCAAACCAGGCGGTTTGTTTCCACTTTTTTTTTCCGTGCAGAGGAATAACAAAAATTTATTTTTCGCTTCTCATTTCTTAAGAAACCTAAACCCGGGAAGTTTGAGTATAAAAAAAGTCACCGCCAAATGACAGTTGTGATAATAGTTTCATTGCACTTTGTTCGTTGACTTACTAAAGCGCAGCTCTTCGGCGACTGTTTCCGGGTTTCGCGGCGTCGGCCTAACCGCGCTAAATTTAGCTGGAAAATTGAAGTCTCGTGACATGAGCACCAATTCGATTCCCTGCTAAATTTAGCGGGCATGAATGACGTCACATTCATTTCTTGTCATGTCACCTTCGAACAAATTCAGTTTTTCCGCTAGATTTAGCGGGAGAATTGACATCCCGTGACCTCAAGAGCAATTCAATTCCCTGCTAAATTGAACGAGACAATTAACGTGAGGCGACGTCCAACACTAATTCAGTTCCCCTTAATTTAGCAGGGAAAATGACGTCACAGTTTATGGCGTCATATCACCTCTGAACAACTCCAGTTTCTGTGCTAGATTTAGCGGAAAAATTGACGTCACGTCGAAGGACACAGAGTGGAAGGTACGGAGGAGGAGGAGGAGGGTACAGGAAGAAAAAGAAAGTAGGAGGAGGATGAAATGAGTAAGAGGGGGACGAGGAAGGGAGGAGGAAAAGGAGGAGGGTAAAGGAACAAAGTAGGAGGAGGATGGAAGGAGTAAGAGGGAGAGGAGGAAAAGGAAAAGAGCAAAGGAGGAAGGGATGAGGAGGGGAGGAAAAAAGGGTACGGAGGGGGAGGGGCATACCCTCCCGTCCTTACCCTTCCCTCCTCCCTCTTATAGGCTGCGCTCTGATTTCGCGGTACAGAGATTTGTAAAACTAACTTTTTCGAGAATAAGTGAACGCCCAAATAGCGTTCCGAATCACCCCGTGTAGAACACTGTTGATGCGTTTTTTACGAGACCTTATTAAGAAAACGTGTGATGCGAGAAAACATAACGATAGGTAACATCGTTGGGGAAGCTATACGAGATAAAATGGATGATGCAAGGAGCAAGTCTCACCCAACAGTTTAATTTATTAGAGTTTCAGAGTTTTGGAGAACCTCCGTGTTTATTAAGATATATCGGAAAGAGAACCAACGAATGTGAACCTGGAAGAATGAAGAGATATTACGGGCCCATCGGACTAACCTGGACGCTCGCCCCCTCCTTATACTGCCTCTAATACGCCTGTGCGAAGTGGTGAAGATCGACACACGTGCCAGTGCGATTTTAACTCGCGTGTGATAAAGACTCCGGAATGACACCTTGGATATAACAACATAAAAATTGCAAAGATGAGGAATATGTTTTTGCAAAGAAGGCGTATAAAATGTATGACCAGAATTTCAGCGTAAACTACAACGGCCGCAACACTACCCAGTCTTTTCCGTGAAGGAAATTTGAACCGCTCTTCTTATAAGGAGTTAGGTTCCCAGGTCGCGGGTTAGAACGTTTTACGCTTGGCAGCATCGCAGGTCATAAAATAAGGCAGGCAAAAGTTTACAGTAGAGCTGCCATGATGTCGTAAGGTGCCATAGCTGCCGTTTTCGGCGGTTGATGAATAGGGTTCTGTGTTTTCAATAAATACCAATCAACCATGAACATTAACCCAAAAGCGATTTGATCCAATTTAAGAACAAACTGAAAAACTTCTTCGGGACGTTTTTTTTTATATTTAATCTGGCTCGAAAAACAGATTCCGTGTTAAAAAACGACAGACAGCATCTTAAATTTAACCCTTCTCAGGGTTTCGCATCATGTGCTTGAAGAGGAGGATTCATGTTTACCCTGAAAGCATGTGCTACTTTTGTCGTTGCATACAAGCATAACATATCACTACACCTGCATCGAAGTCTCACCGTGCTTCAATCTCACTTTACTAATGGCTGAACTGGCTGCATTAAGGCTCCCCTCTTAATACATTTATCTACAACTGCTTGTTTGTTCTGGGTTGTAACAGTGAACAGTAACAGCCACTTACTAATTTATTTCCCGTTTTCTTTCAAGCGTGGAACTGTGACTTTGAGAACAACACGTTTTGCGGCTGGAAGCACGACGGTGACAAAACTCCTTGGAAGATAAACGACCCTGTCAAGAGAATTCCGGTTTTCCCACGGTCAGACCATACCCTGCAGTCGTTCAAAGGTCGGTGAAAATTTATATCGCAGCTGAAATATCGTTCAGCATATCTACTAATGTAGTGCCAACTCAGCAAAGAAGCAGTGCTGCCCTGTGTGTAGAACCATGCCATAAAAAGAGGTCAAAAAGGAGCTTTTAGCCCCTTTCAACATTGGCACTCTTGGAGGAGTTCGAAAAAGGTATAACATTGATATTACACCTTTTAAATGTTCTCACTTTTTATGATTGTCCAGTAGAACTCAAATGAGAGAGATGTGTAATATTATATTCGCTCCACTGATAGCCTCACTTTTAATTAATTCTTCTTGTTCATCTACGTTTTGGCGGAATGTGCAGGCAGCAAGTTACGACAATCTACACAAAGATTTTAACGAATTGCAGAATGAATACGTATTATAAAAAGGAAAACATTTCGGGACGGCTGGTTTGCGACTATTGTCGATAGTTGAAAGAAATCATAAAATGAATTGATGCCATGACAAACTTCTGCTGTAAAACTGAACATGATGCATTAAATGAAAGAAATAGAATTGTATTTTCTTTTTTTTGCAAAGTTACTTTAGTTTTATAGGATGATTGGCTGTATATTGATTTCATGAGATACTAGCGTCATTGCACCTAATTTGTTTGTGGCGACCACATATAAGCCACGGCAGCGGAAAAAGACAGGTACGCCAAATATGCTCGATCACTTCTTATGCTGTAAGCAAGGCAGCCATGTCATCCTTCGACAGCCCGTAAAATCAATGTGTAAGTAATGTAAAAATGACCGCATCTCCACGTGGTGAGTGATGTTGATTGGGGCAAAGCTCTGGTGGTGCTGATGATACTGGTTTTGTTCATAAATAATGCTTATGGTGCTCATATTGTTTTATTGCTCATAGGTACCAGGACCTGGGTGCGAGAAGCTGCTTTGCAGACTTCTCGCGCCCTGGTCTCCGGAGCAGCTTGCTGTCTGCGTAGACGCTGAGCCGCAGCATGCCGAGCTTTTCGTTCGTTTTTGTGGTTGGCGATGGTGCTGCACCCTTAAAAGGAATATAGAAAACAACGAAGTGTCTAGCACGGCGCCTTCACAGGGCTCCCCACCCCCTAGAACGTTGCCTGCGGTCGGGAACTGGCTGCAGGTGATGGACGAAGAGGCAGGCGAAATTGAACTGAGCGTGGTAATAAGGCCGACGCAGCGTCCGATAACGGCTGAGGTGAAAGTGGGCTGGCGTCTGGCAGACTGCAGGCAAAGGGGATCGACTGCGTGCTATGCTCCCGTAGTTGCCTCCAGCGGAAACAGCGGGCACTCGCCGGTGGCTCGAAGTAAACCTCAGACTCGCAGAATGATGCGACCAGCTGTGGGTTCGCTGCAGGTACATTCCTCAGAGTCGCGGTGTTCAGCTGACGAGCGACGCTGATGTTCTACTACTCAACAGCCGCACTGCCCTTGAAGGTCAACGACGCGCCGCAGCCGGTGACAGAGTAGTGACGGCAGCGGCGAAGATAGAGCCGCAGGCCTGCGTGCCGAGCCGGCAGGGACAAGCGAAGTGGATGCGTCCCGACGTGCCGGCGGCAGACGCGATGGGAGATTGGGTGATGGAGGCCGCAGGTGCGGAGGCCAAGCTTAAGGAAGACGCTGCTGACCTCAGCACCCTCGTCCGAAGCCGCATCGTTGTAGTGTCCCAGGTCGCGGAGAACATTCACCAGGATGACAGATGCTCGGAGCAAATCACGTACGGGTCAGCAGTTTGTAGAAAAAATGTTAAGCGACTCCGATGTCTCAGATGGAATGTCTATAATCACGCGCGCTCGCGACCACATCATCGTTTGTGGTTGGCGATGGTGCTGCAAGCTTAAAAGGAAAATATAAAACGACGAAGTGTCTAGCACGGCGCCCCCACAGTTTTCATCAATGTCAGAAAGAGAATATATTGCATGGAATGTGGTTATGTACGCATTTAAGCACTTTACCGCAGCACCCACTCGTCTATAAACGTTGAGTCAATGCATGCAGTTTAACGCGATTATATACGCATTTGACTACAACGTCCTCTCCTGTATAGACGTTGAGAGGCTGCATGCAACGTTTGATTCATGACATCCGCAGCTCTTGAGTTACCACCACATCTCAGAGCCCCCTGCTCGTCTCGCAGTCGTCGCCGAGTAGTTAAGGCAATGGACTAGAAATTCATTTGGGTCTCTCCGCACAGATTCGAATCCTGTCGACTGCGCAAACAGTTTTCCCTTTTTTTAAGAAGACAGATGGGATGGCAATCGATGTGAGCACGGACGCCGGACGGACAAGGCTCGATCCTACGGAGCTTCGCCTCTAATAAATATTAGGTCTATAACGCGACGCGCGACTGGTTACAAGTGGTGGCCCAGATGAAAAACATCGCAACCAGACACATTGAGGTGGGCAAACAATGTCCCTACCTCTGTTGATCCACCGTACGTATCAGCCGTTGCAATCCGACTGCCACCATTCTGGCCAGCAGATCCGCGATTACGGTTTGCTCAGGTGAAATCACAGTTTTTGTTGAGACGGATCACCGACGAGAACATGAAATTTCATCACATGGTGAACGCACAGTCATTCACAGCTTCCGCTGAGGTACGCGATATCATCATTGTGCCTCCTCCAGTGACCCCTCACATTGTGCTCGAGGACAAGCTTTTTAGTCGCAGAGGCCTCTCGAGGAAACGAAAAATTCAGCGACTGCTTACTGAGGAGGAGTTAGGAGGTGAAACACTATCACAGCTTCTCCGCCGGATGAAACAGTTGCTTGCTAACGCCACAGTTACGGACGCAAAATTCCGTCACCTATTCCTCCAATGTTTTCCAAATGATGTCCGCATGATGTTGGCATTAGCTGACAGCAATACCGTAGAGGACTTGGCGAAGTTGGCCAATAGAACTCTGAACGTTTGAAACCCTTCAGGTGTGAACCAAGTGACACAACCAGAGAAAATCCCTGCTGATATTCGCACCAGCATTCAACGTTGCGTTGTCGAGCTCATGGAGATGGTCACTTCCCTTGACCTTCGCACTCAATAGTCGGACGGACAAGTCGCTACCCCGACTCCTGATTTTAATCAGACTCACAGCCCTTCTACACAACAAAGCAGTTATCATTGCAACTTCGGTGCTGACGCACGGAAATGTATCTGCCAGAAGAAGGGAAACAGTCCAGCCGGCTACTAGGAACGACAAGTGACGCTGGCCATTTACACAGTCGTTCATGTCTGTTCTTCCTTACCGATAAAGACTCAAAAACGTGTTTTTTAGTCGACTCTGGTGTCGAATATTTGGTGCTACCACCATTCCCTCACGACCGTGGCAAACGACAACCTTCGAAGCTAGATGCCGCAGGCGGCACCACCATCCCTACATGTGGACTGCGAGCCATCACCATCAACCTCGGGTTGCGTTACACTTTCCAGTGGGTATTCATCGTTGGAGACACCCAGTACCCTATTCTCGGAGCATACTTTCTGCAGAAATTCAACCTTCTAGTCAATGTGCGCGGCCACCGTCCTTAGGATGCCACAACGCATCTGGCAGTATCTGGAGTTCGGACGAAACTGCAGTCGACCTATCCTTTCCAGTGCCGACTCTCCATACGTCAATGTTCTTCAACACTTTCCATTCTTGTTTCGTCCCTGCACTTTACCATCCCCGTGCAGCATAAGATCCAGCATCATATTGAAGAAACTGGTCCTGTAGTTAACGCTCGACCCCGGAGGATTCCTCCCGACAAGTAATGTACTGCTGAACAGGCCTTGACCAGATGCTGGAGCTGGGCATCATCCGCTCCTCCTCCAGCGCGTGGGCATCACCGCTCTACAAGGCGCCAAAATCAATACTAGGTGACTGGCGTCCTTGCGAAGACTCGAGAGCTCTCAACATGTACTTAACCTATCGCCAGTGCCCCACATACACGACGTAAGAACCTTTTGACCGAGCAGTAATTTCTTTCCCCCATCGACCATGTTTGTGCTTCCCATCAACTTCCCATGGCTCCCAAGGACATTCCCAATACAGCAATAACAGCACCCTTTGGCCTTTCGGATTTCCTCACAATGCCTTTTGGCCTGAGGAACGCTGTGCAGACGTTTCAACGGTTTCTCGACCAATTCCTAAAAGGAATGTCTTTCGTAAATGCCTACATAGACGACATTCATGTTGCAAATAGCAGCGAGCGAGAGCATCAAGACCACTCACGATGTCACTTTCAGGAATTAGATGAGCACGGTCTAATGATCACCCCGGAAATGTCCTACTTTGGAGTGTCCCATGTTTCCTTCCTAGGCCACCAAATTGATCGTCACGGCATCCGACCACGCTCTTCAAAAGTGAATGCTATGAAAGAGTACCCCCCCGCCCCAAACAGCGCGTGACTTACAGGGTTTCATCGGCCTTGTGAATGTTTATTGCCGGTGTGTTCATGGATGCGCGAAGCTTCTCCAGCCTCTTCAAGAAACATTTCCAACCGGAAAAACAGCACCATTCAACTTGACAGACGCCGCAATGAAGCGTTTGGCTGCATTAAATAAAACATTGCACGCGCTACCTTGCTTCATCGTCCGCAAACGGGAGCAGCAATATGTCTTGTAACCGCTGCTTCGAACATTACCCTTGAGCGGAACCCCAGCAGTTCCACAAGGGTACATGGAAACTGCGGTCTGTCTTTTTTTGCAGGTTAACCAATACGGAACGACGATACCACACTTTCGGTCGTGAGCTCATGGCTGTTTACTCTGCAATGCATCATTTCCATTATTTACTGGAAGATCGTCAGTTTCAAATATTTAGGAAACACAAGCCCTTGGCAGGTGCCATACAATCTCGCGAGCCAGACAGTGGAACTCGCTCTGCTTGGGAACTGCGACAAATGTCATTCATTTATGAGTTGACCACAGACATTCGGCACATAAAAGGAACATATACCATCGCTGCCGACACCTTGCCTCGAGCCATTATTACCCAAATATCAAGTCATCCAAACCTTACTCGTGCTACACTTTTGACACATCAACAGAATGACGCAGAACTGACCAGACACAGAGCTACAAAAAGGTGCATTAGATCTCTGAGACTTCACATTACCTGGATTTTCCCACCCCTTTGGTGTGGGATATGTCAACTGGTGCCCCTCAACCCTTGAATCCACTCGCCCGATAGACATAGCAGGCATTTGGCCTAAAGCAGAAAACGTTTAACGACGCAGGGCTCATTGCACCTATCGAGAGATGGCGCCACAATCACGAACATTGGTTGGCTGAGTCGTCTGCATTGGTGTCTACCATTGGAAATGTCAAGGCTTTTGCTCTACGTTTTTTACAGCGAGGCTGTCTATGAGGGGCTAGGTTCTCGCAAATCGTCTCCGGCGACAAGCAAACAATTCTCCTCTCGACCGCCACGGCCTCTTACCCGAGTCGTGTATATACTCATCACCACGCGCGCCGTCTCTCTCCCCCTGACATCGTGCAGTGCCGCGCGTTCTTCGGCGCGGGGCACTATAACCCGCGACAACTTTTCTTGGCAATACAGTGGAAGGTACATGCATGCGTTCCCTCTCCCATTTTGAGAGATGAATGAAGCTGTGCGCGGGCTCTCCTTTTCTCTTCGAAAATGTTAAGAAAATTGTCGTGGAGTATACACCTTTCCAAAAAACACTCGACCCCAGGGGCAACCAACCGTTTTCGAGCCCAGTCACTGAGTTTGAGGCTAGACTCTCACCGGCGTCCCTCCTAACCCTAACCGAGTGGACTGTGATTTCAATAGGCGCAGCTTGCGTAGGCGCAGTTTCAAACGCTGCTGGCGGCTAAATTATCACCTTTTCCCGCTATATTTTGTGTCTCATGGTACATGTATTTTCCCGAGGACATTGAGAAATCATTGTAGCCCATTTGAAAAAACAAAAAAGCAAAAAAAAAAAAAAAAACTTAACTATTTTTGTCGGGTATGCGCGCGACAGAACGAATGCGACTGGAATGTATAGTTCTAGTTATTTTTTTTTCTTACGATAAGTTTTGACGGCGCAGCGGGATTCGCCGCATGTGAAACGACAAAGCGCTTTGCTGTCAAAAATAAATTGCAACAGAAAAGGGCCGAAAGTCATGCATTTTACACACTCACAAATAACGTGTTTACCGATGGACAGGACACGGACATACAATTGAGGAATTGTTCACATTCGAACAATATATCGTACGTACCACACGTTGCAGCGTTATCCGAAAAGAATTTATTTGAGAACGATCTCAAATAACACAGTCACAGTCGACGACAGTCACATCTTGACGATCGCACGGAACCCGAGATGACTTCGTTTTGGGGCACGTTTCGGGGAGAGCTTCCTTTTTTCACAACCGCACCGAGGCAAAGAAACAAACGCGACTGACCCATTTCTCACCCCAACCCGGACAACTAATTTTGGAGATAACTGAGGATTCTACACGGATTATCTCTGGGAGGGGGGAGAACAATGTTCGCAAAATCGCGTCGAGGGCCGTTCAACGTCCTTCACCTTTCCCGTGAATGTCGAGCAGAAAAGCTTGAATGGCAGGCACTTACCAGCCTTATTTCTCACAATGGAAGACAACACAAAAAGGGTACGCAGCACGCATAAAAAAATAAGTGGAAACTTTCAAGAGAGGCGAGGAAACGTCGAATGCAAAACCGCAAAAACGTAGGTAGAGAACCGCGCTGAGCGGGTCTTCACAGTCCCAGAGAGTGGCAGAAAATTTCTACCTCATAGGGGGAGCGAGAGTCGCACCAGCCGCATCAGCATCAGCAACATGGCGGCGGCCTAGGAGCGATTTTTGTAAAGGTGTATAGAGCCTGCGCCATCGCTGACGTAGCCGCGCTATAATGAAACGTCTCTTTCCACCTACTCCTCGCCCCGCGCGGCGTCTCTCTCTCCTTGACATTGCGCAATGCCGCGCGCTCTTCGGCAGCCGCCTCTGCGGCGCACTAGAGCCTGCGCCATACTTGGCGTAGCCATGCTAAAACAAAACGTCTCTCTCCGCCTTAACATTGCGCAAATGCTGCGCGCTTTTCAGAGCGCCAGCGTCTCTAGACTTTCCTTTTCACCGTGTGGAAGGGCTCGCAATGTTTTTGTAGAAACACTGCTATGCCGTGAAATCTCAAGTTGCAAAAATGTCCCACTAAATCCAGGCACCTGTATTTTTGGCTCTGTTTATAGTGAACCTCTCGATTCATTGCACCTTCTATTAGGGTGGGGCATTTGTATCATGCCATTAAACCCAAAAGGGGAGCTCCCCTATGGTTTTATCAAAATTCGGAAAAAAAGTATTACTTGGAGCTGTCTTTGAACGAGATAAATCTAGGCTACGTGGAAAGAAACACTTATCTACGGTTTTTTTTTTATTGTTCACCCAAAATACAGTGTCCAATAATGGTCTGAGGTTGCCCCTTTGCTTAGACTCTAGGCAGCTTACCTCGTTAGCTTTTCTTATCAGTAGTGGGGCGTTTCCTGAGCATTCAAGTTACGTGGACATTCGCGAAATCTCGAGGGAACTCCGCAGTCCTGTCTTGTTCACTTCGAAAAACCCCAATAAACCCGAACTTGTTTTTGGTCGCTCATCAAAATTTAACATTCAAAAACACAACATTTCCGAAAAAAAAAACATCCCCGAATTCGAAGAATCATAAACCCCAAAAGATCATAGCTTTCTTCCTATAGACATTTTCAATGTTGCTGTCGCCCATTTGGATTGCAGAACATTTGGTACGTTAGGAGTGTTGTATTGTTCTCACCACGTCAATTGTTCACGTTTAAATCACGAATGCCACTCATTCATTTTTGCCTCTTTTATGGTGGCATGAATGCTTCTCCGACTTGTGTGCTTGCGGCATCCCAAAAAAGTGATCCCTCGATTTCTGCCTGGCGCTATGGTGTGAGTGTAATCCGGCCGCGATCCCTGGTGGTGTCACAGCGCCGGTTGTGGATGCGGCAGACACCTGACAAGCTGCAGGTCTAACTCCAGATTTGCAGTCCACGGAAGCTTGGGAAAGCAGGAGTTGGGACGCGACGACAGCGACACTCGCGTTCGTTTGCACTTTCCCCCAGGAGTTCCAGCACCGACCGCCAGGACCGCGACGTCCGCGAACATGACACGCCAACTTCTGCGACGTCGTTTGTTGCCACTTCGAAACCACTTTTGATGTGTTTGTGGGATAGGACGCTAAACGCAGAGATAACTGATGCCCAATATGTGAACCCTGTTGTTGGGGGTCGGTGGCAAACCGAAAAGGTGTTTATAAAATGGCATTCGTTTCAGGCCATTTCATCTTCGCCGAGAACACCGGCCCTGACTTTGCCATGGCAACGCTGGAAAGCCCCGAACACCCGGAAGAGTGGCAAGGGTTCATGTGCTTCTCCTTGTGGTACCTGACGCTCGGAGACTCGCAGGGAACGTGAGTGCACTGCCATTGTTTTATTTTTCGGTTTCGTTTAAAAAAAAAACACTACTCTGCAAGTGAGAGTGAGAATGCCGCTCGTAGTTTTGTGCTTGCCTCCGAAGCGACCGCCCGCAAAAAAACGCATCTCGTAACAAAACAAACAAACGAAAAAAACACAAAAAAAACTTTGCTTTGCGCGAGTCTGAGAGACCCAAGTCCACCACTTACGTAAACGTGTCAAATAAAGTGCGCAGCGTTGCTTTCTTGTTGCACTCATTGGCCCGTACCAAGAATCAGTTGTTACACTTACTCGAACCCTTTGTTTACGAAGCTGCAGCTTTATAGAATAGGCCAACATAAGGAGCCGCATAAGCGGGAAATGCGTAGGTCGGCGAGTACGTAACCGTTAAACAATCTTGAGATAAGATGGCAACCACTGCCGGGGGTCGAGTTACATTCACCGGCCAGGAAGCTGAGTGCGCTGATTACTGATATATGGACGCAGCATGCAGGAGCGAGAGCCCGCTGTGTAAGAAAGAGTGCAGAAAAAAGGGGTCGAAAGGGCAAAGAAGAAAAGAGTATAAACAGGTGGCACAGGAAGAGCGCATGAAACAAGGGCGAGCGGAAAGGTCAGGACAGCACACGTTCTCCCTCTTGGTGACCCAGGAAATTCAGCAAAAGGCCTTGTATCCCGGTTCAGCTGAAGGAAAGCGTGCGGAGCCTCACAAAAAGATAATAGGGTGGCGTAATCTTTTTTCATACAAAACTTTGCCTTAGGCACCACCCGAACTAACCGCACCCCCACCCTATAGAGATACCGAATTTAAAGGTGTTTGAAAGAAGGACCAAACTTGCAGACATTTCTTTTAACATATTGCTTTTATGGTTTGGATTTCGCGTGAAAAGCGTTAGCTGGAATGTAACGAAGATCTGTTACACACAAGTCACGGCAACATAAAGCACACACTGCCGCTATGGGGAAATGCACAGGTAGGCATGAAAACTGTATAAATAAGTTGGTCATAATATTTGTTATTTGATCATAAGTAGCCTGATTTACCAATCACCACAGGAGAAATTGAGCCACGGTCTGTGCTGTCCATAGCCTGACGCGCTTACTTAGCACGCATTGGAGAAGGCAAATGGAAGAGAAAGCAGCTGTTGGCACGCAGCTGCTTTCCCAAATGACGAAACGCACAGAGTTGGCCAAGCATTGGCCAACGCCTGGCAATGGTCTTTTGACCACAGGCCAGACAGTGGCCTGAGATTGGCCGATGACTGGCCTCTGTCTGGCCGTTGGCCAATAGCCACTGGCCATCAGCCATCGGCCAAGCATTGGCCAATGAATGACCGCTCTTTGGCCACTGGCCACGAAACCATCCCCAGCTATTGGCCATTGCTAGGCCAAAATATGTGCTGCTTGGGTACCTGTCCACGTAATCTCACGCCGTAACTGGTCCCAAATAAATTTGAACCGGTCTCGGTGATTCTGAGAAACCCGAAGACTACACAGTGCGTCGCACGTGCAACACTTCCCAAACAATCCAAATCATTTGTAATTAAGCGTAGCAAATCGTAATGCACACATGTTGAATGCCAGCCACGCTGTTCATTGCACGGGCTCATCAGAATGATTGAGACGAGTTGAATTTGCTTTTTGTGGTCCTGGAAATGTTTGAACGAAGGTAGTGAAAAAATGGCTCTGCTCGAACGTGTTCAGCAGAAAGAAAAAGTGAAGGAAGCTCCAAGTAGCAACGTTCTAATGTTTCACCACCTGAAAGCACAGATACGTATACAACAGAAATTACTTGCATGGCAGCGGCTGCCAGATTTGTTTTGCATGTTTCATCCCGCGCGTTGGTTGAGCGCAACATTTTACGTGCATTTGGTTACTATTTATCTATACAATTCGTTTTTGTGGTCGTTTCAGCATTGCATGCCCCTGTGTATTTTATTCATCAAATTCGATACCAAACTTTTGAATTCTAGGTTATGTAACAACAAACTGAGCATAAAAAACACTTTTCCTTAGACATGGTGTGCACCCGCTACATAGTACGCACCCAGTTCCTTGTTTGCAAGTAAAAATATTATTTACAGCACACCTTGGCAGAGACCTGCACTATTATTTCACACAGAAGCTTGAACTCTAATGAGAAGTGACAATGAGTAGGCATAACTCAACCTCGAGACTGTACTAAGCAAAAACGACACAAATGGTATTTTGAAGTGCCTTCTCAAATTTGCTGTTTCATTCTCTTTACTGTAGTATTGAAATCTCCAGTTCGAAGGCTTCTCTTATCCAAAATGCTGACAACCCTGGAGCGCACCACCATTGGGTTCACGAGCAGATGGAATTTGTCTCGCCTGGCAAGCCTATGAAGGTAAAAGCCGATCGTGATGAGAAGCTCGAGTACTGAGATTTTTTGTCAAGCACCAGTTTACCCCAAAGCCTTAACCAGGCTTTAGGTCTAGTGCAAAAGTTGATCGCTATTAATTTAAGTAGTCTAAGGTTAAACAGTTTAACTTTACTGGTATGTAATTGCCCCGAGGAAAGTTTTTTAGTGCATAGACAAAATGTGTTTGAAAGAAGACGAACACTTCTTACGCACTTTGAAAACATTTGGGAAGCTAAATACCCCTTTAACTTATAATATGCATGCAGACCATGTCCTCAGTGTGGTTGACTAACTGCCACATACTAGTAAACTGGTAATTTCATCCCTGAGCTCAGAAAAAAAAACAGCTAATGGCAGTCACAACTAAGTTCAAATACTACTGCAAGGTTCCAAGATAACCTTTGCATCTGTGTTAATCAAAATGACCATACCGTGTTGAAAACTATATTCATAATAATAATAATTCTTCACTTTTACCACATTGCTCACAGCCAGCTGTAAGGTTTATGTGTGGTGCACGGAGTGTCCTCTAGACATAAAATGTACATGCAAAAGCAAATACACAGAAATAAAAATATTCAAACAAAATGCAGAAATACGAAGGATTTATACGAAATATATGGTATATAGAGACTGTCCCTACACAATATACTAATATACAAAGTGTATAGAAAGGAATGAAGTTTTAAAACAAACATGTATGAAAGAAACAATAAAATAATTAAAAGGCAGAAACTCGTTATGTTTGAATTTTGATCTTGAGTTCAAAGCAAATAGTGGTTTTGGCCGAAATCGTTCTAATCGAATATTGAAAGAACAGTATGTCTACGTCAGTCACCCATAAATCATGTTGAATTAACCTGAGACTGGGGTAGAGAAGAAACATCAAAACGTAGAAGGGACAGAAAATAGACAGGACGACGTCTCAAACTTGGCTAACTTATTTATTTAGTCCACCTCCTTATATAGTCTCAATCTCAAGGCCATCTCCACCAAAACAAAAGGACGAAGTTATATAGATCAAGCGCCACAGCCTTCATCACACAATGCAATAACATTGACAACGTTTACAGGTCGACGCGATAAGGCAACAACGTTATTGCATTGTGTAATGAAGGCTATGGCGCTTGATTTGTATAACTTCGTCCTTTTGTGTTGGTGAAGAGGACCTTGAGATTTAGACTGTATAAGGAGGTGGACAAAATAAATGAGTTAGCTGAGTTTGAGACGTCGTCCTGTCTATTTTCTGTCCCTTCTACGTTTTGATGTTTTTTCTCTACCTCTGTCTCAGGTTAATTCAACATGGTTAATATTCACCAACTCGCCTGCAGTCTTATGATTTTTTCCACCCGTAAATGTTGTATTGTTTTTTTTGTGTATCGAAGAGCTTCTCTAAGCATTTCACCACTGTTCCGCCATGCGTTAAAAAACAGCTAAAAATTTGAAGGGTTGTTCCCAAGCTTCCACTTGTCCATTTATAAGCTAATTTTATTCTAGCTATATTTCTGGATTGCAACCTCAGTAAGAAGGATGCCTCAGGAGTCAAGTAAAACACGGATATTTAAAAAAAAATTAAACCTGAAGGGGTTTCCAGCTACAGCCAATTGAGTGGATTTACAGTTTTTGCTATTATGCAAATACGTTTTCTTCAATCCCGTATTCTGAAGAAAAAGTATTACTAATGATGAACGCCAGTTGTCAGTGGATTTGTGCCTAGCATGTACTCCTGCATAACAGCAATTTAATTTTTAGAACTTTGGCGCAATGTTGGTATCAATATTATCAAAGTTTAAGTTACTTTTTAAATAGAGCAGGTGCTTTGAAAGCATCCCGCTTTGAAAGCGTGCTTTCCTAGCATGCAATTGCGAAATTCACACTTTTCTAAGGCCCCTCTTCAGACAGAACAATTTCTTCCATTAACTCGACATCGCAACGCCAGCAAAGCGGAATGCCCGCGTTAGCACGCAGGTGCAAATGCTACGATTGGCCATCATTATCACCGTTAAATTATAATTTTCTTGCAATATTTTTAAGTACAGTTACGCTCTTCAAACGTGCTTTTATAACTTTAGATAACATTTAGAGTACTAACACATTTATTTAAATGGTTTATTCCCCAAAACAACACATTTTAAAGCAGTACCAGGTCTCTTGTTGTCGTCATTACCGCCAATAGGGTATCACCCAAAAATAATGTGTTTCTAATCTGCTGCCACTTCGAACGTCTGAGTTGCCCGAGTTGCTCGTCCGTTCCGAGGCGGACACGATCGGATCGACTAGTGTCGCAGCGCCAGGACCAAGGGAAGGCTAGGGAACAGCTCGCCAACAACACCAAAATTGTTGGGAACGTTGCCCTGCGTGAAGCCGGCCCTCCTAAGTGTTGATCGCGTCAGGGTACTTCGTTGTGTGCGCGTCCTACCACGCACCACTACACTGCAGAAAAGCAACACCCGCTGACCTCGCTTCCACGGGTGTTGGTTCTCCGCATTGCACCGGTGGTTGGTAAGAAGGTAACTCCAAACAATAGCTCCAACCAAATCTTGATAGGAAACCCGACGCTGGAGAACCATTTCGGTTCCTTTTTCAGGGGTGACTAAAAGCACGCGGAGCAGCAGCAGCTCCTAACCTCGTCGCCTTCGAAATGCAAAATGGCTGAGTGGGGCTAAGCTGCCGCGATCAACACTTCGAGAAATATAAATATCGAAGTCCCTTTCGAAGCGAATACCGAAGTAGTATATTATTCGTAATCTCGAACATTTGCACATCACTAGCAGAAGCGCTACGGCTCTAGTGCGTATTGTATATACTGTTTCATTATTGCCTTGAATAGATAAAAGCCACGAAATATATGTAAACCGCGATCTTTAATGTTATTGTAAGCCGTCTGTATTCTAGATAACGGATTATTTGAAATTGCATGTGCCAGCAGTGTTTACTTTTTTATCCTATTGCAGTTTTCCCTGACGGCTAGAGTTCACAAAGGTCTGATTGCTGTGGATGACCTGCGGGTTACCGAAGGACGCTGCATGGCGCGCGGTGAGTACCTTTCTACACTATTGGGATGCCTGCCGGCTCAGAAAGTCGGGGGTTCTCAGAAAACTGGTTGACCTTAATAAAGTCAAGGGATTGTAGGACGATACGATCAGAAAGTATTCGGAGTAAAGTAGACCTGGGAGCATGACAAAATAATCGATAAGCCGTTTGCTCTCTCTGTAATTTGCTCTAACGCAGCCGGTGGCGGTGACCGCTGTGATTTCCAACGGATCATGCATTGCTGCCATCCAAGGACAGCTTCTACCATTGAGTTTGAAACACGAACCACTTCTTGTTTAAGAACTCTTTGAAGGTTTCTCACAATGCTACTCTAGACACACACATCACCGGCCAAACTAACGGAGGACATCTGGCGCGCCCCAGCGGAGGACGGATGATTAATTTCGATCACATAAGGATCTTCTTGACGCGCAACCAGAATCTCAGTTACACAACGCCTTCCCCATTAAGCCTCCGTGAAATTGCGGGAACTTTGAACGAAATTCTAACCCTGCGCATGGGGATCCAGAGGACTGTGCTTTGCCTCGAACTCACCAAAGCAGCACATGTTCAGTAAAGTTCACCACATGCACAGCCAATGAATCATTATCCGTGCTACTACCGCCCTTTGGTAAATTTATATCACGTCCTTGAACCTCGTAGAAATTGCCTTGGGAAGTCAGCGGCTGCGCATCAAATTCCTCCCTGGTCACGTGAAGTCAACGCCGCTACCTGCGAGCTGCGTCTCATTCCAGAGCAATGACATCACAGTGGCTGCACTTCTTTCACTCCAATGCAGGGGGGGCCTGTCTCCATGTCGTTGCCTAGGCAATGCACTGGGTCACAACGACCAGCGCGTACACTGATAGGCTGACATGTTGGCTGCTAAATTATTGTTCTTTTCTCGCAGATATATGTTCCATGATGTGAGGCATTGATTTGTATTTTTCTCGATGATCAGTTAAGAGTGCATGAATATTTAAATATGTCAGACATGAAGTCGAGTCAACAACATTCTCAAAAGTATTTTTGTCAAAATCGCTGCGCAGATTGTTATTGAAATGTGAAAGCATTTTGCACCGTCTTGTACCGCGTAAAGGTTTCCTGATTAACCTGCTCAGAAAGAGCTGTAGAAATTCTAGACACATTTCTGGTCGACGTCCACAAAGTCCATTTTATCACATTTAAAACCAATTCGTATAATTTTTGCCTAACCGGTTATTTTGTAATTCATATAACTTTTTTGCCGTACCTTTTCCTACAGCCATTGACCTTTGCTGTAGCATTACTGTAATTGAAATGTTCCTGTCTTACTACTACTGCTATATCGATATAGACGTAATACCATATCTGCACGTATATAACGTGACCACGAATACAACGCAACCACAAATATAATGTGAGGGAAGGGTTTAAAGGCCACAAAGAAGTGAAAGATGTTTACAACTTTCCGCAACGCCAATTTAGAGCGCAGCTCTTGGAGAGGAGGAGGGGAGGATACTGAGGGGAGGGTATGCCCCTCTTCCTCATCCGTACCCTCTACTCCTCCCTTTCTCCTCCTTTCACGCGCGAAACGCGCGTCCTCACGCGACGTTTCGGCAAGGTGCCGAAAAGTCAAACGACGTTTTGGTGGACCTCACGGGGACGTTTCGGCACGTGACTTCCACCAAAACGTCACTGTGACGTTTCTGCACCGCGCTGAAACATCTCCGTCCCATAATGCACCCTCCGGTTACGCCGACGCCGCTCAAGGCGAAAACGGGCGCCTAAGAGCTGTGCTCGAAAAGAAAAAGAAACGGCCGTATTAATATTATAATACGAACGTAAAGTTACTGCACTCGAGGGCATAGCATGAGTGAAAAGGGACAAGAATCGGAAAAATAGTGTATAGTAGTAGTAGTAGTGTAAAGGTTCTGACTGCACTCCTCGTCACTGCTCAGCTCGTACTCGCTGTCTCAACTTCACAGATGTGCTGGTATCAGTAGCGTCACTAGCGTCAGTGGCACTCAAGGCAATGCTCTCCCCGACCCCCCGCTCATTCCTCGCCGCAACACGCCGTCCTCTCCCCTCCCCACCATCTCCCCAGTTCGTTGCCCGACGCAATGCCCGAACCCCTATGAATGCCCACCAGCAACCCCCTGAGCGCTGCACCCGGGGCGGTCCGCCCCCTCCCGCCCCCACCTCTAGTGACGCCACTGGTTGGTCCCATAGTTTATTTTCTTCAAGGTGAGCTTTTGGTCTGCAAGTTGCTCCTCTTGAACCACGGTGAACTGTGTGAAGTCGGTTGGTTTACGAAACGCACGAATCGAAAGCAGCAACGCGCGAATGTCAGAACGCTCTTGAGCACAAATTAAACAATGCACGGGCAGAACAAAGACTGCTGGAAGCGATGCATAATCATTGCCACGTTCCCTCTGCCTTGTGTTTCATGATTGCGTAAGCATGACCACCGGTCTTGGCTTGGCTTGTGTCTTGACTTGGCCTGGCTTCAACTGGCCGGTGCCCCGCGCCCCCATGCGGCGCGTCCAATGAGTTTGAGTAAACTTATAGCGGTAAACCAGCAGCCAAAAACGGCACCCCCATTGGCCGCCATGTTGTCCGTTCGCCATATTAGTGATAACGTGACGGTAAGATTGCAGTGCCCAGAGGTGCGCCCAATCCGATTGGCGAGACCATGGTCAGCCGGGCCGTGTTCCAAAATTGACTCGATCTCACTCTAGGGCAACGTTACTAAAACAATGTTGGGAGACTCACCCTTGAATCCCGGAGAGTTCGCGTCCACCGAGACCAAACTAAATTTGATAACAGCGCTGTCCTTTACGGTTGAGTCAATCTTGATAGTTGATTTATTTAGATACTGGGAAATGGCACAGCGAGATGGTTTGACTGGTTCTTGTGGGGCTCTACATGAATCAACACGTGCAGCCTTGCAGTTCCCAGTGTGACTGCCACGGGAGAAATGGCGGCGTTGCGATCGCCTTTAATTCGGTTTTCGAGTACGGATCGGAGCCACTCTTTCAAAAGCAGGCTGCATGGCAGTTTTCGAATTGAATTGTTCTAGTAATTCTGCTCTAGGGTAAAGATTCTGTACTTTGGCATTCGAAAACCCGCCCGCATCCAGTTGCTCTATTTGTATTGTTGCGCGATACAATCGGTCGGAGCAACTCCGATCGATTCGAGTGAGATTCAACAAGAGCTGACCGTGATCTGGCCAATCTGATCTTGCCCACCTACGGGAGCAGCCATCTTGACGTCATGTTAGTCACTAATATGGCAGACAGGCAAGATGACCGCAACCTGGGGGAGGGAGGGGGGTGCCATTTCTGCTGCAGGATGTGGGATCCCAATTACAGCGCTAAAGTGGTGCTCAAGCTGGCTAGTCGCGTGATGTTTCTGCCGTTTTTGCAGCCGCGTGTGTTGTAAACTATGAAAATGACAGAGAAGGCTGCTAAAAATTTTAGTTTCGCCATCTTCGTGGCTTAAGGACTAATAACTTTCTTTCCCGCACTTCCGTTTCTTTTTTCACCCAATCTTCTGCATTCAGACGGAGGCACCGGCGTATCCAGGGAAAAAGGGGGGGGGGGGGTTATGGGGCTTCAGCCCCCCCCCCCCCCCCCCCCGTCATATTCAACCGACTTTATAATATAAATATGGACTTTGACCCTCTCTCCCCCCCTTCGCAATCGAAGTCATAAGCACCTTAGCCACCCCCTACCCCTCCCCCCCGCTAAAGTAAGTTCTGGCTGCACCACTGGTCGGAGGGATGATTTCTCCCGATTCGCGCGTCGTGGCTGAGCTATACTCTGAAAGTAACACAAGGTGTGTTTTCAAAAACGTAACTTTGAAAGAGACAAACACGCTTTATATTTGTGCAAATAGGGCTTGCATATTAGGCGCGTGTGAACAGTGGAATTTGCGTTCGAAGCAATTTCAAAGCAAATAGTGGTTTAGGAAGAATATTTTCTAATCGAATGTTTAAGAGTTTCTCTAAACCTTTCGCTACTGCCACATAATTAAACGAAAACTTACCTGAAATCGTGAATGTTGTTCGCAAGCTTCAACTTGTTTTTTTCTAAGCTGACTTAATTTTAATATAATTACATGGTTTACTGTAGCTTCAGAAAGTACTGTGCCTAGATTAGGATATCAGGTACAAAGTGTCCCCCTCGGCACACTTTGTACCTGAAACGAGTGTGTCAAAAGAGGAATTGTGTTCCGCCTCGGAACAGCGCTGAACGACGGGAACGGGACGTCTGATTTCATTGGAGACTTTTCGTAGATCCCGATACAGTGGGTATTTCAGGTCCTGCGATGGCCAGTGCAGTATGTGCTCAACGAGAAAGAAAAAGCTCCTGCCTGCTAGAAGCGCAACGTCTTGCAAATGATCTACGAAAAGTCTATTCTTTCGCAAAAATAGGTGATAACTGATCGCGCAACCGCGTGTCAAGCGATAGAGGTCGAGAACGGGTTCGAGTCTTGCGCGTTGAAATCCGTGAAAAGAAACGTGACATTTTTTTCCTAGCACTTCTGAAAAACAGACTACGCTTATTTTCTTTCAAGTAACTTGCAAAGGCAACAAAAAAAATTATTGCAGACATTTAAGCACGTCTGCGCTAGCCAGCCGTTTGTGACGAGTGCTTCTAACGCGCCGTTTTGTTGACATGGGGCGCGACGCTGCTAATAGCACGGTACATACGCGTAGTGTATATTCTAATACTTCTTTTTCATAGAGCGATAAATAAGACTCCCAAACACGTCAATGGCGTTCACCGGCAGTTTTAACGTATGATTACCGGAGGCCAGCGTGGGCGCGAGAACGCTTTTGGCACGCGCCGAAAATCACACTCCTAAGGTGCAGCACAAGCTTCCGGTTGTGGTGCCGCACCGTCCGGCAGCCTCCTTCACGCCGTACTTAGACTGTCCAATAGTAATTATGGCGCACGTTGATCCCATGCACCAAATGCACTAAAACCTTGACGGTGTGAAGCGAGTTGCGAGTTTGGCTCGAAGGTCACCCTCTGCATTTAGCCGGGCTCAACACAAACACCACGATATCTTTATCACTCTCAAAATTCTTTTGCCGCACGAAACGACGTGGCCGGTGATCTAAACGTGCTCGCCCTCCTTAATGCTTCCTATAGTCCTGCGAGGTTTCCGCAACTTATAAAAATTGCCATGCTCGTTTTTTCTTTTTTCTTTGCGCATGTCAACATATCCTTCACCTGGAACGCGCTTCCGCGCTGACCGCTTCGTATTTGTAGACATATTTATTAATTTCAGTACACTAACCGGCGTCTGCGAACAGGCACATGAGAATTATAAGGAAATCTATCCCCGTCTCTTCCGCTCTCTTGAAACTACTGCCCCGCCATCAATAAGGCGTTGGAGTTGCGAACAACACAAAATGTTTGCACTGTGTCCAAACTAGATGGGGGCTCATTTGTGTTGATACCAGTCTTGTTCCCCTTTTTTTTTAATTTGGAGTGCCAATAATACAATCTTTATGAACGTCCCTGCATGGCCATACCTGATTAATAGCCATTTTAACTTATTTTTTAAATTACCATAATGTAGATATGAACATTCCGAAAGTTTCCGTTTCTTTTGAAATACACCTGTCTCGCGCGTGCGCCATACTGCTTTGAAGGTGTGATTTACCCCAAAGCACGTGGCAGCAATGTTTGTACTTTTGGAAGTGTTGACCGAAGCGTTTTAGAGCCGTTGAATGCGCTTCTTCCCGAGCACTGGTACGATATGGAAGGGAAACACTCACAGAAGCGAGGTGCGCTTCTCTACGAAGCACCAGTGCTGGGTAAGAAGCGCGATCAACGTGGCTAACCTGCGACGTTCAACATTTCATAAAGTATGAATAAAGCAATTCGTCTTGAAGTGTATATTGAACAACGTATTCTTAGAGACCACTATTTGAACATTCGAATATTTGCACACCACTAATGTGTATAGGTAAACTCAAATAAAGCCCTTGGTAATAGTGAAAAAAAAACTTTTTTTTTCACTATTACCAAGACAAAGGGCAAAAACGGGAACGTTGTCATGTTGCCCCGTTTTGTCCCTAGTCTCAAGTTTTGTTTCACTATGATTGCTCACCAGCTCGCCTGCGCAGTAACCCATATTTCAGTAGCTCTTGGTAACCGTATTTGGTATTCAGAAGCTAATATCTCATATCACATTCATTGCTTGCATGACCACCTTATGCCTAATTGAAGTAAGTTTATACCAGATCCGTACCGCCTGGTTCATTGAGTGCGTACCGAGCCAGAGACGCAAAGGTGCATGGTGTCCGCTCAGAATGACCAAGAGTGCACCCCTAATATTTTGTTGAGGACAAAACAGATTGTTTTGATTCGTCCTGGATATGACTATTTTTGTCTCTACTTTGTTTGAAGAGACAAAGGACCAGTTAGGGAAAGCGGCTAAGGGAGAATTATGTTGTGTATCCACCAATGACCCTCGGTGAATGGAAAGTAAAATTTTTCATACCCATGTTTTTTCATTAATGCGTCAGCATTAGTACCTTAGTACATGCGCTGACCTCGGACTGGTTCGGAGTACACATTTATAGAGTCGCAACGTCGCCACAAGATGGTGCCAAGCCTTATTACTTTAAATGCCGACAGATGGCGGCAGGGTGCATATTCCGAAAGGCTTGGCGATAGCACCCATAACAACGGAGGCCTCGCTGGATTGGCTTGTTATAGGGAGCGACGCCATTCCGTAACACGTTGCAACTGAAGACCACCGACGACGTCCCCCTTTGCCAATTTTGACGCCACGCAGTGGTGGACGGCGGGTGTGTCACTGGGGCGTGTGGTAGCCCACCACGCCCCCCCCCCCCCCCCCCCCCCCTCCGCAATCACGTCGCTTCATGGCGACAGTCTGCGGACGGCTCGGTACAAAATATCAACCTACCTTGGGCCACCCGTTCACGGTACCTCGTGACGCCTTGCCGGCGGCCCAAGAGGCCCCGCTGTCTCCCGACGCACCTCGGCTGCTTAATGTTACGTCACGCCGTCGCTCTCTAGAACAAGCCAATCCTGTGTAACTGCCGTCCTTTATGCACATGTTAAGCGCTTGCAGGGGATCCGTGACCGAGCGGGCTAGCGCACACCAGCTCGGAGCACGTGGAGCGAAAGCTGCCGCTGCATAGCCCAGGAGTCCCGGGCTAGTCCCCAATCCCCAGCCCATTTCTATCTGGATGAGCATCGTACCGGCGTGCGGAGGTGTATCACTACTGCGTGGTCCACGTTGAAAGCCCCAGGCTAGCGGTTGTATTATACTGGCTAAATTTCTTATCTGCAGCAGGGAGGCAAGTCGCCCGTCGCGGCAGACTAACTTCAGGTTTTATAAACATACACACAACGCGATTTGACATGATCAGCTTGCGCCAAGGAGGAGTGGGTTTTCGGAATGTTCACCCCGCGGAAAAGTGCTGAGAGGCTGCATTAGCTATGCTTTCCAGTATATGACCGCTACGCGAAAGGCTAACGCATTTCTTCGAGAATCAGCGTGGCGGCAGCAACAATTTATGGCACAACTGTTTTTGCAGAAAAGTGCACTTTCGAGCCATTCAGCCCCTGCACCCTGGTATCAATTGGCCGCGGTGCCAGGGAATGGCGCGTTACGGAGGCTTCTCGTCTGGGGACCACGGACCACACACTTAAGTCTCAGAAGGGTATGTATGGTCTCGATTTCTGCCAATAACTAGGCTACTTTAGAGTTTGACGGCACTTGAGCCGTTGCTCGCTATCCTAAGCTCCAAAATATAGAAAAAAATGCTTTTAGCGTCCTCCAGGAAGGAAGTCCGTAGAACAAAATTGTTATCGCCTGATTTCCTGAAGTCATATCTAGAGCTCAGAAAGTCGTACTTTCAAATCAAGCTATGAGGACCGCACGCTAGATGTTGAGGTATAATACCTACTCAATCAAACTCGTTATGTAAGACAGTTTTACAGTGACATCCTGCTACAAAAGTATGAAATATATATTATTTTCGTTTGAAATGGAAATACCCGCCTTGTGCTAGTGCGAAGAACACTACTATGCGCATTTGAGTCTGACTTTCGGAAAATGGGAACTATATATTGCTTTGAACTCTCTCCTGTTTTGGTGGTGTTGGCATCTGCTTTACGGTGTATTCGAGTTTCCCCTGTATGCGTTGTGGTTGTGCTGTAGTTGAAAGGGTAGTGTGTCCTTGCCGGGCATTTATCGTCTTTAGCCACATCCCACAAGACAGCGTTGTTTTCCAGAATGAACTGTATGCATGTATGTAATTTGATCGTTATCGAGAGTAAGCTTGTAGCTCATGCAGAAGAACCACTACGGGCTCCGCATGTTCGATGCCTCACAAAAAAACTAGAAATATGATGCGTCTCCTTCCACAAAAACCTTTTGTTAGTCTTGATTAGTTTGTCATAAGGGCGCTTGAGTGCATAAGATCATTTCAGAATAAAACACCAAGGTCTAAACATTTAGGAGTAATCCACAGGTCAGTAATATGACTGTTTTATTCATACGACACAAGGCATTTTACCTGTAAGAAAGCTGTGACCCTTATAAATATTCCTTTCATGAGGAAATGCCTGTAAGGAACGTAATTTTTACTGGGGACATCTTTGAAAATCACGGGCAATCTACCAGTAAAGATTACGGGTGTGGTGAGCATGGCGTTGTTTCTGTACGATGACATGCCGATTTGCATTTTGATGTTCCTATGCAGGGCGTGTGCTGTATTTGAACACCACGATGATTATGGGAGGATCGGTTCACACTGCATCTAGGGTAAGCTTGGAGAGCCGTCGACCCACCACTGCATCGTGCCTGACCTTCTGGTGGAAGGGCTTTGGCGAGGCAAGCGACCTCAATGTCTACAAGTAAGGGTAAACTTGTTTTAAACCATGTATAATGCATGGAACATGTTTTTTTTAATGGCGCCTTCTGATTCCAATTATTTGTCGGTTTGTCCGTGCGTTTTCTTGGTGAGCCTAGGAAATCGAAGTCACGTGACGTAAAGTCACTTGATGTCACGGTATTGCGTGATACCAGGACTTGACCCCGGGACGTGATACCACGCGACTGTGTCGCGTGACCTTGGGTCACGGATATCTATTTCCTCGGTACCGTATTTCCGCGCCTATTACCCGCTTCTGCACATAACCATACCTTGAGTTTCAATACACACATGTCTGCAATAACTGTAGCAATCTGAGGTGCCTTCACTGTCACGATTAGCGTCGTAATTCACGTCGTTGAGGCGAATCATTATGCAGCAAACTTGAAACTGTTCTGCAGCGTCTCGTCCGGAAAGGTCGCCGTCACGCCGGATCCACGTCAATCGACGGCGACCGCTTCTTGAGTTTCAAACGTTGCCGAACCGTTTAAGAAGGGTTTAAATGGAGCTAGGTCGTAGTATTCGATATTGTGCCTTGTTAGTTAATACTAAAGAGGACAGCGTTGTTTAAAAACGAATTAAGCGGAGTTGCCCCCTAAGATTGTTTTCTGCCTTCGCATTTGAGTGCGACTCACTGCGTTGCAACAAATTGTGACTGCTTACAAGCTGTCGCACTGTCATCATCAAGGGGTTATTCCTGGAACACGATTGTATTTCCTCTTTTTGTTCGTGGGTAGTGCATAAGATTGTTTTTGCAAATGCTGCAAAAGCAATATACGCAGGTTGGAAGTGTATCCAGCAGGTGGCGCCAGCGTGCTATTTCGGTGAAAGCAGTCACAAGCAGTGCGAGTGCAGATGATGTGCGAACCGGCACCTCCAAAAGGGTAACATTGGTGTGCGTTTGGTCGTGTTACAGATACACAGCGGAGACTGTGTTACGCGACCCCATCGCGTCGGTGCGCACGAGGCAGTCCTCGTGGTGGAACGTTCGTTCGGTCACCGTCTCCTCCCGCAACAATTGGATGGTGAGTGGCATTGCGGGCTCCCTGTACTTTGTTCCAGCCGAAATCCGGACGCAGTCGACGCTGCGGGTTAAGGGGACCAATCAGAAGTGCACCGACACTCTGCTCGTCGTGTCTCTGCATGCACGTTCTATCCTCGCAGAGGCAATCACGTTCGGGAAAGGGCCGGTGACTCGTGCTTTTGTCAACATTGGATCGGTCCAATCGGCTCGTGGCGTCGGCTGGGTTGTGACTTAAGGAGAAACGTTGTATAAGAGAGTCATTGAGTAAAACAATTGGATATCGGCCTGCCGGTGCTGCTTACAGCATTTTTAAGAGGAAAAAATAGTTTTTGGTTGGTATTCCATTTGATTTGGGGGTATAAACGTTTTTCTAAACCAGAAAATACCAACAGCTCACGATTTAATAGCACAACGAATTATTATGGTGAAACAAAGATTTAATCAGTTGCTTTCAAAAAGGTGAAAATAGACAATTGTTGATAGCTCTGTGTAGATAAGGCTAGATTTTGCATTATTAGATTTGAGAAATCCTGAGGGGCAAATCAGGTATAACAAAATAAGAAGCAAATTTTGTCAGAAATATTTTATTTAAAGCGTGATTGCACTTTCTGTGTAGCCTAGTTTTAAATATTTTTTTGAGACTTGGTTCTTTTTTCCTCCTCAAAATCGGAGTGTTTTTTCAGAGTTTTTTTCTCCGCAGTTTCAGTATTCTTTTTGTCGAACTTCGGCGTCAGAGAAAAATTAGTGTTTAGGGGTGTTTATTATGCCTAAGAAACTAGGACGCGGGCGAGGTAGTCCTCAAACTCCAGGGAATATTCCCCTTAACTTGAATACGTTTAAAATGTTCCAGTGCTGTTAAGAAAAAGAAACGAGGCAGTGGTTACGTTTCTAAATAAAAAAAAAAAATGTATGGCCGTTTGCTCGGCAATTGTGTTGCACATTTGAAAAAATTTCAGCATGACAAACGGTTAGCTATACTCAAAGTTTCTTGACAGTAGGCGCCTAGAGTGCAGATGGGAGGTTGTTTTGATCCCATATCTCAATGGAACACCTTGAGCCACCGTCGGAAACCGGGGGAAAAATAGTGGAAGGTGTGGTCTGGATCCTGGTGGGAGTTGAAGACTTCTCTTTGTTAAACTGGATGTAGTACAAGTTTTTCTCGTTGTCGAACAATCGAGCTGGATGTACACGTTTTTATTAATTGCGACTTTCCGATGATCTAATCTCCACTCAGTCATTCGTGGTGGCATCGGTGCCTGGAGAATTATCACATCCACCTATCAGTAATTCTATTCCTGCATCAAATGTGCCATTTTCCGCCAGAGGCAATCTTCTGCGCCATTCTGGTGGAAATCTGCCCTATAGCGCCAAATGGCGTGCCTGACCAAACTAGGTGGCGACTTGCGCCACCTATCATAGCCACATGCAACCTGAGCAGCGGCAAAGTGAAGGACACCTAAAGCATGTGCTGTGAAACGGGGCAAGTACTCCTTTCAGGGCAAACACAAGCCTTTCCGAGAGCACAACAAAGCTGGCAGGCATAAGGGACGGGCCTTTGATAGGCTCTTCTGTGTTCAAAATAAACTATATACAGGAAGTTGCATTGAGAGTCTTTTTATATGAGGAATATCTGTTAAGTAATCACTCACATTGAATTTTTGCGAAAGATAATTTTTTTCGCAGAGAAGCCTTGGAGACCAGTAATATCAAATGGATTTACTCTCTACTAAAAAAACTTGGTTGAAGATTTTTAAACCTTAAAATGCTCTTTAGTAAATTTAGGTGGTTATAATATTTTATAACTGCATGCTCAAAAGTTATTTGGAAAGCGATATTTAGGTCCCCAAAAGGGCTGCAAATTTCAGGTTTATGTTATCCAAAGTGCTCCGGAATTCATTTTCAGGTGCTCCATAAAATCGCTCCAAATCACAATTTTGCAGTAAGATCAATGACATACGTCTGAAGGTCGCAGTAACGAGTTCTGGATCATGAGCACCAACTTAATTTATAACTGGGTTTGAATAGGGGCAATTGACTTTCAAGACAGCCAGTAAGGATAGCTACAACGTCTTTAGCATGACGAAAATTTTCGTCATTCTTGTCCAGCTCGCTTGCACCTTTGCATTTAATTGCATTATAATCATAGTCTTTAGCATGTTTTTAAGAATGACCCATGGGATATTATCCTTTCTTCACGAAGGATATGTCTGTTTGACACATTTTTTTGGCAGCCTGTGTTTGAAGCAGTCTCAGCTGAGTCGGTCAGACAACAATCTGGAATCATGCTGGATGACATCGAGATCACCACTGGAGCGTGCCTGCCAGACAGTAAGCATGCGTGGATGGATGTTACTGAATATATATTTAGAATCCCGGAGCTTGTGCCACTTTGCAACTTGAAGTTGATTCACAGTTGACATATTTTGATTTTTTAACATGATATAACTAAATTTTAATTAGGTAGTTTCTGCAGCAGCGGCTTGCACTGTTGCAACTCTAAGGGTATATTTTTTCTGAAGGTGGCAGTAATAAATTGGCACTGCATCACTAAGGAGAAAACTTAATACGAAGTTAGTATAGCAGTGTCAAAATAATGTTTCTTACAAAAGGTAGCTTGTATCTAGTACAACATTTGTTCTTGTAAATTGGATTCTCAAACCTGCAGAGGTCATTTTCGGAAAGGTGACAGCCAAATATTGCTGCTTCTACAAGATGAGAATACCCATCAAAACCACAAAGACGTTGATAGGTTATGAATAGAAATTGATTAATAGAGGCACAGTACTGCTGAAAACGCAAGCGCTTTCCAGGAATTTGTAGTGGTTAAGTTTTGTTTGTAATTTTATTGGTGTTCGAATATTATATTTTGGAAATGGTGTTTGCTATTTCATTCGGTTCACATCATGCTTTTAACGTTCAAAGTATTTTAGCTTTTTAATATTATAAAACTGAAAATATAGTCGATTCTCAATAATTCAATAACTCACAAAAACAACAAACAGAATAATAAAAAATCATGCTTTTTTGTTCACTACTCACCGACGAGATTTTTTTTTGCTCACGCTGATGGAGATATGCGACAGTAACTATGTTCTGCGGATTGTGCGAAAGAAAAATACCTCTGTGACACCCAATGCAATTTCAGCAGGAGTTGCACATGGTAGAGAAAGCAATACACTGGCGCCTATTCCTAACCACTTGCACAACTCAACCTTCTGAAAGCATCTCCAAGGGATGGGAAACTCGTCAGTCTCACCTACGGGGATGTCTGGCTGTGGTTTCTTAAACTATATGTGCTCACTTAACATTTAGTGATCATATTTGAATATTTGAAAAGTAATATTCAGTGACAAGTGCAACATAGTCATACACCTACACTTTTTAACTTGTGTTCGTTTTAATGTGTTTCTATATTTCACATTTTTGTTTTCGGATAACTATATTCCTCATTGAACTCTCCTCTTTTGGCAAGACTTCCTTTATGAATTATGCACCATTTCTTTTCTCGGCCAATACCTCCAAAATGTAGCTTGCAAATGCAGGCAATTGTAGTTGCATGACTTTTGACTGCATTTGCGATTCTTCTAAGTGCGGTCAAATGTTACAGTTTGCATATTGAGTTTTTGTTAGAAAGAGGTACTGATAATAAAATATTACTTTGTGAAAAAGACATGGGAAATTCAAGCAGCTTGGTTTAGTTTGATTATTGGAACTCCAATTTAAAAGTTAAACTACCTATCCAATGTGTGCAGTGAATAGTACATCATACCTAATATTGGATAGTACATTGGATACTAGCTCCTAGGTAATGTGGGATGGTACATCCAACATTAGCTAGTTCTAACATTATTTCTTAAAATAATTATTTAGTGTTAGCAAACTTGAAGCTATTTTTTAAATGATGCCTATCATGACTGCGAGGTTCCTTGGCAAGATTATTTTGTCAGGGCACATTACTTTAAGCCCAGAAAACGTTGCGTTTAACAAAACGCCATCTCTCCAGCTTGATTCCTCTCTTTGTTTCAGAGCTGTGCACTTTTGAAGAAGATGTCTGCAAACCATGGGCAACAGTGTTGGGCAAGTGTGCTGCATTGTACAACACATAATTTTGTTTTGTTCAACACTGTTTTCGCTAAGTTGGTACCACACTTTAATGTGTGCGTGTTCACTAATGCTTCAATCCAAATTTAGACATCGAAAGACGTCCTCTGGATCGTCTGCTATCGAAACCTAAATCAGGCCTTCGATGCATCTGTCGAAATCGTCTCGAAGTCAACGGGCACCGTCAGCGTCGACCGTGAAATGGCGCTGTCGACTGCCCAAAAGAGGTTCTTGTTTTTTTTTTTTCTTGAAAAATATAAGTTTATCCATTCATATTTAAACTCTATCCGTACGCCATTTAGCCGCAACTCTGCAGTAAATTTCAGCACGATACGTTGAAGATCCGACTTTTGCGGACCGCCCAAATTTGCATTGAAGCGTCAGTGTTCACGCTGTAGCACAATGGATTTCCAAAAATGCTGAAGTCTTATTTCCCGACTTTAAGTGCACTTGAAAAAAGTTAAAAGGACGCTTTGGAATGTTGGTGTTAGTACTGTGTCATTTGAATACACATTTGACAGAATTTCCAGCTTGCCACAATCATTACAAAATTTGTAGTTTTTTTTTAGTTCTTTTTTTGAGAAATATGGTGTATTTGCCCCGTTGTAGAATCATTTGCATTACTGTCAAATCCTTTGCAGCACTTTTTTTCCAAAAAAAATAACGAAAAACATGTTTAAAATTTAATTTTATGAAGTAAGTTTGGGATATTTACTGTTATGAAAATATTCGCATCGAAGGGGCAAATATTTTTTTATAAAATCAGTGTTTGAAGTGAAGAATTTTGTCATAGCATTTCTGATCCTTCGCAGAACATTGCTATGGCACCCTGGCTGGGAATCTTTCTGAATTAACCAGTCCCAACTTGTGCCCTAACTAGAAACGATGAGACCATTGTCCCACTATTGGGAATGGAGACGTCCAGTTGAACGTTCAATTGGTCCCATATGAACCCTCCTGGTCCAGTTGGCCCAGTTGATTACCAATAGAACGTGTTCAGGTTTGCGCGTCTTGTCAAACGTTGTGCAAACATATTTCTGTAGCCTGAGACATGGCAAACCATGTTTGAGGTGACAAGCAGAGTGCTGCCATGGGAAAGCGATGCCGCACTACTGATGTGTCTCGCTGCGCAATCAAAAAAGAAATAAGAAGCCAATGAAAATAAATATGGTTAAGTTTGTGTTTATTTTCAAACTGAAGCTTTTGCAATGAATATTGTACTAATTTTGGCTTTTTACTGGGACCACCCGAGTCGCAAAATGAAATGCCCTGCGCCACCTGCTTCTACTGCGGGCTTTGTTATATTCTCGATATATGAAGCTCCGTATTACAGTACTAATGGCTGGCTAGACTTGCTTCCCAACTAAAACAGCAACTAAAACGACAGCAACATTAAAGGCACCGGGAAAACTATGACTCATAGCTCCTTTACGAGGCTGGTTCTTGAATCAGATGCTACGTTGTGTGCAGAAAACGGTTTTCACTGTGACTAGATTCTTGGTGTCGTATCAGTCATTCTGAAAGAAACCAATACAACTTTTTGAACCTAGCTCGCTAATATAATTCATTTTGAAGTGGCTAAAGGCCCGTTCACACTTTTGCAATCGAGTACGACCGAGGGAGGTCAGGCCTGTTGAAACATTTTAAATTTTGTTTGGACGAAGGAACACACTGGGTCTCCGGCGCCATATATGAAGTGACCCTTGAAATGCATTTCACAAGAGCGAAGGTTTTGCGGGATTCCCGAGGTAAAATCTTCCTAATACCTATAACAAAGGCGTGTTTATAACGTTGAGAATAGGTTTCGAGCCTAGAAAAAAAGGATAATGCGCGCGAGAAAAAGATAATATGCCGGACCGCCAAGTTTACAGTGCTACTCACTAAATGGCGCCAGTGTGTCCGCTCGTCGTCAGAGATATTAAGAGGTTCCAAGGCACCGGCTCTAAGAGGTGGCAAGTGTGTGAACGAGCCTTAACTCCTCCACTATATCTTAGCAAAAACAACATCGTACGAACTGGCACGGATAATGGCTATGTAGGCAGAGTGGGGACGGTGGAGAAACCTCGAGGATGGCATGGAGGCTTGATAGTTCGCGCGGTGGCGGATAGATGGCGCTAATCATGAATATGGTTTGTTGGTATACCAACTAGTCTCTGTCAGGCATTCTCATTTGGGAATTTAATATGGTATACCTGTATCATACTTTTATGTTTTTTTTCTACAAGAGAAGGTATTAGAATGGCGGGGTATTCGGATCGTGACAAATTAGTATTGTGCGAATATTAAAATTTTTGAGCACTAGTTTCGAATAATACGTTACGGTATTTATAATCATTTCGAGATGAACTGCAATATGCATACTCTTCGAGGCGGTGATCGCGGTGGGTTTGCCCTGTTGATTTGTGTAGCTCACTTCTTACCGAGCTCCGGTGTACTGCAACCCTTTTGAAAACTAGCTAAACTTGTGTTGCTTTTCCGCTGTGCACCGATGCTCGGCAAGAAGCGCGCTCAACGGGGCAAACTTGCTGCGATAACCGTTTCGAAGAGTACAGATATTGCATTGCATAATTCGGAGAAAACCACACTTTCAAAGTGGGATGCTGCACGCTCTTGCCTGGTGCAGGTAAGAAGTGAAAACTGTGAATGGTAATATCTGTATTGGAGTAATTAAAAAATAAGCTGAGTCTCATATGCAAGGGTATATGTGAGGCAGAGAAGTCCTGGCAGCCTTGTATTCATTATTGTTGGTTACGTCTTTTTCTTAAAGTTCGAGATTGAAGAAAGGGTGCTTGCAAATTACAAGAAGATGATAGTTCTCCTCGATTAAATACAGCTGGGCATCTCTGCAGTGCATGCTCATGCCTGGTGCAACTAATGACGACGGACTTGAGATTTTATGTCAAAGCCGTCGTATACTTGCTGTTCCAATGTAGGCGATGTAGGCATAGGACTTTCCAAAGCAGCAGTAAATAAACTTAGCTTGGAAGTGGAGAAGTAGAAGCTTGATAAAAATTCATCCATTAATTCAGCTGTGTTTTTGTTTGAGCAGGGTGCGACAATAGTAAAATGCTTAGGCAACCTATTCAATATTCGATCAGAAAATAATCAGCCATAACAGCTCTTCGCTTCAAATTAGCTTCAGACTCAAAATCCACTATTCGCAGATGGCTATAAGTTATAAAACACTTGTTCAAAAAACTAAAAAATTTCACATTCTTATGAACTATTTCTGATCTTTATTCTCAATGTCTCATATTAAAAAAAATTGTATTGTAAAGTTTGTAGAGTTATTTTAATTAGTATAGATAGTTTTTTTAAACTTTAAGGTGAAATGAACACGCTTGGTTTGGATGCTTAAGACATACTTCAGTGAGCCCTAAATTGTGGATATACCCTAAAGACCGCAAAAAATAGCTCGTCAGACAAGACTTGACATGTATAATGAATATTGTTTGTGTAATAATTATCTTCTTGCAAATTTTTTTTTACCGTAGTGAATGCAAGCAGGCGGAACGACGGCTTCCAGCTTCAGCGTGCAGAGCTGTTTGAGAAACTTCCTAACGACCACACCTTGCACAGCGGGGAAGGTGAGTTTTGAAACATTCAACATGCATATTTTTATATTTTATCTAATTTTTTAGTTCTGATTCGTAAGTGGCAAATTGGAATTCAGGCCAAAGAGCCCGTATCTAGAGGAGGCTTATTGTAAAGAAGGCGCCCTGTAACCGAGATGTTGGTTCGACGTAGAAAGATCCCCAGGGGGTCCAAATTAATCTTCTGACGTCCGCTGAGGTATGCGAGAAACCCTTCGTTCATTTGGCTCGTAAAGTGCAAACATTATATACACCAACTCATGTTTACTAACAAACCAGAGCGCCCCTAGTGGACGCCACCGGCGCCGCGCAAGCGCGGTGGGGGTGTGGGCAAAAGGCTCGCCGTCGCCCATAAACAAACCATTGAAATGCGATCTTATCGGCGTCGGTGTGAATCCCTTCGCTCTTTTTCGCGTTCGAATGTTTGATTACACGTCTTCCTAACGATGTCTGACTACTTGAGCGGCGTCAGCAAAATTCCAGAGGCTCGCAACACCGCAAACCTTAGCGTGAACAATGTGACATGTGGCGATTCATTCCGCGTGAATGCCGCAGTATTTGCGCTAATACCTGATTCGCATGATGAGATTTCGCTCGCAATTTTCAGTCGCGACGCCGCTCGGGCTGCAGAAGCGTGAACCGTAGCTGAGACGGTCGACGTCGATGCTGAAAATTGCAAGCAGAATCGGACCAAGTCAATTAGGCAGAGCAACTCAGTGATGGTCACTGGAAACTTTGAACAACATCTCCTTGTATTTACTTTTTACATCGAGCCTGCTTACCAACCTTCACACTTAAGTCTTTTGAGGCCTGCACTTACTTCTTATAGCAAGTACCGGGCCCACATCTGGTCTACGGGCCGGCGTCGTCTAAGAGTGGAGACGACAAGCAGAAACGTTTGAAAGAGCAGACGACAGTTCTAGCGATCAGGCGGCCGTTTGAACTTGAAGACGCTCTGAACGTAGTCCGCAGTTGGTCCGCACAACTTGATGGTTTTCTGACGTTCATGTTGGAAGAAAACATATAAATCTGATGACCACAAGTATCTGTGAATTCAACCCAAAGTGCTTCCCGCCCAAGCAATCGTTGTTCTACGGCGTCTGGTTTTCCCTTTTCTCGGCACGTATCCAGATTCTCGGACGAACCGAGCACGTCAAAGCTGATCTTCAATCTTTTCTCGACCCTTTTGGTACTGCCCCTGTCCCGGCGTTTTGACGAGAAGGCAGATTTTTGTCTGGTTCCCTTCGAAACAACGCAGGAATGCACGTCTGGTATGGGGACTTCTGCCCACAGCCCCAGACCGGAAGTGCGACCGACGCGCCACCACCACGCCGTGACGTCACAGAGATGAGTTGGTGTATATGTTGTAAAAACCTGATATACCGAGAATCTTCATATCTAGGCAGGATGCTTTTCCGAATGGTAGTCTGGAAAAAAAAAAGATAAGACACTCTTTCGATCTACCACGCAATAATCCCGTGCACGGAAGGCATCAAGTATATCTACGCAAATACGAGCGTCGTAACACGATTTCGCTTGACATCACGCCATCTGACCCTGTCATGAGGTGCTACTCTGCCGTATGACATTGCGTGCCGCTATAACCTATGGCGTGACGTCACGTTAGATTAAAACTTAACGCCGGAGGTTACTAGACCCTATGGCTAGTTGGCATGCGTTTGAGCGTACTTGAGTGCGCTTGACTGACTTGTAACTGCTAACGAGCGAAGACACTGTCACCATATATCATGTAGCACTGGAACACTTCCATCTGTACATACATTTGTTTGCATTTTACTTGTCATTCAGGGCAAGGCTAAGTGTCCTGAAGGAGTAACTTGGCAGTGCACCGTACTGAATTTTGCTGTATTCCGCAGTGAAAAACTTTCAGCCTTTCCACTCTCGTCAGAAAGGAAGACCAGCGGAGCCGTACTCTATACACTGTGTGCTTCTTCTTCGTCGTCGTCTGTTTTTCGCAGTGTTTCCTACTATGAATTCCCACTAACGAGCCGCCCAACTATCCATTCTTCTAATATAACTGGAAAGGTTGCCGCCATCTACGAGTGACGGTGGAAACCATACTGGTTGTGTGCTTGCCGCCGTCGCTTATAGATGGCGGTAGCTGTCCAGGTAGGTTTCGACATACATGGACACGATCCTGGGGAACCTAGCCCTTAACAGCTGCGCTGTAACAATATGCAGATATGCTAATGGGAAAATAAAGAAGTGCATGAAGCGTTTTTATTTTAAATGACGGTCCTCTTTGCATCTGCTTTGAATTGTCAACTCTTTTCAATGGTGAGTTCTCAGCTACTGATCAGTCTGGCATGTTCCCTTGGCGGTGTTGGAAGGTATCATCTGACGGAGAGATTCCCTGTACTTGTACCTCTGTTGCTCCTTTATATTTTTTGTTATGAACTACAATATATAGTGCTTAATTTGTGTGTGTTTTCCAGTTTTTCCCCGTGTCCTTTTTTGCACTGCTTCATTTATTCTCATGATGCACGTCTCCCCCAACACCGGACCCTGCTACATTTTACTATGGAGATCAAGCACTTAAATTTTTTGAAAAGTGGGGAGGGTTCTGACAGTGATTTTACTTTACGACTTAAAATGTGTCGCAAATTGTTAGGGAATTGTGCTGCATACGTGAAAGATTCTAGGATTACAAACGTTCATATAATCGTTTAACGGCCCGTCTAACCTGTACAGCCAGAGGGCTACGTTTGCGGCGCTCTTCATCGCAAAATTCAACACACGGCATTTGTACACATGGAATCATAAACCAGCTAATCTTCCAGAACCTCCTAACCCACTGCCCTCCGACCTCGCCTCCTCGGCTACTTCCTCTGACTCCACCCCTTGTCACATGACCTCCCTTTTAACAAATCATTGTCGAGCACCTCGCTCCTCTTCTCCCATTCGTCAACCAATCAGTGCCGAGTCTCGCGGCCACGTTTTTTTCCAGGCTCACTTTTAGGCTTCACAAAATGCCGAATACCTGGCCAATGTTTCAAGTTCAAACTTTTATTATCTTCTTTGTCTTGCCAGGTTATTACCTGCTGTTCAAGAGCACGGGAGACAGAGCAGACAGCGCTTTACTGATGCTGCGGGACCAGCGCTATCGGTGCGCCACCCTCTGGTACTTCCTCTCCAAGAGCGACACGGGATGCAGAATTCGGATCGGGACCGAACAACGCACGAATGCCACCAAGCTCTGGACGCGCGTGCAGTTCGGCCTGAAACAGGGCCCCATTCCGGTATGCTGCGGCTCGTACCTTTGGTCAGGGATCCTCAAACTTTTCGATCTCGGTGAACCCTCGTCTTCCTCAAATGGCAGCTGAGTCGCCGTTCCCGGTTTTGGCATGGGTGCAATATAAATTGGCAAGCACAAGCTCACGGACATTGTGAGCAACAATGCAGATAAATAGTAGCATCTGGAACATATACATGCACGAATAGGTGGCTTGGATCTGCTAAGACTGTGCTTAAACCGGAAATAAGCGTACAGTAGGCCATAGCGTACAGTAGGGGTTCGTAAACTGGGTTCCTAGAAAGGCAAGGATTTTCCCAAAGTACTCTCGTGAGTTCTTCAGTCCCCCGAATTTCCTTAACTTTTCTTGACCTAAATAAGTTTTTTTTTTTAGTTATTCGGCATGTTTTACCGGATCTATGCCACGCATTGATACATAACTCTGAGCCAAGTACTCGTCAGCATATGTTATTATAATTTCAACAATCTGTGGACTTCTGCATGGTTTTAGTGCATCAATGATCAGATCAGGAGTCGTTCCTGGGCCTTCTGCCAGCGCAGGGGGGGGGGGGGGGGGGGGGCACCGCCAGATTGAAAGCTTTGACAACACCATGGTGTTATTTAAAATATATATATATAAATATATTTTCGGAAATTGTTTATAAGAAGCTGTGGCAAATGCCGCCCAAGGATGGCATTGCGTGTGTCGCTGGCGACGAGCCCCATTTTTTGTAGAGAATTAAAAATATCGCCTTGGACTTTGATTTAGGTAATCTCCTATGAGTGTGGGTTTTAAAACTTTGTATTCTGATTCCAACTGCTCGCAGCACATTTTGATAGCGTGAGCTTTTAGCAAGGCATAGTTTATTCTTGCTGTGGAAAAAAAAAAGAAAATTCATTCTTGTTTTGCTTTACACACCCTGCAAATTGCATAAAGGGGGCGCATTACGTTTTTTTTTTTTTTGTTATGAGATAAAATTGTTAAACTGGGCTCACCGGGGGATTGAAAAACTTTGGTGAACATGTCCTTTCTTTGTACACTACAAAATTATAAACTCTTGACCTTTAATATTTCAGTATTTATTGATAAAAACCATGTTCTAATACTTTTTTTATGTCATTGTGATAGTTGCAGCCTGGTTTGGAATATCAACTTGTCGATGTAAAAGTAACTTGCATCAGTTCAATTTCACACCTCATTTTGACAAACATTAAAGGCACACATCCACATTACATGCAATAATACATTTTAATTTTTAGATGAAATATATTATTTCTGTTCCATTTCTTTTATGAGAATTAACGCCTGACATTTCTATGATGTCACAGCGTACTCAAAGACATGCAAGTGCATGTCTGTGAGTACGCTGACTGGGCATCAATCATGATTGTTTTGTGATAATGAATGTCCGTTCAACACACCCATATTCTTAGATTCAACACATGCAGTATTGGGAAGGAAGTATATAGATGGTTCATATCAGTGCATTATTTTAATATCATGTACATTCAAACAAAAGCTTGATATATGTTTTATAGTTTACAAATCTAAATAGTTTATTTAGAGTTCTATGGCTTGTCAGACAAAGAAAATGTTTGCAAGCTACTTAAAATCTTCTTCAACACAGGTGGGCATTCATGTGAACTGTGGACGTGACAAGGAGGCCTTTGCCGCCATTGACGATTTGATGGTAGACGAGAAAGAATGTTGGCAGCTCGGTAAGTCTAGAGTCGGTAGATGCAGGCAATTCCGAGTCTCATGATGAGTTGGTATCGTGAAGTGGCTGCTACATTTTTAGCCTAGGATATTAATTTTTAACGTTGTAAAATTAGAGCAGGAACTTTCTGCCTTACATTTTTGTTTGTACTCTTAAAGGGGTACTCCGGCGTTTTCTTCAAAGTCTCCGAGTCGACTTAAGAAATGCGCTACATACAAATAAACGTTGCTGGAATAGGAAAACAAATATTAGGCCAGAATAATTTTTATTTCTGGCAAACTTAATACATTTACGATTTCGGTCTGGGGGATCGGTGGCCGAGTGGTCTAGTGCACACCACCTCGGAGCACGTGAAGCAAAAGCTCGCGCTGCAGAACCCAGGATCCTCGGTTCAATCCCCGCCCCTGCCCGTTTCGATCTGAATGAGCATCATACCGGCGTGCGGTCCTGTATCGCTACTGCGTGGTGCACGTTAAAGACCCCAGGCTAGGTGTTGTACCGCGCTGGCTAAATTGCTCATCAGCAGCTAAGACACCAGACGCCCACTGCGGCAGACTAACATCCGGCTGTATAAACACACGCACGATAATTTGAAGCCTGATTTTGGTCCTCACAATGTTTTCCAAACTGAAGTTTCTACTGGCAGCAATGAAAAAGTTCCGCGGGTGGCAGGCAGGGGTTTACTCTTTAAACTTGAGAATTTGTTTCCTATTGATTACAATCAGTTGCTTGGTGTCAAAGGAATGCTTTGAAAGCACGCTCCAGCCCCGGCACAGGAACAAATGGTTGACATATTTTATTTTTTAGAATACCTGCTCGACCTCCAAACCTGCCTGCCACTGAAGTCACGACACTGAAATGCCCGGGTATCTTTGAATGTCGTCTTGGCTTTATATCTATTTGTCAATTTCACTGTAAATATTTTCTATTTTGCGATATTAAGTAGCATCCTGTAAAACATAAAGGCCAAGAACTAAAAAAAATAAAGTTTAGCTTATAGTTGGGGCATTTCAAAAAATATTTTCCCGCGTCTTTCCTGGAACTTGTGAATATAGAACTGACACTTACTCGCGGGTATTGTACTTCACGTCAGTGGTTTTCGAACGGTGTTAATGATATTGTCAAACTTTACATCAGACTTACATGCTTTTGTGTACATGAGGCTTCGCTACTTCCTCATTAACAATATGTATCTTTTTACTTGATAATATGTCCAAACCATCCTGCTTGGGCCCCTAAGCAACCTTGAGTTTTTTTTTTAAATTAATGAATGAAATTGTGTTTCCTGTTTTAGCTATAGTATTCTAAAAAAACAGCTTTTATTCGTAAAAGAAACTGTGGAAATTGTGCACAGAATGTACACCTCATAAACATGTTAATAATGTCGGTAATTATTCCCACCCTAAACAGCCCAGTCCACGGAAGTGTTCAACTGTGGGGACGCGGAAAAGCGGTCCGTTCCCGTGGACCGCGTGTGCAACTTTGTGTGGGACTGTCCGAATGGAGCTGACGAGCAGAACTGTGGGCCGTGCGACTTCGCCACGGACACTTGTGGTTGGAACGTCGATAGCGGCCTGAACAAAGGAAAACAATCCTGGGAACGAAAAAGAGCTGGCGAACTCAAGGAATCCCCCCCGGTGGACTGGACAGGCTCGTCCAAAGGTACGTCATTGAGCAAAGCCAAACTTCGTAGAGGCATCCTGAACATTTTGCAAGGGTATATCGTTGTGAAACCTCGCACTTCACAAATATGACATTAACATTTCGCAATGATGCGTCATTTATCAATCTCCCGCTCCAAAAACGTGTCACAAATACGTGGTTACGACATATCATCGAGAAATCTCTTACTCCATAAAACATCTCATTGATATTTTGCACCTGTGTGTCATTGAGCAATCTCCGATTTCATAAAGGCGTCAGAAACATTATATAACGACGTGTCATAAAGTGATCTCCAACTTTATAGAGGCCTCGTAAATAATTTGGAGTGGTAAATTATTGAGTAATCTCACATTTCATAAAGACATCATACGCATTTCATAAGAACACGTTGTCAAGCAAACTCCCACTAATGTAAGTACCATAAACGTTTTATAACTTGTCATTGAGCAATTTTTTCTTCATTAAGTCGCCATAACCATTTCGTAACTGCACGTTATCGAGCAGTCTCCTAATTCGTAAAAAGTTAGAAACCTTTCGCAATAGCGTGCCATTGAGCGGTCTTTGACTTTATAAAGGCTTCATAAATATTTGCCCGCGTCCTTGCAGAAACCTGCGAATATTTTAACTGGGAGTTACTAAGAGCTATTGTACTTTACATCAGTGTTTTTCGACTGGTGCATTTAAAGTAAATGGAGCATTTGCAATGATATGCCCCCGAACTGCTGCAGAGAGAGGGCTGAAATTCACGAGAGGTTTCACATGCCATTTTTTCAACTTTGACAGGGGGAAGGAGTGGCGAAAAGGACTGTTTTGCTTGGCCAACATTTTGTTCTTTGAGAACTATAAATGTACGCTGAATATAAATGTTGATGCCAAGTATAGGACTTTTTCATTCGTCCACTTTCGCTATCAGTGAGTGCATACCTTGCCGTATGTTATTGCCATGTCACAGCTAGATCTCAAAAATTTTAAGATATCTTGATTTTTTTCTAAAAAAATATAGCCAAATTTTATATCGCTTTAGCTACGCCAGAGTCCTACTGCAACCTATGTGTTTTTTTATTATTTGTCGTTTGTATGTCAACATTGATTTGTGAACTTCATATGCTTTATTCATTCAGTTTCTGAACTTTTTAAACTTCGTTTGCTACAGCTATTTGTAAATTGATTCCCCCTATGTAATGCCCCGCAAAGGTTCTTAAAGTAGATAAATAAATGAATAAATAGATTGAGCTCTGACTGAATGAGTGAACACGAATAAAAAAGGTGAACGTACAAGTGATGTGGCGGGCGTCAACAGTGCAAAGAGCGATGACACGACTCATGGCGTCAATGCTTTCGCACATCAACTGCGACACGGATTATTGTTTAGCTATTGTGCTCCGGTTGTTGGTTTGATCTGGTACTGACAGTGATGACGGTGGAATCTCCTTACTACAGGGTACTACCTGCTAAACCACGCCGGTCAGCTTCTTCAAGGTCATAGAGGAGAGGCCATTGCAGTGGCACCTACCATCAGGAACACCAACTACATGTGTGTGCTTCAGTTCTGGTACAACTACGCCTCCGAAAGTGAGTGTCAAAAGATTATCTCTCTAAGACAGAACACGTTCGTAGGCATAATTTTCTATGCAAGCATAATAATGCTCAGGTATCACGTTGGACCCTTGCGTTCAACCGTTACGTTTAGGTTAAAGTCCTATAAAGCATATATATATATATATATATATATATAGGCCTCTCGGGGGCCATTTTAAAGCATGAATGCAAGAGTACCGCATTTGCTCGAGTAATAACCATGCTGTATATGAGCAAAGCCTGTGGGTCTGCTTTCCCACGGAGCACGGAAATGGCGAATCACCGTGATCGGCAGAAAAATGGCAGCTATAAGACAGAGAGTGAATTCAGGTGGTCGCCTCTCTCATCTAATCTTGGTTCAACAGAGCGCCCCCTCCTCGCTACCAGGGCTACTTGAAATCCTTTTCAGCAGATCACAACTGAAGGGCTCAGAGAGCTCTGACATTTTCGCACTAGTCACGGAAGTAAAGCTTCTTGACATTGGCAATGTATAAAAAAGATTTCACAGCGTATGATGGACGATTAAGGAAGATGTACGCTCGCAACGGCGCGAAATAATGACTGTGACGGACTATAAACTGTTTTACGCATCGGCAGGTAATACGAAAGTCAACAGCATGCGAATTGATTTTTTCAGAACGGAAAAAAGTCAATTTTAGGAATGCGTATTCAACTCATTGCATTTTCGAGTGAGAACGCCATGCGTTATTGCTCATGCGCACAGCAGATCAAATGTTTAGTAAGCCACATTTTCTCACAGCAAAATATGGTGCAAGCATCACCCACAATATGTATCCCGCATCACCATGTGACACGAATAACAGTTAATTAATGTCGGCTCTCTGTTTATTGTGCAATGCAAACTTTTGAACGCGCGTTTACCAAACCTGTAAATTCCTTGAAGCGTCTACAAAACCCGGTAAAACAGTGACAAGCTCTGCGAGCTCTGTCGTAATCGGTTAGGCTGAGCGGGTTCACTGGTGATAGATGAAGGATCTCGTGAAGTCACTGTAAATCATTCCCACGTCGATTTTCTCTGTCACGGTCACAAGCAAATGCCGTCCCGTACGTTGTAATCCTCGCACCGTCGAATGCACAAGCACTTTGTAGAACCAAATGTCTATCCCCGTCATACCGGACCCCACACACCACCGCAGACTGCTACCGACCGTCTTCGACGAAACCACGCGATCGCCGTCCACGTACCACTTGACGCTTGCACCGCTCCACATTCCGACGGCTAGAGACGGAGGGCTAGGGAGCAATCCGAGAGGGAATGGCGCCCTCGGGAAGAACCAGCCGATGAGACCACTACTCTTCCTTTCCAGTAACCGATTTCGTGCGCTCTGAAATTAGCGCCCGAGAGCCCGCAGAAAGAGCCGCGCGAATTCAACACGAGATAAGGTCTGAGATCGCACTTTTCTTTGTAGAGTCGTAATCCGCCCACGCTATTCGCTCCGTTTTTATGCAAAACGCTATGATCGGCTGTGTGTCTTCTTTAAAAACGTAAAATCGAGGGCCTTGTTTACAACAAGTGGGGCTATTACTTGAGCAAATACTGTACTCCCGACGAGGATTGAATCTGGAACCAAGTGGTTCCCAACCAGATACTGTACTGACTGAGCTAAGAAGAACGTGTTCGTGGGGAAAGCAAAAAGTTTAATTATATTTAATATAGAATCTTTTCAAGCCATATATCGCCTTCGCTGACGTCAATCTACATCCCATATAACAGCACTGCCATATAAGATGAAGCGAGCTGCATACACGTTCAGAGTCGGCTCACTTTTATCCATCACCGTAATCTCCCAGGCAGCGTACCGCCAAGCGCACACATGCGTACCGTTAGCGTTAGAAGCTGCGTAGGCAACAGCAGGGAGACAGCGAGCCCACTTCTGCCACAATGTTTTTCGCCGAAAAATTGACAAATTTAAAGCAAAAAAAATATAAATTTTTAGAGCTAATTTTTGTGCTCAACAAATTCTTCGCTCCCTGTCGTTTGTCTCCATGATCAAGCTAGGATAAATGTTTAACGTCAAGTTGGGAATAAAGGTCGTGGAGAAGTTGCAGAAGTGTGCTATACTTCTTTTCGTCTTACGGTAGACAGCGGCAAATTCTGGGAGGATGAGAGGTTATCAAATGCAGCGTGTGTGTTCCGTGACCTTCTCTCGGGCGCGTCAGCATGTAGACCGGGGGGGTCACCTGATCCGCGATGCGCTCAAGAGTGTTGGGGTATCTGAGATGGCCCTACCGTCCTCTGCAGTCTATCGTAAGAGCAGACGTAGTATAATTGTACTGGACCGTGACTTTCGCCACCTTTGCTCTGTAAGGATAGGCACGACATCTTGTCTATTTTTTCTTTGTAAAATCTAGGGGTGACATAACAGTTTTTGGTTAAAGCCATGGTGGTGCTAAGGTGAAAATGAATAATTTCGCAGAAGCAAGTATGTCGGGCTGTCGGATGTCGGGATCGCGATGGTTGGCGGGAAAAGACCCAGCAATATGTACGACCAATCGCGAGTGTCGCTGCCGTTGTTCAACAGTCCCGGCTCTCGGAAGCTTCTGTTTTCTGCCAAGCTAAAGATCAGCCTGCAGCGTAACGTGCAATTGCCACGTACTGTGCCGCTGCCGTGACATGACCGCGATCCCGACCGACGACGTAACGACACCTTCGTGACGTCGTGAGGTGGAAATCGAGAGGCCACTTTTTGAAAGCGGGAAACGCATTCAAAAGAGATGCGTTCCAAGCACCGTAATTGAAGGGCTCTTTGAAAGCCGCTTCCAAGTTGTGATTCTGGTGGCTAAATTAAAGTATAGGTCTAATAGTCTGAACTCTTTGTGTTACAACGAATTAAATGGGATAATTTGGCAATCCAGAGTCCCGTAATCGAACTTGGAGGCAACCAGAAAGAGGTTGTGCATAAGAGTTCACATGATTGCAAACAGATTTTATTCAGCTACACGCAAACAGAAGATAGGAAGGAGTGTGGATATCATTGACACATCATGTACACCACTGTTTGGGCTTAGACTATTCCACTGAAACCTTTTACTGTGCATTATTTTGGGATTGAGGTTATATTTGGTTGCCTGTGGCGCCATTTTAGGTTCTAGGAAAATCCAATTTGAGAAGCCAGGCATTCGATTTCGTAGCATGGGTTTTTGGACTAGGCCTTTCAAAGTATATCGAGGGGTTCTTTGTATAAACAAATTTCCTTTTTATTCCCACCACTAGGTACGGTGTTCTTTCGGATAAATCACTTTTTAAAATATTCGAGTCATTCACTGATGCTTGGCTTTGAGCCTAATACATACTCCCTAGTGTGCATTATTGTTTACAAGTTCTGTAGCTTCTGCTCCGCTTTATTGTATCATTGCCATGACCAGCGAGAGTTTACTTAACTGTTTGTAAAAAAATATAGACGTATCTCGATACTGACACGTTTGAATACCACTGCTTTAGAGCATGACTTCTCAAACTTTGTCTAGAGAACAACCAAGTTGAGACGTCGTCTGCCTGACTTCTTCCCCCGTATTTTCTAGTTTTAGTTGTTTCAATATTTTTTTCACCCAGCCTCAAGTGTTTTAACAAAATGGCAAACTAGCACCAGCTCACTTGCACCCTCACTGTGTTCGTTAACAATGAAAACTGTTTTCTGTTGTGTCCACAGTGAATTCTCCAGATTCACTTTCTGCTGTAGAAGAAAGTAAAGGCAGCAGAAACCTAACTTTAACGAATCACGTGAGAGCCTACTCTACCCGTGATATTCTCAACAGCATATTAGAAAACTCGCCTTTGTCTTTGAAATGCAGATAAGACGATGAACACCGATCTGCAAATGGTTGTGTCCGGGTACCACATCGTCATCTGGTCGTTGGCCTCGATAACACCAAAGCCAGCCATGAGAGTTTGGACAAATGCCAATATCTTGATTGGCCGCTACAATGGCAGTGTGCAGGTGAACCTTGTTTTGTTTTTAAATTATATCTATCTTTTCATCAGTTTTCTCATATATTATACTGTATTATAACTAGAAGTGTGTGGATATAAAACCTTTGACTCCGATCAAATATGAACTTTCAAAACTGACTGTGAATCGAATCAAATATTTTTGAAGACTAATACATTACATTTTATGCGAACTGAGCATAAGTGCATAAAGATCAATGCCAAGCATGACTTTATATCTTTATAAGTGCCCCGTCCCTTACATTTGAGATATGGACAAATGATATATAAATAGGCATTGGGCAGTGTTTCAGAACGTCCCACAGTCGGTTGATCATCAGCATCACCATGGTCAAATGAGGCAACACTGGGAAGGTTAAACTAACACGACTCTAAGCGTTGTGTTATCGTGCAATGCATTAACTGCTGTGTTCAAAATATATGAAGCGTTAAATATAGTAATGCGCATGAGCCGGTAGTTCTAGCGTGAAAGGGTTTTTACAGGTGCATTCCTGGGTAGGTTAGACAACCAAAGACAGTGACTAGCAGGTGAAACCAAGTAGACAAAGACAGTTTTCTTTCATTTTTACGTTTTTGCGTGCCTCACAATCATCACAAAAGCTAAGACTTCGTCGAGCTTCTTTCAACTACAATAAGGGAACAAAAAGCGCACCCCCTCACCCTCATCGGTTTTATTACCTCGTTTCCCGACGAAACTCTTCCCGTATAAATGGCTGAGCTCATTTCAGAGATCAGCTTGTGTCCTGTCCTCTGGTAGTACTGAAAACAACTCAGGTGACCGAAGAATGAGTTTTTTTTTTTTTTTTTGCAAGCTGGTTGCAGTTTGGACGATGTCGTACGCAATTGCTCGTCACAAGGTGATGCTCGTTCTCGTCGATTGAATATGATGTTCTCCTTTACACAAAACAGAAATACACGCTGCATGGAATACATTTTCCCGTTGGGTACATACATTTTTCTCTTCATTGAGGAGACTGTTTTCTCGCAGTGGTTATGAAGGTAGAACGGTATAGACACGGGCAAAATAGAGCAGCCATCTTGGACAGGTTCGCGATGAGGCGAAAGGCGCAGTTGGCAGTCTGCTCTGCAATCGGCGAAGTGGAAAAAATGGTCGCTTTGGTAACTACGCTAAATCTTCGCAAATGCGTGCAAAACTTCATTCAATCAAGATCTGTCTGCGGAGCAGAAACCAATAGGAATGTCAGAAAACTGGTCTGAAAAGACAACGCCGCAAGTTTAGCATATTAACTCCATATATCGAGTCAAATGGCACATATATAAATCTATATTGAGTCATGTAATGTGAGCAGATTCTTTTTATACATGTTTTATGGCATTTAATTATATCAAATGGCGTTGTATTTCCCTCGGCCTCGACAGAAATCTGCGGAGCTTCATGCCTGCTAAACTTTGAGTGTTGCGACAGTTCGGTACGTAACAGTGCCAGTAAGAGAACGGTGTCAGTTGCAATCGAACACAAGTGTGAACTAATCTGTTGCTATGTTGCTAGAAACAATGTTCCTATGTTGCTAGAATTCGCGTTCCTGTGCCATTTCTGAATAATCGACTAAACGATATAGGGTCTTGGTAAGTATAGCTTGCCTCTTCGCAAAGCAACAGACGTGTGGTGGTATATGCTCCGGTCTTCCAACTTTAGAAAAGCATTGGAATCAGTATTGCAAATGTTTCTTTACAGCTCCATCTAACCGGACTTCACACGCAAAGAGGCACGAGCTACATGGCGATCGATAATATTAAATACGATGGATGCGTTCTGCCGAGTAAGTGACCAGTTTTTATTAGCTTTGTGTGCATGTAAACTCCGGTAAGAATGTCCACTGAAAATAACGATATAAATAAAAAAAGTAGGGTTGGCGATCCTTGGAGATGTAAGAGAAAAATGTTATAATAAGTGAGGGATAAAGACACGGGCACCCACTATAAACAACGTGGCATTGGAACGAGTACTGCTGATCACAATGAAGCGCCAAATAGGAAATAATAAAATTAAACATTAAAAAATATTTTATTCCCATTAATTTTGAGTACACGAGCACCCCAAATTGAGATACATGTTGCTTGTGGCCTAAATGGGCACCTTTGATGGATGGTGCCACCACCTATTTTTATCGCATTTTTGTTGTAAATATTATCCCTGCTTTTATTGAAAGCTGGCTGGCAATTTATTGGATATAAAAAGTAAATAGCAAATTCAGTTTGCCAAGTTTTAGGTTTGGAATTGTACAGGATATCAAAACTTAGAATTAAATACCTGCTCCGGAATTACTTGTAGCAAAGCAATTTCTAATTTGCAGGGGGCTCGAAGGTTTCAAGCTTGTAGCAAAAACGTCGAGATGTCTACATAGACTATTTTCAAGTGTAATATTTGGCGTGTTTGGGTTGGCTTTACACTATCAATTTGAGTGGCAAACAATAAAAATATATGTAGGAATGAAACAGCAAAACACTTTTTGCCAAAACAACGTCAGATCGTCGTCAAAATGAAACAGAATTTTTGCACATATTATTGGATATAGTGTTTCTGAAAGAAACTGCTTTCAAATTTCCGTGGAAATTCTAGAAATATTTTTGTTGACATCCACAAGATCTTTTATCGTATTTAAAACAAATTCACTTAATTTTGCAACCTACTGTAACTGTCTACTTCCTGCGGACGGGCCTCGTGCTGCTAGCCAGTAACCTGAGTTGTAGCATTACTAATTTCAAATGTTCTTCTGTTACATCATTTATGTAAACGCAATATGTGTATAAGCATAATATCGTCGGTGACTTTATTTGTCGTTCACAAGCTAGGGTAATGCATCACGTCCAGAGCAATGAGCGGATAACAAAATGATTATCCGCTTCTGATTCGCATCCGGAGACTTGGTATCCGCTTTTGAAACGCATCGGTAATGTTCTTAAATAATTGTACCCTCTTCCGGTCCGCATCCGCATACTCTGCATCTGCATCCGCATCCGAACCGTGTCCGTAGTATTCGAAACCGCATACAACCCTCCATCTGCGCATTCATTTTACATACATAAATGAAGCATGAATAATAAAAATAAGTCATATGGATGTTATTCTATAAGCCGTCATCTTGCCTTTGTGGAAAGAACTCTTCGTGTCAGAATATGTTGAAAGTAATTTTATCGTATTCCGTTTCATTGCATTTATAAAATAGGTTATCATCCTTTCAGAGACAACTCACATCACTGGAAAGATGCTCGCAGTTATGAGATTGTCTTGGGAATCTGTGACACTAACACTCTGTCCAGAAGATCCGCTCAGAAGAAAGTGAATTATAATATTTATTTCCCATTTTATTTTATAAAACCCACTTTATTGACAAACAAGTAATATATGTCATTTTATTTAGGCCAAAAAATACACAAAAGTGGGAGGAAAGGTTTCAGTTTCAGTTGTAAGCACTAACCCGCAACCCCACGCTTGGAACCATACACTTAAAACAACTCAGTGCCAATTGTCGAGAAACAGAAAATGCGCACATACAGATTATTTCTCTTGTCGAGGTTGCTATTAGATAAAACAAAATATCATCAACGTGGACGAATTCAGACTGGTTCGACTCTCTTACATTAATACCTACCAATGAGAAACCTCTAGACTTTGAAGTACTGATGGTGGATGGCATGTACGAACTGTGCTACAAGAATGAGGTGTGGAAACTCGTACTGGCGCAAGTTCCACTACTCCAGAAGATCAAATTCAGTCTCCTCAATCTACTTGTAGGCGAAGTAGCCACTTGCAGGGTTCTTCTACTTGCTTGCGGCTTGTACGTTTGGAGTTCTTCATGCCCAAAAAACGTTTTCAGCTCTTTTCTTGTCAAACAAGAACAAACAAGAACAAGAACGAGCGAGCAGACTTGTACACGTTACTGAAAAATAGTAAGGAATTACATTTACAATTACTCAAGGCTAAATTGTAATTTATTACAATTACAATTACCGTCTTATGAAAGTGACTGACCGTTACTCCAAAAAGTGATCCGTTACTTTCGGGGCGTTACTTTGAACATTATTTTTCCTCAAGTAAGAAACAAAGGGAAGAGGGTTATTCCACCTGTTCCATTTAATGACCTTGAGTATTTTGAGCAACAGCTGGCTCTAGAATTTCTCGTCAGACATTTTTCATTATCTCTTACTCAATATGTCGACTGCTACGCTGAACACCATTTGAGCTGAGGCACTGGATGGGAGTGCCATATTGTTCCTCACGAATGCTTCATGCTCTCCATTGAGCTTTTTCAGCGAAGCAAAAAAGTACTATTTACTTCGAATGTAGAGCAAAGCTTCGTCGTTGCAGCCGTTGCCTGCTATTTGAGAGATTTAGTAGATCCTTCCGACACTTCCGATACCCGCGATAACGTACCCGATGAGGATATGATGCATACGCAAAGACGGCGGCGAAGCATCGGATATCGTTATCGGAGTCATCGGACCGATCTACTAAAATTCTCCATTCTCCAAATCGCGAAGCTGTAGAATTCATCAATAGCAAAACATAGTTGTAACAGTAAGTGATGATTAAATAATAAATAAGGTTTGGCTCGATGTTCTTCTTCCTTTGGTTCCGAGCAGTTCGAGCCTCACTTGAAACGTTGGTGAATAAAAAAAAGTTTCCAGTATATAAATATAAGTAATACAAGAAAAAAAAGGACACTCATTACTGCAATTAATTAAAACGTCGGTTAAAACAGGGAAATGTAAACGCACGTTCGCCGTGTGTACCTTTCTTGGTGCCGTTCAAAAACGCACGGAGCACGAACCGACTGCAGTTTACTCCGGTGTTCTCCAGATAGACGTCTACTGATGCCACGGGCAGCAAAGTGTAGAGTACTAAGTAAGCCGCGCTATGATCCCCACTCACGAATTTCATTCTCTCCTCAAGCCCAGAATTTCAAGTCTACGTCAGCCACCGTTATGTTTTATTTGTAAAAATATCTGCTTGAGATAAGATAAGTCCTGCTGGAGCGAAACTGGAAGAAGAAAGGAAGACTATTACCATTTTCTAAATGCTCGCAAAAAGCTGACTGACAAAAAGGGTAGGGTAGACGGAGCGTTGTCTCCTGTTGTGATATGAAAATAGTCGTAGTCACTATATCCGAGATGGACATTGTTAATTCTTTTCAGTGCACTTGCCGCCTCGAGCTGCTCGAAGAGGCACACAATCACTTGGTGTCGTCCTCTCCCCGTCTTCGATCGCAAAAAAAAACACGAAGGGACTAAAAAAAAAAAAAAGCGGAAATAACTTGCCCCCCCCCCCCCCCTTTTTTTTTCTTTTCTTTTTTTTTTTGTGAATTGTTTATTTGAGTTTTTGTCATTGATGTTAGGGTCTAAAAATGATACATTCAGGGGCTTGGTGTTGCAAAAAAGGCTTTGCGGAACTGAAGAGTGCCAAGCCTCCCTTTGCGCTGGTCGATTCGCGTGACAGTGTCACTGCCCTCGACTTTACAAAAATAATTTAAAAAAAACACTTTATTCAGAATTGGGGGGGGGGGGGGGGGGGGGGGGTTCTGAAAAAAAAAGTAACGGATTACAAGGAATCCGTTACGTCAAAAATGTAAGGGAATTACTTTAAAATTACTCTAGAAATATGTAATTATTCCGTTACAAAATTACTGATAAATGTAAGGGATTACAAGTAATTTCGTTACTTGTAACGGATTACGTAGAAGTCTGCGAGCGAGCATGTTGGTAAAAAGTAATTAATCACGAGGAAGATACCTAGAATTTGGAGATGCTCCTTCGTTCTTTACTTTCTCTAGGGACAGCGTTTCCGGCAAAATAGAACGTTCTAAAGCGATCTTTAGTTAGGATAAAAGTTTTTTTTGGCGTAAAAAAACAATTTTGGCCTCGATTGGCACCTTTTATTTCAGGGCGACATAGAACATTCTAGACCGATATTTGGTGAGGATTAACTATTTCTTCACGTAAAAAACTATTTTTCCCCGGTGGTCACCTTTTATCTAAGGAATGGCTCCCGCAATACATTTCATGGTGCACTTCAAAGTATCACTCACTTATTCACTCTACACTCTGTTGTCACCTCGGCAAAACTATAGATCGACACCCGCGGGTGTCCACATCAAATCCGCATCCGCAAGCCCTGGAATCCGCATCCGATCCGCAATCCGCCAAATTTGATTCATTTTATCATCATTCGACAGTTTTCTGCAAATATCCACGTGTGATCTGCGGGTAATCTGCCAATAGGCATGGCTCTAATCATATCTACTAATGTGCGACAATACGAATACTAGTTTAAAAAACTACGCTGTTCATTATTCATTTCGAGTTGAACTGCGATATTCATACTTTTCGAAGTAATGTTCTTGGCGAGTTAGACCGGTTTAGTGCGTTTCTCACCTGGCATCAGTATATTGCGGGAAGGTAATAACAGCAGAGCTTACGCCCTCAGCGGGTATTGCTTCCCCGTAGTGCGACAGTATGCAGTGAGAAACGCATTCAGCGGTGCTAACCCGCTGTAATTATGGATATATATGGTTAGAAAGCGAGGTCTTGACAACTAGCGCCCCTCTTTCGTCTTGTTTTTTGTTGTTATTTCCTTGACAAATTTGAAATAAAAAAAAAATATTTGCGTATAGGAAGCAGACTTACAAATCCCATCAAATATGATTGCTGCAGGAATTTTGTCGTTAACATGCCACGCTTAATAAATATAGATACGGTAAAATTAACTGAGATTAGTAAAATGTAAAGGTGGAGGAATTGGTGCATGATCAGCTAACTAAAAAAGAGAAGAAATGAACACAAGAAAAAAATAGGAGACACAGCGCTGTGTTTTTCTCTGTATACTGCTTATAGTCATGTTAATTTTTGCGCTGACTTTATTTATCTAACTGAGCTTTGAGGTGGACAAGTTGAAATTGGAAAAAATTCACGAGCTCAGGTGAATTATCGTTGAACCCTTTGGCCGTCGTCGCGGTGCGTTTTCGGCGGCGATTAGACATTTGAGAGTGCCCGCCTAAGTGCAAAACCACGCACACCACAAATGGTGCGGCTGCTTGGTGTGTCCTTGGCAACATGTAGATGTTACATTTGCATGACATTTCACTTTTATAGGGTCATGTAGTTCTAAATGTAAATGCTACGCGCACGTATTGCGTACGAGATGATCGCGTTGCATGTGGTCACTTTGGCGATAGTGGCTTCCGACTCAGAATTTTAACACTTCTCATAATTGATTTAAGGGGATGAGAGCTTACCACTTGACGAAAAGCTCTGTAATGTACGCCGGATTCGAGATATGAAACTCCTTGAATGTCGCGGAAGCGGACATGCAAATTAAAACTGAGTGGAGCAAAGGTGACACACTTTCACCTTCAATATGTCAATTTTATGCGTCTGAACCCGAACCGCTTGCCTAAGGCTGTACGTGCTCCCGCTAGATAATTAAAAAAATCGTACATTCGCCATTTTTTGTACTATTTTTTTTTCAAACCAAAACTTGACAGCTAAAACATATTTTGGGGAAAAAGTTCGACCTTCAAAGGTTAAATCATGGTGCACGCAAGTGGAGAACGTTTTGAGGAACTGTTGAATTAAAGTTCAAAAATATTTAGTAAAAACCCCTATTTGTTTGGAATCCGCTTCAAACTCCATATCCACTTTTTGCACATGAGTATTCATATCTCACCCTTTGAGCACATTACCCCTTGTATACATATTTAAAGTAGGCATAAACGGATGCATGATGCCATCCCCTTCATTAGTAACAAATTGATATATGGCTCCGAGACGGGAGGCGGTAAGCTAGGAAATGTAAAGCATATTGTCGGAGCGCGGTCTTTTTTTCGTAAATGCTTTTCTTTTGTTGTTCGGGAAAAGCAGTCAACAATATTAAAAAATAAAAATCAAAGCATTATTTTTTTTACATTGAAGATCAGTGTTGAATGTTTTCCATGCTCAGATTTCGACAGGTTGCATGTTTACATTGTGCAACCACTGCTTGAGCTGGTTTCCAACATCAAAACGCTGACTTGCGTGCGGCTGTTTCAGGACGCCAGCGAACTGAGTGTTCGAAGGGAGAATTCAGCTGTGGCAACGGAGTGTGCATCGATGAGCGCGACGTCTGCAACTATGTGGATAACTGCGGTGACGGCAGCGACGAGTGGAATTGCGGTGAGTCTGCCTCCCGAGGTGCATTGCCTGAACACGGCCAGGTAACGGACAACTGGGAGGGCTTTGGTTTAGAAGAGGGACGCTCATGCCAAAACGAGAGACAAGCTACAGTTTGCCTGTGGGGCGGTTCCACGAAACGCCTTTTCGCGTCCGGTAAGCCGTATTCGCGAGGTTGATGAACAGCTTCAAGTGTTGAAAAGGTTGTCAGAAGTATTTCTTTAAAAATAATTTTATCAGGAGGTTATGGTTAATGTATGGTGGCATGGTGAATTCGGCGGAAGGCAAAGACATATTGGGCTTACTTTTTTGACGCCGGGTTGCACACTATTGGCTACATCGTACGGTTCTGAAATGGGGTCCCTGGAAAATCGTTTTAAAATCTGTGAAACCCTGTAGTGGCTGTTAGTTGCACTATTATATCCTGTCATAATCATAATTAATTTGTACCATCCATCCCCCTGCCCCTTAGATCTTCCACCACTTCCAGTGTTTCGCAAGGGGTTCCCTGATTATTTCTGGTTAACAAACACTGACCACATTTGACTGTTTGTGTAGTGGTCAATGTCTATTTTTCACTTTATTCGAACTGAACACATTAAATTGCTTGGTCAGTGGTTTGTATTGAGTACACTCTTGATGGCTCAAAGCGGGCCCCCAAAAAGCATTTGATAACCACTGGACTCTTTGAACGTTCCCCTTGTTGTCAAAACTATTTTATTGCTTCGTTTAAACTGGGTGCATTTGGCACTTTAGTTGTGCTCTATGTCCAGTTATCACATCGCTTTAACTGTTCACATTTGCTTGGTCGTCTATTGGTTTATGTCTAGTACACTTCTGGTGGTTCACAAGGGGTCCCCAAAGAGCAATTGAGAACCACTGACCTCTTTTGACTGTTTGCCTGTTGGTCTAAGATCAAACTGTTATCACTTTGTTGAAACGGGGCGCATTTGGCAGTTTATGTCGTGGTTTATGTTAAGTGATATTTTTGTAAAAACTCTAGGAAAACGTTTGTTTAGTTGACGTGACTGATGAATCTCAAGCCAAATGACACTTTCCTCAGTGAAATGCGCAACAACTGCTGGATGTCTCCTTTCAGCGGACCACAACCTCGGCTGCAACTTCGACACATCTTTTTGCGACTGGGTGCCCCTCGTGCCCAGGGGAGACTTCAGAGGATTCTGGCAGAGGGCATTCCCTGTCCTGTACCCGAATAGTGGTCCCACGAGAGACCACACGACGGGTCTCCCAGAAGGTGACTAACATCATAATATACTACATTAACATCCCGAGCAGGTGCCCATTCGAAATTTAGAGATAATCATCTAAAACTGGGGAATGGGCGCTAGTTGGGTAAAGATTATGGAAGTATCTCTCCTTTGTGGATTTTACGAATGTTGCAAAATTGAATGCTGGGTGCTATCGCGGAATTGGCGGTTTCTCGGAAGTTTATGCTATACCAATAACGATAACTACAGTGACCTTTATCCCTGAAATTATGTAGTGTATGAAGTAGTATTTAAAAAGCGATTGTTTAAAGTTTGATAAAATTCATTGCTGACTATATAGGCCAGAATGTCTGCATAGTGTGGACAGTCCGGACTATGTAGACATTCCGGTCTATACACTCCAGACTGTCTTGACAATTTAGACATTCTGAATCACATAGTCAAAACCGTACAGACTATGTAGACATTCCAGACTGCAGAGTTCAAAATGTCCAAACTAAAACAAACCTTCACCAATGCCTCTTCTAGTGCACAGTGAAGCTTTATTACTCTGAAATCCTTATTAGCACACTCTACCATTCACGAAATCTATCACATCTCAATATAGTGAAGAATGTAAAAAAATATTTATAGTCCGCATCTCTGGATATTCGTCACCACTTCACATTGCAAGATTGAAGCACGAGAATGACTATAATCCTTAAAATATGGTAGTCTAGTCTATATTTGGAATGAGAAAGCACAGTGAACTACTTTTCTACAGCCGATATAAACATTGAATAATAAAGGTCAACTGGCACTATGAAACCAGCACTACGAATCGTTTTTTAAACACCATTAATTTTGCTTTCTAGGGAGGTTTTTGAAACTTTCTACAATATACCAACAGAAACTCGATGCATTGATCGCTGGACCTGTTCTTGATTCCAGCTATGCATGTGGGGTGAGTGTGATGAAAAAAGCGACTGGACAATGACCGTACCTGTACAGTGCAAAAACTCAATGCAGCAATACTTTCAGAACTATGACAAAAAACTAGCAAACATTATGCTAGTACCACAACATAGTCTGAGGTTGGAAGCTAAAAGATATAATGGTAAACTAGAAATAAAATATTCAAACTCATTTTATAACTATAATCTATTTTGTGTTCACCTATTTTCAATCAGAATTTACTTTTCGCGGAATCTTCTGATTTCACAAAATGCAATCAAACCTGTATAGCACGAGCTTGTATATAGCCTAAACATAATAACGTGAAGTACTTAGCCTCCTAAATAAATGCTAATACAAAAAAGAATTAACCAGAAATGCATCCTCCATTGAAAATAAAAGTTACTGATTAGGGCGCTCTACTGGGATGCACTGCAAACTGGGTCCTACATTATAGAGAATGTTCATAACATCAGGCCAGTTTGACCCCTCCCCCCAGCCCCCTTCCACCTTCTCCTCGATTTTTTCATTGATGCCGTGATCCTGGTGACTAATGCAAAGCGTGTACGATTGGCTATAGTTATGGTCCGAAAAGGAGGTTTCTCGTTCATTAGATGTGGTGTCAGGAAAGTCGGGGAAAATTTATTTGTGTTCTTTCAGACTGTCTTAATGTTCCTGGCGGACGGAAAACCCCTTCTTGTGATTTCAGATATATCTTCAGATAACTGGAAATATTTATTTTACCCACTAAAATGGCTGAGGGCTCGTTACTCTGAAGCATTTTTTTTTTTTTTTTTGGGGGGGGGGTTTAGACGGGATTTAGGATTTGGTATTATCTTTCAAATAACGAGTCATTCAGTCTCACACCGTAAGCTTAATTTTTCAGGCATGTGGCGCTACCTTTTCTTGTAGACTGATGCTACACTACATTTTTTGTGCTTTCCTTTTTGATCCGGAACAGATAACGTTCTTCTACATGATCCATGGCGACTTGCCGTTGTCCCTCACGTTGAATGTGAGGTCCACTGCCAACGGGACCCTGAGAGAAGTGTGGAGGGCAGAAAAACAGACTGACTTTTTTCACTTTGTGATACACAATTTCTTGTTCGAAGAGCAAAAACCTTTCCAGGTAAGGCATAGACCGCTTTTTAGTTATCATTGCATATGCCCAAAAGCGGTGTATACGTAAATGTAAGGTCATTTTTATAATTTTTTTATATATATTTTAGTGATAGTTCTTTTGTGCCTGCCATGTGAGCTTAAAGTTTTATAGGAAAAACAAGAAAAATAGGACAGGATGTGGAAAAATAGGACAGGATGTGGAAGCATGTGGAACCTAGGTCAATTCTTATTTTCAAATAAGTGCAAGGAATCAAACCTCATAAGAGACCTTATTTGACAGTGTAATTAATCACCCTTATTGTGCTAAACCTCGATCGTTGTCTGCACTGGCCGTGTACAGGATCTGATTTTGGAGAGAATGGTGATGTAATTCTTGAGCTGAAAAGTCAATAGACTCTTTACAATGTGGTGGCATAGGAACTTTTGTGATACGAGAGAGCCAGAGTCTCATACTCTTCATAAGATGTAGTTACCATATGCACCATGAGCCTAAACAGTGTGGTATGCGCTGCACCATTTGCATCAAGCTTCACTGTTTTGTACGTGCTTGTGCGTCGGGCTTCCCCGCTTATCACCGGTGTTCATGTGTCAAGCTTCACCGCATCTCACTTGTGCACGTGCATCGAGCTACTTTTTTTAGATTGTAAACTAAATAAAGATATCGAAATTAAAATTTAAAAGCATTGTCGAGGAAACGTTATTTCAAAATGAAAGGTAGGAAGGCAGACCTTGTTTGAACCCGAAAACCTGTTTTTTTTTTTTTGTTTTTTCTAATGGCGAGACAGTGGTTCTGTTCAGAGCATATCTTAATGACTATTTTTTGTGCGAAGGCCACTGTTTTAGAAACTCGGTGTCTAGAAGCTGATCAGTACACCTAATGCTACTGCGCTGTCTTTTTATTAGCCTTGCAATTTTGTGGCCTGTTATGCTCAACTGCAATGATCATAGGTGAGCAAACATTTGTAGCTGCTCGCCATACCAACAATAGTAGATTCTATGTCCATAATGAATTTCAATATTATTACAGAAGTGAATATTTTTATTCACTAGACTACTAGATAATCTAGACAATTGCACTATAGTTTTAAAGTTAAATACCTTATCAGAAGAGGCGTGCTAATATTTTGAATCTGTAAAAAATTAACGATAGTCTTTGCTTGTTTGTTCAATTCGCAATGCACTTTTATAGTTCTAAGTGTTTTCATGAATATCGGAAAATGACTAATATCTTCAGAATTATGCGTTCCTCGCGCCAAACCTCAGTGCCTTGCACTGCCCCGAGGCACGAAGACTTCCCGCTTCGCAAGAGCATATTTGCGTCAGGCTTCACTGCTTTGCATTCACGTACATTTTTGGCAATGATTAAAGTTCTATCGTTGATTTAAAAGGGAAGTATCGGGAAACAATTACATGGCGGTATATTGAAATAAAACAAAAAATCATTGCTTTGCTCAACATGCTTTATTGTTTTGCCAAACTCATCACTGTCTTTTTAACTATAATTTTGGCGAAAGTGTTCTCGCATATTAATTCGTCCCTTTCAATGTGTGTGCTCTCCAGAAAAAGTGTTCAGCCTTGATTTGTTAAAGAATTTATGTTAAATTTTCAGTAAGTGTAAACACCTTGGAGAACGCTTAAGCTTCGCCTTTAAGAATGAAACATAATAGTGAAACATATTAACGTATAATCTCCTTCTCCTCGCCAAGTCGTGCAAGCGTGCCTTGCGTGGCCAAATCAGAATCGTGTCTGGCTCGGTATCGAAGGATCTTGGCTTCGAATCTCGCCTAGAATTATTTATCTTGAAGGCAAATGAATTACCTTATAGACTGAAATCATTTGAAAACTGCGGTAACCCTTGATTCGAATTTAATGTCATGTTTCAATGACTTTATTTCCACGCGTGACTTCAGGTTTCACGTGAGCGTTGTGGGTGTTTGAAATTTCCGCGCGATGTCATGGGCATATAACGTCATGACTTTATCGACCTATCAGGATATTCGCGTTAAACCACTGACGCCGGCTTTTCTGCAACACGAGCTCCTTAACGCTATTGCATTAATAATTGTACTTAACAATATTCTACTGTATTTTCCGCTGTATAAGTCAATATATTTTTAACATGTTAGTTGTTACGTTTTTTACAACGGTGCTACTTACCGTAAAATCCAGTATGAATGCCCATCCTCGGTGATCTGATAAACCGTCAAAAATATTTCGTGGGCCATATTTGGGGATGATATATCAAAAGCACCTAAAAATTACAGATGAACACTGCGACATGCACTGTCAAACTTGTGACACGGTTACTGATGCCGCAGATTTCGGAGACGGAAAATTTGTGCTTCATGGTGCGTTAAATGTGCAGTATACTGCGGGAACTTGCTATGAACTCGCATGTCACGGGAATCAGTACCTCAGATCCTGAGGCTTATGCGATTTCCATCGGATATTGCCTGATGTCCTACGAGAATGTGGCATGGGCGATGCTCTGAAAAGTTTACCCTATCAATATTTATCCAGAAAATTGCAATCGGCGATCTCTCAGGCCAGGGTATTTGTACTAAATTATGTATCTTTTTAATATCCATGAACATTAACCGAAACAATCTAAAGCATGGCGACGTTCGTCCGCCACACTTCCGTAACGCCGACGAACATACGACTGACTTATACGATTGACCGACTTATACAGGGTGTTTTTAATCGAATACAGCTTTTTTTCTAAATAAATACTGTGGCAGCTATAGAAATTCAGTCTGCAGAAGTGAGTAATAAGGCCAGCTGGACATTATACTCACAAAAAAATGCAACTAAGAGACGTCTAATTAACAAAAAAATCACTAATTACATTTGTTTCATTTCATGTTTTAGTGCACATGTTTGTATTGAAGAAATGGAGGCAATCATCGTTAAAGGCCAGCCCAGTTTTTAAAAATACTGTATCGAGCACGCAGTTGGAGCTGTTCATTGCCAGGTTTCATCCTCGAAATCTGTCGATACCAAAGCCAAACGCGCGATGCCCGCCGGAAGGAGAACCCTCGTTTGACACCGGACAGTCACGCGCTAATGAAAAAAAATTGAGTCACTATTTTAGCGTCACAGCACGCCGGAGCCGATTGCCGTCTGTGTTCCGTGGCTGGCGAACTTAAGCGATGCTCCATCTTAGAAGCCATGACAAGCAAGGTACTCAACTCTAGTTTGCCAACCACTGAGCGTTGACGGCAGTCAGCTCCGGCACGCTGTGACGGGAAATAGTGACTCGAATTTCGTCATTAACACATGACTCTCTGACGTCAAACGAGGGTTGTCCTTCCGGCGGACATCGTGCTATTGGTTTACGTATCGACAGATTTTCAGTACGAAATCAGGCAATGAACAACTACAACTGCGTGCTCGAATTTACATTTTTAAAATCTGGGCTGGCCTTCAACATGTGCCCTGAAATATCTAATAAAAAAGTAACTGTAAGGTTTCGTTCATTCGCCATTGTTTAGTTGCATTCTCGCTTGAACATTACGTCCGCCTCGCAGTATAGCTCGCTCGCACAGACCGAATTTGTGTTGCTGTTATGGCGTTTTTTAGAAAAATTCGTATTTGATACAAGAATACACCCTCTATACAAGCTCGTTCGAAAAACGGATATTCATTGGGGGGGGGGGGGGGGTAGGGGGGGGCTCTGACTTATAATACGGAAGCATGGGAATTCGATTTACATTCGTAAATTTTATGTTCATACACCTCGATTTACTAGTTGATGGAGTGGAAGGACAGCGCAAATGTTAAGCGAGGACCAAAGAGAACGCTGAGTGCACTGTTTAACACACTTCTGCAGGTGTTCTTCAGGGGAACGATTGGGCCATCCTCGGGCTTCGCTGACTACATCGCGATCGACGATGTCTCCTTTCTGACGTCTTGTCGGTATTATAACGGTTCGTACCCTTCTCTTTCGACACGCGCTAACTTAGAGACGTGATGCCTGTTTTGTGATGTCTTTTAAGACGTTTATGCTGACCCACGAACTCGAATTGAATGCTATAGTCACGGATACGATGAAAATTGACGAATGTCAAGCTGTAAATAAAAAAAAGTAAGTTAATGCAAATGAAATTGAATACAATAAAAGGTAAGATGAATAATAGTAGAAACCATAAGACAACATATAGGCAATGTGAGTAAAAGTCTAGATTATATAAAAAAATTGGGATAAAATGAAGCGTAAGATATTTAAAAGGTGAGGTAAAAAAAGAGCATAATTAAGTTTCAAATTAAGTTAACAAAAATAAAAGCTTGCTTCAGGTAAACGATGAGGCAAGACGAAAGGTAGAGCAAAATCTCAAATAAAGTTACGATAAAAAGAAGAGACCGTTATGATTCCGCCTTGCACAGGAACCCTTCCAGCTGCGCCTCCCGCTCCAGTCACCACCGCTGCCCCAGTATGTCCAGAGGGCACGTTTAGTTGTGGTGGCGGAACCGAGGAGTGCATTCCCCAGAGCCAGGTGTGCGACTTCAAAAGGCAGTGTTCCGACGGGTCGGACGAGGCACAGTGCGGTGAGTCTCCTTTGGGGATCGGACGAGGAATGTTGGCTAGGACGATGCTTGCACCCCGTGTCTGGGTGTACGTGTTGCGGCCGTAAGGACAAACACATTTCGCACGCCTTATGAAATTCGAATTCTGGATGTACATAACAGAAATTGGGCATGAAAACCTAGTTTCGGAAGAAGTTTTCCTGATATTGTTCTCGGAGCTCAAGTGAGAGGTGGTCAAATATAAAAATAAAATAAAGCAAAAATGACGGTCGTGCATTTTCTGTGCCCTTTACCGGATGTTCGTCATTAGCACAATGGTTTGCAAGCCTGCTCTCAGCTGGTCATTGTTTATATATTGCGTTAAAAGTATTAGTTATCGCAATTATCCTGCTCGTCGCCAGCCTCTACTAAACGGTCTCAGCGTTTGGCTTTCAGAAAGCCACCTAGGAACGAACACGCAAACCACTGAGCAGACGACGAACAAGCTGGTTTAGGACACAAAAAAACACATGCCCACCGTTTTAGAGCGCAGCTCTTAGGCTCCCGTTTCCGGGTTGAGCGACGTCGCCGTCGGCGTCGGCGTAACAGAGCGCGTTATATTATGAGGCGTAAATTTAGCGCGGAACTTTTTTCGCTAAATTTAGCGGGGAAATTGTTCCGCTAAATTCAGCTGGGAAATTTAGGTCACGTGACCTCAGCACCAATTCATCTTCGCCGCTCAATTTAGCGGGGAAAATGACGTCATGACTTCGTGTCACATCACCCGTAAACAAATTTAGTGGCAGGAGTAGGAGGGAAGAGGAGGAGGAGAAAAGGATTATGAGAAAGGTATGGAGGAGGAGGAGAAGCATGCCCTCCGCTTCGTACCCTGCCCTCCTCCTCCTCAGGAGCTGCTCTCTATTTTCGCATTACAAAGCTTTGTTAACGTCTTCCATATTTTGCTTTATATTTAGTCGTATTTCACCACCTCTGAGTTGAGCTAAAAAAAAAATTAGACATAACGCTTCTCACAAAACAACGTTCGCAAGCTCAGTTTCAGGTATGTGCGTTTGGATTTTGAATTTTGCAAGGCGTGCGGAATGTGATAGTCCTTACGGCCGCGCCCTAAATTAAGACGAACCTTGTTCCCCCACTCGGCCCTCGGTCAAAGAAGAATAAGTAAACCTTACTTATGTCCGTAGCCAAACGCTACTTTCTTTTTTCGGGTGTGTCAATCGCACGTTGAATACGCTGAACGTCATTTGGCCGCCGCTTCTCTTTAGCGATGTCAGTTTCACTCTGCTTCTTTCTCCTGTGAAACATATTGTCAAGACAACCGGAGCTCTTCCCGCAATTGTTTTGCTTTTATAATAGTTCTCTTCTTGAAGTGTACCCTCTCTGGGAAGCTGTGGAATCCCTACACAATGGCGAACACGAACACGAACCTCTGGCGTTCGATTGCTCATCGGCCGCACAGCCTTCGCTCAGCGAGAGCAAAAGTCAACGCTACCCACTTGCGCAATTTCCACGTTCTGCTCTGTGGGTTGGCGAAACGATTGTCACCTGTAATAACCATACTTTCACAAGTCTTCCGACTAGGACAGCTTTTTTCAGTTTGTTTAGACAATACATATTGTTTGCAGCATCAAGACGAAATACCAGATGGTCTTGCAAGGCCTCGATGCCATAATAAAACACGGCGCGTCATAAACAATATTCACAATGCTATTTTTTTTTATAACACTAACAATCTATGCATCACTGAGCGCTCAATTTCTACCCAAACAAAGTGCTAACGGTCCGAACCAGATTTCAAAGTTTCAGAGCGAACCTCTCTTTCATTCAGAAGTTATATATGGGATTTTTAGAAAAATTCAATGGGAGAATGGGGCCCATTTTTACCCGTTTTTTGTGCCTGGTGCTATAGACTACTTCCATAAATCCCTGCAGGCAACACGGCGCGTGTTGCGCTCTGCGAACTAGCTGGCCATGGAAAAGAGTGGCATGGTTTCGGTTTCGATCGACACGTCGACAAGAGATCGTACACAGCGTGGACTATTAACGGCCGTTATCTCATGCTTTCTGGGTCCGAGCACGTCGTTTGTGGTCTCTAAACTAACCGAAATGGCCAGGCCTCGAAGCTTTAGCACAAGCCCGAAATGTATAGCTTGTCTTAACACATGTTTGTTGTATTTTTGTACTCGAGCATTGCTGTTAGCGTTTTGAGGTATGTGGACGAGCCAGTGCTTGGAATCTCGACGCTGCGAAGCTCGGGGATCTTGCTTGTGTACGAATCAACAAGCTGTAGCAACCAATAAGTATGCATACATCGAGTTCGCGCCTTTACATTCGTGTTTTAATTAAAAAGTATGTTTGTTTCGTGCGTCCATAGACGAAATATTACTTTTTGCAATTACTGTTTTTCTTAATATGCCTGAGTATGCGAGTTAAAACTCGGAGGCGCCATTGAAAAGCTCAATTTTAACACACTTCTTACCTCTTTATCTTTACTGACCCGCAGCACTGCATGAAGTGAAGTCCCCACCCGCTTACATTTCACTAATATTCAACATCACGTATGCGCATAAAGTTATCCTGCAATCATATAGGCACTTTCTCACGTACAAACCGTTTTAAGAAAGCAAAAGTCGAGCACTTGTGTGATGAAAGTCGCACCGTTCGCCGGAAGTGCGCCGGACGGGCATGAACCACTATGCGGTGTGCCAAACGAACGGAATTATTCAAAGCGCACTTGACGGTTGCTAATGGCTATAATATTTATTATGTGTTTACTTTTTTCCTGACTGAGTATGCTGAGATAATTTTAGACACACCGTTCAGGCACAGATATTGGGCGCCAGGAAAAGCTCGTCCAAAAAAGTTTTAGCGAGGAGTAGGGGACGCTTGTTAGAGCCTCCGTCATAGCTAGCCGATCTCAGCGTTTGCAAAAACATAATCTTCTATCATCATAAATTTCAGTGTGAGATATGTGATGACACAAGGAAGACATCATAGCAACTTTTATACAGTAGTGACGTCGAATCTATTGCGTTTCCTTAGCAGTTCATGCGCCAACGCTGTGCTCAACTTTGATAATCCTGTGAGGATGCGGCTTGCTTTTCGCCCAATGAAATAGCAAGAAGCGGACGTTTGGCAAACAAAATACATTTAGGGCTCATGGTGACCAAATTCCAGTTGTAGTTGACTGGTACTACATGGGATTACTGACATTGGGCTCAAAGATGCACTCATCGGGCGAGGTGAGTAAGCCACGTGTTACTGCGTTTGCATACGCGCGCACAATATCCGATGTTTCGGGAACCAAGGAAAGTGCCCCACTCTTCGTTTTGTATCGCTCGAGAATGAGTGTAATGTACATTCGTAAAAAGTTAGATAATCGAAAACGCAAGCAGCGCGTTTGGTCGCGGCGTGATAGCATCAGATGTACCCACACACTCGAAACCGAAATTGAGTGGCCAACTTGTTCCCAGAGTGCACTGCGTGATATTTCGCCGCGATGGGGCGCGTTGGTTTTGGAAGAAGTCTATTCAGTTCTATGTATTTAAAAGCCCTGTCGGCCGCTATTTTTTATGACAATTTAAAAAAAGATCACTTCCAACTTTGAAATGGGATAAGGCTTAGTTCAGAAACTTCGGCATCTGGATCGGGCATCTGGGACTGCATTAGGGTTCGGAGAGTGAGCGTTCAACGATACATAGTTTATTTTGGTGTGTAAAAATCTTGGTAAATTGTTTGAGAAACACCTTGTATCACAATATGTTCACTGTCAGTTTAGTGTAGGCTCACAGTTTTGGGGTTCTAGGCTCAATTCCTATTAAAAAAATTTCGAATTTTTTTTATTTATTCAAAATATATCCATTTATCACTCTTTTTTGCATGCTTATTTGTTTCTTGTTATATAACATAAATTTCCCTGAAATGGAGGAACTAGGAAAAAGTTTATCTCGCATTTAATAACTAAAGTGAGCAAATAGTGATACGAGCCTTATTACAGGGGCCTGTGACTTCAGCCGAGATATGTGTGGCTTGACCAGTCGAGACCCCAACAGCAAGTACCTCTGGAACCGGATTTCCACCCAAGACGTAGCCAAAGGACCCAACAAGGAGTTGCCTATAAAGGACCGCAACAACAATCCCCAAGGCTTTTACGCGGCCTACACTAATACAAACAAAGGTGGGTGTGAACAATGCACCACGGCGTGGTACAGTACTAGTACCCATTTTGAACTAACCTTGAAATTTCGGAAGATGATGTTGTTATACCAGACATTTTGTATGGCAGAAGTTTGTTACACTGTAAGTTTGTTAGACTGGAACTTTGTTATAATGGATGTTGCTTATACTAGAAGCCTGTTATGCTAAAAGTTTGTTATGCTATAGGTTTGTTATAGCAGAAGTTTATTATAGCAGGGGTTTGTTACAGGAATCACTTTAGCACAGGAAGAGACAGTATTTCAAATACAAGTATTTGAAGTACGTATTTCAAATACTTTGTGTATTTTGCATTTGTATTTAATTACAAATTGGGTAATGTATTAGACGTGTGTACTTAAATACTAAAACGTGCGTATCTCAAATACAATTGTAATTAAATACAATTTTGTGGGCGAAAATACATTCCTCAAATTTATTGTTACTGTCGAGAGCAGGAAGAAAACTATGTTCTGCACCGAAGGCGGTGTCTCTCAATCAAGCACAAGCGTTTAGTGACTCTGTGATTGCGGTGCTAGTCCAGGGCAAGAAGAGTGACGAAATCGACGTTCACAGGCAGACTGGCTAAATAAGTGCCTGTGACTACGTGTGATGCTTTCCAGCCTGATTTCCATCCATACTTTTTCCTGGAACATTCTAAACGCGCGGGTCGTCCAGATTTTCGTAACTGGTGCGAGTTGCAACAATAAAAAAATTCTCTAGCTAGTACTGCGCGTCTTGGTCGTCTCTGTTCTTTGTTGGTCTATACCAAAAATGTAATCGACAAAAAAGCTACTTGTAGCTCTGTACATTCTTCACGTGTTACGCCCAAGCTGATTACACTTTTTTGTTATTATAGTTTTATTACGTTACTAGAGCCTAGCACACTAACTTCCGAGTGTGCGATGCAAAATTAAAATGAGATGCCCAAAAACCCGTTGCAGATGCCCTGAAGTCGCTGACGCATATTTTGAGGAATGTATGTGGAAATGTATTTGGAGGAGACCAAATACATTTGGTTGTATTTGTATCTTGTAATTAAATGCTTTGTGTGTAAATGCAATTAGATTTGTAATTAAATACATTTTTCACGAAGTATTTTGTATTTGTATTTCGATACATATTTGCATGTATTTTGCCCATCCCTGCTATAGCATAAGCTTTTTTTATGGCAGAAATTTCTGATGGCAAAAGTGTCATGGTAGAAGCTTGTTATAGTGGAAGTTTGCTATACTAGCAGTATAAGTTCCCTGTAGCAGACGTTTGTTATAGCAGAAGTTTGTAATAACAAAGCTTGTTATATGCAAAGTTCGTTATAGCACAAGTTCATTACAGTACACGTTTACTTTAGCAGAAGCGTATTATAGTAGAAGGTTGTTCTGTTAGGAGTCCATTATAGAAGAAGCTTATTTTAGCAATGTTTCTACAAGAGAAGTTCCATATACAAAAGTTTTTTTTCTAACAGAACCTTTTATGAGAGCAAAAATTTCCCCATATCAAACGTTTTGCTTTAGGAAAGTCGTGTTCTTCTATAGTTTAGTTACGGCAACTAAGAGTTTTATACTAGAAGTTTGCTATAGGGGAAATTTTTATGGCAGGAGCTTTGTTTTAGCAGGAACTTTGTTTTCCAAAGTTTGTTATAGGTTTGTATTTCTGGAGATTTGTTTAAAAATTTGTTATACTAGAAATTTGATATAGTAGATGTTCGTCAGTAGAAGCTTATTATGGCAGGAGTTGATTCTCTCAGAAGCTTGTTATAGCAAAGTTTGTTTTTATGGAAGTTTGTTACAGCCGAAGGTTGCAATAACTTGGCTCTGCAGTGCTTATGTACTCAGGGGTTATGGAGCACCTGATTTGTGCTACTTTATCAAAAGTCACCTCCTTTCCAGAAATAAACTGGCGCCTTCAAATGATTATGATTTATTTTATGTTTCCTTCACAGACGTTCCATACCGCAGGAATGACTTACTCACTCCAATCCTCGGACGAATAGCCCATTCGTGCATTATATCATTCTATTCCTTCATGAAGCCGAAATGTAAGTATGGCTCTTCTATATGCTTTACGATATTCTATAGCCTAAAGTTTCTGACGGGTTAAGGAATGCAGGGCGGAGATGATTTTGCTCACGGTTTTATGATTTTGATTTGTTCTTCAAAGTTTTTATCAGCTGTGAGGCAATCTGATTGGCTGTATAAAGCGATAATACTTTACCGGAACTCACAACGCCCTGCACTGGTTAAACTTGCGTAGACTCTAGAGTTCCCAATTGTTTTCAGAGTACCAGAATTATTAGGCTTTGTTTAAGGACTGCTTCGAGGCTCCACAATACATAACTTCAAAATGGAGGGCCTCTGGCGTCGAGTCAAATAAACACTACAAAGCTGGGAGAGACAGCTCGCCATCACGGAAACAGGCTGGAATTTTTCTGTTGCGAACTTGATTGTGAGATACGGTTTTGCGTTTTCGGGGTGTATGTTTCTCGGAGATGGGGTGCTTTCTAGCATTAAATTTCGATGTCAGGTGGGAAGTCTGCATTTTTCGCGGTTCATGCTGGAGAAAGGACACGGGAGTAAGGGACAACGTCCTAGGAACATGCTCATGACAAAAATAGTTATAAAAACGTTCCCGTACCTATAAGGAAAGGAACGGAGACAAAGTCTATACTTTTCCGAGAAAGGAAGCCCTGTATACAGCTCAGTGAGGGCTGTCCACCGGTTTAGAACACTGTAAAGCTATATATGAAAATTTCTTTGGGTTCATTCTGATTTTCGATAAAACGGGCTTCAGGGTTACACTTGCAAATGTTTGCAAGCACTAGCACAAAATATAATTTATCAGAGAAATTTTATGAACTTTACGCAATACCGACCCCGAAAAGCGTTTTGCTCATAGGGAAGCATAAACAGAAAGACCTCAGTCCAACGGCGTAATTTGAACTCACCGCCGTGAGGTTGCTTATCAGGTTTTTTGCCGACCCGAGTTATACAGGGCCGGTGGTCAAAGCACGCAAAGTAGAGCTCATTTGCCTGAAGGCGCGGTCGCGATCTTTGCGGTCTTTCGTGTCTTGTTGCTCCACCTCTCTTTTCGTGCGTCGAAAATGAGAACAGATAATCAGTAAGCTGTGCCATTCAGACGCCCTTCTCTTTTTTTCTGAAAGGCCTATTGCACATTCTGTGTACACCAGTCTTTGTAAGCGCGATCAAGCTTGTATGATTTTTACTAAAAACACGGATCTCCAATTAGAGCATGCTTAGCGTAGGAAGTCTTAAAATAATCAAGAAGTATATCTCTGTCGCACTTCCCATAATTTACCAGCTATTTATAGTTTGCGCACGTACTTTTATATAATTTTTCCTGGCATCAAAATAGCCGATATCAGTCAATCCAAAAGCCCGATCGACCCGTTTTTTGTGTTCTAACAGACGCTTTGTGGAGCATTCTGTGACTCTACACCGTGTAAACCGATGTTTTGAACTCACTTCAAAACGGCACGCAAATCATGTTTTTTTCCGTATTTCGTTTGAGGCAATCTACGGCGGCATTTCGCAGACCGTGCCGGGACGGTGCTCGCCGACTTGTGTGTGGAGATGTAAAATTTCTGGAAATTTTGAAGGCCGGAAAAAAACGAACAAAAGAAAACAAGCTTTTTTCAGGAAATTTTGGAAACATTCAAAGCATTCCTCAACAGCTATAATTCAGTAAAGATTTGTAATATATCGACAGAGGTCAACAGCCTCAAGATATATCCGCCAATTTTACTGTAGACTATTATATCAACTTTTTTAACGTTTACGACAATTTTGGTCAGTTTAGCTGTGCTTTGATTAGTCATCTTGAAATGACCGATAGCACCTACGCAGTTCTGCATTGCCGCTCTTAGTGCCCTTCACCCCGGGGGAGCCATATCACCTTAGCCTTCCCAGCCCTTTAGTTGAAGTCATGAGCACCGTACTCGGGTATAGACACTTGCCGTGAACCGTGGATCTCTCAAAACTGTGTGCTGTGAGCCTTGAAGGGGCCAGCCATGGCACCTCTACCGTTTTACGTTACCCGGCGCCGTTTCCGAAGCATCGCGCGCATCGTTTTCGGGTATGGACTTTCGCCGTTGATCCGTAAAAACTGCGCGCTGTGCGCCATGGTGAAGCCGTGCTCCAATGTTTCGGGGAACTTTGACGTGCTAAACAGTGGTAAGGTGCCAGCGGTGTGCAGATTTCGCCATGTCGAATACGAATTTCCCAACGCAACCCGTTTGCGGCAGCACATTGCAATGTGTCCGAAGTGCCCCCGGGACATAAGGTCCACAGCATCGGACGTTCCGGCAAGATCAGTCTGGGGCATGTCGGTGCAGGAGCCCATTTGTGGAAGTTTTACGATCAGAGCGTGCACCTGTGGAATATGAAGGTCCAAGCTCTCAAAATGAGGCCGACAGCTATTTCAAGCACCGAAGTTCTATAGAAGCGTTCGTTGACAGGATGACATAAGAGTGTCAACGCAAGCTTGATGAGGCGCTGGCTCGAGCGGTATATGCCAGTAGAATGCCTTTATCGGTTGAGGAAAACAGACACTGGCGAGAAGCGCTCAAGCTCCTCAGGCCCGCATTCGTGCTGCCTTCCGGGCGTTCTTTAGGTGGACGACTCTTGGATGCCGAATATGCCCTAGGGATGGCGCAGGTGGAAGAAAAAGTCAACACCGCTCTTTGCGTTACTGCACTCAGACACCTGGACCAATCTACGGCGCGAGAGCATCTTGAACTTTGTGGTGGTTACACCAAAACCTATTTTCTACAGCGCCGTGGAGACGGAAGATCACAGGCACACAAGAGACTGCATCGTGGTAGAGATTTTAAAGGTTGTAGAGAAAATTAGAACTGACAAGGTTTCCGTTCTTAATACAGACACTGCAAGCAACAGGAAGGCAGCGTGGACAATCGTCAGTTTGCGCTAACCTATCATTACTGCTCTTAGGTGTTGTGCTCATGGACTAAACTTGTTGAAGTCGGACATGCTCGAATTGGTGACAGAGCAAGAAGTTTGGAAGAGGTCCAAGGCAGTAATCAAATATGTCAGAAACTCTCACGTGGTTGCGGCTCACTTTGCTAAAAGGCAAGAAGAACGCCATGCTGGAAATCAGACCACATTAAAACTACCAGCTGAAACTCCCTGGGCGGGCATTTTGACGTCACTGGAAGGCCTACAGAGCAACACAGAAGCTTTACAGAAAACTGTAACTGCTACGGAGCTTCAAGTGAGCAGAGAAATAAGAACAAAGATATTAGTTGAAGACTACTTTTGGCGAGATGCGCAAAGCACCTCCCATGTGTTGCTGCCAGTTGCCCATGCTATTTCTGAGGCTTACTCAGATATGTTGTTCTCTCAGACGTCGATGAGACCATGTCTAAAGTAACAAATCGAAGAGGCAATTCCAAACTCTTCCAAAGCAACGTGCAAAGAGGAAAACGTGGCAGAAATTCTGCGTGAGCGACGCAACTTTTTTCGCCATCCAGAACATGCGGCCGCACATTTGCTGGTCCCGAAGTTCAAAGGGCAGTGCTTAAGTGAAGAAGGGGTCTGCCACGCAATGCGCTACATTGCAGAGATGGCAAAGAGGATGTGCCTCGATGCGGGAAAAGTGTTATCAAATCTCGCCAAATACCGGGACCTGTCATGTGCTTGGTCGAGGAAGGCATTGAAGGACTCGGCAAAACACATATTCCACCGTAAACGTGGTGGCAAGGGCTGTGTGCCTCTGAACACCTGACACCAATTGCTTGTTGCCTTCTTCAAGTTCCGCCCACCTCCGCAGCGTGCAAACGAGATTGGCCGAAGTTCAGCGGGGTCCACACCAAAAGTAGGACCAACTCAAAAGACGCAAAGTGCAGAAGTCGGTATTAGTTCACTACAGTCACGAGCTGAGGAGCCCTGATCTGAAATACGACGGCGGAGATGACTGAAGTATGGAGTCAGAGTAGTCCTAACTTACACACCGCTTTGGTGCATTCGTCTTAATTTATAGAAGATATCTGGTCAGTGCGTGCATATCTACCTCGTCCATTGTTGGTTTTCAGCTTTGTCCTGTACTTTTCAATGCAGCACTTGTACCCTTAGAAGAGAAATGGGTTACGACAAAATACATTAAATATTAAATTTCACTGCCCTTTGGATAAAAATATTTAACGTGCCATTTAAACGTGGCACAATCTTCATGATAGTACATGCCACATTTCCTTTCTTCTATGGTTGACATGCAACTATCTTTCGTTAATCTGCTTTTACGTTGCTTAAAGCTATGTTCATGTTCGTGTGATAGTGGAGACTCAGCTGTGAGTTGCGAGGCTCATATTTTAATTTATTGAGCGAGAAACACGCCATAGGATTCATTCATTCATTCATTCACTTATTTACCCTTAAAGGTCCCCTTTCGGGGACATTACATAAAGGGGGGATCAATCACATGTCAATCAACGAAAGAAACAATGAAACAGCAAAAAAAAAAACACAATGAAACAATAACAACTATTTCATCAACAAACACGCACTCAATAATAATTAACCAGAGAACCAAAAATAGAAAGCAAACAGGCAGTCAGTATTTCCCTTAAAAATGCAAGACTAATGAGGAACGGAAAGCGTCAGGGCATATTATTAAGGCGATGGATGCACTCAGGTAGAACATTCCATTCTGAAATCGTCAGGGACTTAGAAACATGGCTTCATCACATGCGTACGCACTACACCAAGAAACCTCGAACAGCACTGTAATTTCTCGTTCGTAAAAAGCGTTCACCGCAGTCTTAAATATTTATAGACATACTGAGAAGTGAAGCAACGGCCTTTCGGGATGGTTGGTGCATAGTTTTTCGACAATGCAAATGGTGCAACTACTGGGAGATGCGGCAGGCAACCCCAGGTGCTTGTGTTTCCTCACTTTACCCGTCGTCGCGCTGTTTTGTTTACTTAGGGGTTGAACAATGTATTATGTTTAGTGTAGCGTGATTCAGTTTCCCTTTGCTCTGCCAACAAAACTCAATTCATAGCTGCGTGATGACTATTTTCACACTCGATGGGGTCAGTGGTATCTATTTTAAATTTCGTTTGCAGTAATGTGCTTAATATGTTTGTCAACTACACTTGTTGATGCGGTGTTTCTTGTTTTCCTGCTGCTGTTTATTTCTGATCATATTTTGTCTCCTGTAATGTGTGCGGTGTTTTTGTTTTGCTGCAGTGTTCAGTACCGTACTTTTTTTTTTACCCTCTCCTGTAATGACCCCAAGTGGGGTTAACAGTATCTTGAAATAAATAAATAAATAAATAAATGCTTGAAAAACTTGGGTTTTTGTTTTCTTACGAATACTTTGCCGAAAAAAGGGGAAGCATAGCAAAAATAGGTTTTTTTTTGCTTCGAAAGTTTTTTTTCTTTTGGAGCCCTCGCTGCCGACAGATGGCGCAACGTGAGACACAAGAGGACGCGGTGCTACGACCCTCCAACTCCGTTCGAGAAATAGGGGGGTATTAAATCCAGTGAATCCTAGTGCTATACTGAAGCTGTGCTGCAGGGTACAAGAACTGTGTTTAGGTGTTGACTGACTTACGCAATTAGTAGTGAGCTCTTTATTCATTGGGGTCTTCCTTCGCATCGACATAGTGCTGTACACTGCATCCTTACCCACGACCTGTCTTTTTAAGGGGTGATGACACTTAGGTTTGGAGTGGAGGAGAACGATACATCATTGATGATCCCCGATTTACACAAGACATTTGCCGAAGTCGAAGGGCACAACACATGGACTCGTTCTGCAGTCAAGGTCGGAAACTGGAATCCAGGCTACAGGGTGAGGATCTGAATGTTGCAGCCGCTACTCTTACAGCATTTAAAGGTGCACTAAACCACTTTATCTGATAGTTTAATTATGATCATACCTCAATATCTGGGCTCTGAGCATCATAAAAAGACGCTCCGTTCCTGCGTGGCATATTTTTTTGTTTAAATGGGTATCAAAAAATCTATTTCGTCGGACCTATCACTGAAACCAGATGGAGCCATTTTAGGAGGGAGAGAAGGACTCTGGCCCTCCTTGTTCGATAGCGCCATCTTGCGTGGATCTAATGACTCCAATTTTTATCAAGATATCGGCCACGCATGAATGTAATATGTTTTTAGGGTGCGTAGAACCCATAGATTGAGCTATGATGATATATAAACAATCGCAGAAAGTGGTTTAGTGCTCCTTTAAGGGGAACACTTCTTCTTGAGCTTTTTCCTTTATTATTAGGCCATTTGAAGTGGAATAGTCAGATAATATATGCTTGACATTCTGGTTTCTTATATGTGCTTTGTCTTGATGTGGCCCAATTAGTTTGGCTCCTATTAAAATGCCGATGGCATGGAATGTGGGCAGAGTTAATACAAATTATTATACTTAAGTCAGAAAATCCTTATAACTTAGTAAACTAAGAATTGCACAGAGTTAAATGGGGTATACACAGAACCTCTAGCATGATTATTGAGTTATTCATAATACAAATTGGGGGGGGGGGGGGGGGGTATTTAGGGAAAACAACCTGGGAATGCCAACTTTTGAATGGCTCACCTAATGAATCTCTCGTTGAGGAATGATGTTGGTAATCATATATTTCTCTGTTGGAATGCATACTGAAATATATTTTGCCAGTTACTATAAAAATACATTTCACAAAATATGATCTTTCCAACTAACGAATAATAAAAAAAAATGTTTATATTTTTAACATTTCCTAACATTTCTCACAGAAAAAAAAACATTTTTCATAATAAAATAACATGGAAATGCCAAATCAAAGTTCATAGTAGACGGCTCCTTAACATTTCGCAATATAAGCTACTAAAATGAAGTCTCGATAGGTACATATTGAAATGATAGATTTATGATGTGATATTTGTGCCAAACGTTGAGTGGAGAAAAACGCGTTCAAAGTGCTCGAACTTGTACCTTTTCTTTTGCACTGGTGGACTGAAAATATTTAATAAAAACCGAACTATGCCGTGTAAATAGATTAAATATTCAGGAAATTCTTTCAAATGTTGGCAGATATGCCATCTGTGCTGGCAGACGTGCCATGTTTCATACGTCATTTTACAAGATCGTATTTTTTGCAGAATATTGCTTTTGTGTGTGTAGTGAACCTTTCAAGTATTTACGATATATTTAAGATATTTATGTGCCTTATTAAATTCCACGGATATATTTTGACCAAAAAAAAAAGAAACTGTCAAAATTGGTAAAATACATGTATGGATGGATATGGCTTGCATGAATTCTCAAAGTGTAAAAAGTTTGTATACAAATAAAATAAAAAATTAACAAATCGTTGTTACTTCTTTTTAATCATTATCTGAAAATAATTTGAATTGTCACAAAAATGCTGAAGGACAAGGAATGCTGTTTTTGTGCCTTCATCTGCTCTTTCATCCTTTGTGTTCTAGCTAATGAAAATAGAGTTGTTTTTATGAGATATGGCTCAGTGTCCCGCTTGAACTTTTGGCCGAACATACACGCCTAAACGAGCTTGCTCAGTGTTTGATGTTGAATTCCAATGTGTGGTCGTTTTGTTCAATCAATAGATTATTTAGAGGTAATTCGAAGAAACGAAAAACTGCAGAACAAAAGATTATTTTTAACACATGACTGGATTCTATAAAGTATAAAGAATACAATGGTAAAAGTGTTTTGCGATTTAACAATAATTAGTGATTTTGCATCGCATTTATTTAAAAATATACTTTTGTATGCTATTTGGTTAATCTTAGCTCAACATTTAAAATAGCTAAAAAAGACTGGAACTTAAAGTAAGCAGGACAAGCGCTTGCCCTGTTTAGGTCGTGTCTCTGTTTTTATATGTCTTTTCACTAACACTGACTCAGTGTTCAGTGTGTGGCTACCAAATAAGAAACAAAACGAAGAAATTCCTATACATATGGTGAAACATCCGCTCTCGGGGCTGTATGCTATACACATGTAACTACATGCTGCAAAACGTTATACTTTATCTGTCCTAGCCGCTGGGAATTCGCAAAAGCAAAAAGTAAATAAATTTGGGTTTTGTGAAAATGCAGTTTTAGCTTAAACCTTTGTGTACTTTCAGCCCACATAGATACTATTAACTTTTACTGTGGCTCCAATTCTGACCCACAAAATGAAGAAGTAAAGAAAACACTTGGAAGATGACAAGATAAGTTTTTGTAAATTTCTAAATTGCAATTTTCAAGAAATCGTTTGTTCTAGAGATTTTTAGGCATAAAATATTCATGTCGCCCCTTAAGACTCGAGTCAGTGGATATTTGAAGTAAAGAATACGTTAAGCATACAGTACCTGAATCAAGCAATACTTGAATTAGATGACACTTGAATGAGACGGTACTCAAATCAAACAATACTGGGGAAGTGCAAATATTCGAATTTTATAATACTAGTAGTTTCGAATGATACGCTATTGAATATTTGCTTCGAAGTGAACTGCGATATTCGTCTTATTGAAAGTGTTGCTCGACGGTAATCCCGTCGAGGACTCTTCTTACCGAGCTCCGGTGCACTGCGGGAACAAGAGCACCTGCGGAGCTCGCTTTCATGGGTGTTGCTTCTCTGCAGTACACCAGCGCTCGATAAGATGCGCGCTTAACGCGACTAATCCACCACGATCAATCATTACTTCAAGTACCAATATCGCAGTCGCAGGGTCAAGAGGAAAGCACACTTTCAAAACCGGTGGCGCTCGTGCGTGCCTGGTGTTTTTAAGAATAAACGGGAATTTCGGGAATGTTGGTATCTACAATACAGTAGGATTTGTTTAATTAAACTGCTTCTAATATGCAAGAGTATATGTTGGACAGTAGTGTCTAGACAACCTGCATTCATCATTCGTAATTGTGTTTTTCCTCCTCAACTTCTAGAATTAAGAACATTGGCATGCAGCAAGACGATTTATCAATCTCCAACATTACTTAGAGCTGGGACCCTTATAACTATAATTTTATGTCAAATGCATAATTTACTAAAAGTGCATTGGCTTAGATTGAACAAGTGAAAGCTTGGGTACAACATTCATGCGTTTAACTGTATTTTTTAAAGTTCAAAATTGCATAAAGAATTAGTGAAAAGCTTAGAGAAAGTACCCAATTTTCTTTGAAAATATTCCACTCAAATCACTCTTGCTTTGAATTCTCTTTGAACTCAAGTTGAACTATATTCGCACATTTTTAGGTTAAAACACACTGTTAAATAAAAACGATTCTGAATTGTAACATCTTATAGTGGTCTAGTTTATATTGTGGGAGTCATAACCCCGGCTCTCCAGACTCTGATGTCATGAAAAGAGCCATCTCACATTGTGGCATTGTAATATTGACCAACGCGCTGGATTAGCTCACTGACTGCGGTGCGCCCCCTTGCAGCACACTGCCCCGGCTCATATTTGGGCCAGTTTGGCGCAAGATTGCGCCAAGCTTGAGCCAAGTTGGCTCTAGCTCGCGCCTGTCTGGCCCAAGCCTGGGCTCAGGAAGAGACGAGCAAGAGTTTCGTAAAGTTCTAATTTTTATGAGTGGTCATTCAGTTTTGATCACGAGTCCGCTGATGCTCACTCAATTGTAAGCAAAGAGAAGCTGATCAGGCAGGTTGGAACGAAATATATCATTTAGAGGAATCGCGACTTGCATCGAAGAATGTGTACGATTTTTTATTTCTTTTTAATTTCGGGAGGCTACGACCATGTTCAGGAATGTGACATAAGTCGACGTTGTGACTGTCTTCGTTACACAAGTGTCAAATACATTGCAGTTTTCGTCTCTGTTGATTAAAAAAGTTCTGGGACCTCGTGCCGATTTTTTTTTGCACTGTTGCATGTTAACGTTGTGCAGTTTCTTCGAGGATCAATTTATCAGTCTTTTACGGTTAATATGAGAGAGTGAGGGTGTCAATTATGCCTTGCCCCTCACTCTTTATCTGACGAACCCACTCTCACCCTACTTAGAAAACAGCTTCTGGATAACAAGGCCTCGGTGCGTGACTATCTTCATCATCTACTATATGTCTATATTAGTAACGGGGTAATTGGGCTAGTTGGTTCATAGTTTAAAACATATAAAAGCACCGAAAACAACAAGGATGAAGGAGTAAGAAAACACATGGTGCCCTCGCAACTGATGTTCAATCGGAAAGAACACATATTAATAGGCCTCATCAGCTTGTCTAGTTATCAGCATGTCAGTGCAAAGTTCGTTCGATATAATCCCACTTTAACGGGATAGCGTTAGGGACTTCATGTCGCAGAAAATCTGTCGTCGGCCTTACCGGAAAATCCTGATTGGTCAATAGGGTCACAATATCACAGACGCTTCTGACGTCACGTGTAGCGTCATACGTAACATCACATGTGTGACGTCACACGTGGCTGCTGTGTCATGCCCCTGTGGACCACCTAAATCTGGCGAGAAGTGTTTTCGCTAAATTTAGTGGAATATGTTTTGCTAAGTTTATCTAAACATTTTCCCTCCAAATTGGGAACATTTGGCAGGAAGATATGGCGGAAAATTAGCGTGAAAGCTTGGCGAAAAACTTTTCTGTTAAATTTAGCGGAAAATATTTTCGACACATTTAGCGGGTCGACATGGTCATGACGTCAGTACGAATTGCGGCGTCCTGTGCAACATCACATGTGACGTCACGCATTTCACATCGTGCCACATGACTTCGCTCAGGAATTCAAAAACAGCCCACAACGCACGTGTGATCTCACACGTGTCATCACATGACGTCAAGGTCGCGACACGTGTCTGAATGATGTCACGTGACGCGTGCCGTCGCACAGACAAATGATGCTACAGACTAGGCCACGCACACACGTTTGTACGGCTTGGGAACGAGTGCGGGTTTATATAAGAATGCTTTTCGAACATGGCTCAACAACGCTATTGCGTTCCACTCTTACCGCTCATTCACACTGGAAGCGCATCCGCTTCCTGTGTGAATCGAACTGTTTTGCGATCCTCGCGCTGTTTGATATAAGCTGGCTTTACTGTACAATCGCGTTCGCAACCGCTTTGCGAACGGTTGCGAACGCGATTGTACAGTAAAGCCCGCTTATATCAAACAGCGCGAGGATCGCAAAACAGTTCGATATAGCAAACATTCAATATAGAAAGGGGGAAAATAAAAAAGTATGTAAGAGAAATTTAGCCGACATAGTCACGAGCTAACTCTCAGCTCTTACCAGCCTGCACTTCCCCATTAATCGGACGTTTTCTCGAAAAGAAAACAATCATTATTGCGGCGAAAAAAAAAGCGTTAGTGTAGCCTGTTTCTTTAAGTTCATCGCGTACCTTGTGACGGCCCGCAACACGGTATCCAAACAGTCGACAAGCGCAAGACCGCTGCCCTCAATGGCACTGTAGTATCGGCGTAGCAGGGCCACGGCAGCGACGGCTTCACTCGAGCTCGGAAGAGGTACGGAGTCCTCGGCGTCAGCAGGACTGGGCTCGCCGCTTGCGGCAGGCCGCTCCCGAACAACCTCGGCAGCGATCTCGATGTCGGTCAGCTCCTCCATAGTTCCCGTGACGTCCTCGTCGTCGCCTACGAAATCTTTCATTATCAATGTCTCGGGCTCACCACCGACGAACTGGGAGAATTCGTTCCACGCCTCGTCGAGCTTCGCGGAGATCAGGCTGATCCATATCTTCACTGCAACCATCTTGCTCAGCTGATTCCTCGATGTTGGTGACAAAACCACCGTGCCGAAAGAAATTTGCGATGGTCTCCGGCTTCACATTTTCTCAGTCTGCTTTGAACATATGAATTGCGGCCAAGACGTGAATCTTAAGGTCCTGGTTCATCCGAAGTTTGGTGAGCAACCTTTTGATCAGTCTTCGTTTGTAGATGGGCCTAAATGTCCGGCTTATGCCTTGGTCTAGGGGATGGAGCCTCGATGTCGTGTTGGGTGGCAGGAACTTCAGCTCGATGTTGCTGAGCGGCACGTCCATGTGGTGTGCAGTACAGTTAACAACGAGCAGGCACACGCTGCGGCCCTCATTCGCAAGCTGAGCGTCCCAGTCCGTCAGCCATTTTCCGAACAGGTCTCGAGGCCTTTTTGTTCCATTCGTACGTCACAAGAGTATTGCGGCAGTCCTTCATACACCGCGGCGTTCGAGCTTTCCTGATAACGACGGGGCACAGTTTCGTCGAGCCATCCATGTTGGCGGTCAGGAGCACTGTAATGCGGGCCTTGTTTCGTTTGCCGCCATGGCACGTGTTAACGCGGGTGTCGAGAGTCTGCCTGGGCAGCATTTGCCAGAAAAGGCCCGTTTCGTCAGCGTTAAAAATATCCCTCGACTCGTACTTGGCAAGGATCTGGGGTCACTCATCTTTGAGCCACTTCCTTACGCTATCGATGTTCGCATCTTCGCTCTCTTCCGAGATGGCTTTCCCGACGATGTCGTAGCGGCCCTTGAAGCGCTGTAGCCATCCGCCACTTTCCGTGAAGTCCCTGACGCCGAGAAGAAATGCCAAGTCCTTGGCCTTGGCTTGCAACAATGGTGCGGACACGGGAATATTGGGGGCTCTGACGTCTATGAACCACTTGTGAGGTGCCTTTTCGACGTTTTCGAAGGCCGGATTTCGAACACGTTGCGTATCAGAATGCCCGGGGGGGGGGGGGGGGGTATGTTGCACGTTTTGGACCCCCAGGAGACTAGGGAGAAGGAAGTGACGTCAACAACGCTCTTTGGATGTTGATTGTTGGAGTCACTGATGACGCGTTACGTGGTGCTGCTAAGATATGTTCATTCACGCCTACATCACTTCCTTCTCCCTAGTCGCCTGGTAGTCCGAAACGTGCAACATAGCCCCCTGCTTTGTCCCGCTTTCGCCTTGATGCCTGCCTTGCTTTTGAGAAGAGTGCTCAAGGTGCTTCGAGGAATCTTATACGTCTCGGCCGACACAAGACTTCTTTTCTTCCTTCTCTACCAGCCTAATGATTTCCAGTTTCGTTGCGAACGTCAGCGTTACCCGTTTCTCTACGCTGGCAGCGGCAGCCATCAGGATAGGGATTCAGGAGAAGACAAGCGAAATTTATCCGGTCCGACCAAGTGCGGAAAGCGGTGGCGCGGGCTTGGGGATCGGCAACACCGCAGTGCCCTACGTGGCGCTTTCGGCACCAACGGATGGCACGCGTAGTGCTGGTCAAGCACTCTAGAATTGCAAGCGCCCGCCGCGCCACCGCTGTGCGCGCGGCAGGTTTCCTCGCTTGCGGCATGATTTTCAGCAATACACCGGCGTATTCCGAGGAAGCCTGCCGCATGCCTTAGGAGCGCGCCAAATCCGGCGCGGAAAGTTTGATATATCTATTATCAGCAAGATCACGTTCAATATAAAAATTTGAAAATGCATGAAATTTTTATCAGAATGCTACAAGGGTTGGATACCGGCAATAATTCGATATACCAGTGTTCGATATAAGCGGGCTTTACGTATAAAGATCCAGTGCAATTGCACGCGCACTTGATGTCAACGAGTGCGCGTGCAATTGCACTGGATCTTTATGCAACCGCGTTCGCAGCCGCTTTGCTCACGCGGATCCGCTTCCAGTGTCAATGACCGGTTAAAGTCGAAGCTTTAGCGTCCTCCAAATTTCTTCGCTTATGCAATTTTTCTTTGCTTATGCAACCTGCTGATTCTTCGCTTATGCAACCTGCTTCTTTATGTCGTATTTGGTAGCTCTCATAAAGCTACCTGTTGTTTTGTTCTTCTGCATGGCTAGAATCTTAATGTCGTCGAACACAGGCTTACAAGAGCATTTGCTGCAGTGAATGGCCAGATTGCCAGAAGGGCTAAATCGCGTGACAGCCTCATTTTCTCGTGCACGGACATTCACGCATCTGCCCATCTGGCCATTGTACACAGCCGCCGCAAGACAGGGGCATCTTAAAAACAAAAGTGGGCTACGCCAACCTTATTTGGTGGCCTCATCCATCGTGTCTCATTGCTAAACTTGAATTGGTGCAAAACAACGCATCACGCTTTATAGCACGTGACTTTTCGCGAACGTCAAGCGCAACTGCACTAAGATCCAACCTCGACCTATACCCTCTATCGGAAAGAATTCAAGCTGCTCGCCTTGTCCTTTTTCACAAAATTTTCTATTCCTGTTTTGATTATTTTTAATTAACAAATGTAACCCGCCACCTCACATCTCCATGCGTCAGGACCACAGTCTAAAAGTTAAATCTGAATTCGAGAGAACAAATAAATCCAAAACTTCAACACTTTCTCTCGCTATTACTAACTTGAATTCTCTAAAGAAATTGAAAACAGCACGCAAAAAGACGAGGACAACAAGAGTAGAGCACAGGACAAGCCCTGGAGGTGCATGCTATCGAAAATGCTGGCTGAGGGCACTGCGTTAGCCAGCCTTCGGTTTATCTTCACAAAAAAGATATCAATTTTAAAGATGCCTGGCGAGCGACACGCCATTGGTTGTTTCGGCGTTGGTTGGCTTTGTGGTGTTTTCTTGTTTGAGCCGTTTTTAATAAAACGTCGGTTGATAGTCAGCGCTTGTCCTGTGCTATACTCTCGTTGCCCTCGTCTTTTTGCGCGCTGTTCCCAATTTCTTAAGTCATCAACCAACTCGCCTGCATCGCCACCTTTATTGAATTCTCTTCCTGAAACCATGGTATGTGAATCTAACCATAAGAAATTCCATGAACTCTGCAAAACACACCTGAAAAGTGTTGATCTTTAACATGTTTATTTGTTAATATATTTGTCTCATGTTACGTTTTAATATTTGTCCAATTAGTTGGTAGGTTTTTGTTTTCTTAATTTTTTTACCGTGTCGTCACTCTTCTTCTATCTGCCTAATATGTCATTTGATCCCCCCTCGTGTAATGCATTTAATTTGAAATACCCTTGAGATGAAATAAGCTAAACTAAAACTAAACTTAAAACACCACCCGACACACACTCAGCAGATCCAGATTTGTTATTCATTCTGCTAAGATCAGACGGCTGCTCGGGACTGTTGAATCTGTGGCTAAGCCGTACAATATTATTAGGAGCCGAAAAAAGCATGAAAATGTGTAATGTTTTTAGCTCTGGATCAGTGATGATCTTACACCCCGAAGAAGTATTTTAGTAAAGCGTTTGCTTGTGAGGTGTTTCTCTCCTTAACGAGTTTTTTTTTTTTTTTTTTTTTTTTGCACCAACTCTTACTAGCTACATAATTTGCTTTTTGGTTTAAATTAATGTCTGCTATGTTTCATTTCAGTTCTTTTTCGAAACTAACGTGGAGTCTACCTGCATCGACGACATCACGTACACGAACTGCCACCCGGATCGGCTGAGCAGCGAAGGTTTGTGGGACTCACGCGCTTTTAAAAGAGCCCATTGGTTTCATTGCCACGGTGCTATTAGCGGGGAGATGTTTCGGTGGCGCCCCCGTTCGGTTACCTTTCGTGACGTCATTACCTTGGGAACAAGTTCGACGGTGTTTGTAATGGGCATGGTGGAAGCCTGAAATCATAGCGCTCTCAAAGCAACACTGCCAACACCGTCAAAATTGAAGTTCTTACATTCCTCTTATTTCCGTCCGTGGGAGATCCTTTGCTGACGTCATAGTCAGCATTTGGCCAATTGTGGTGGGCCGACCACAGCGACGCTTTCGATCGCTCACATCGCCAATAGTTACCGGTATAATCAGAACAGCAGAAAGCGTGTTTCGAACACCTTGCTTACAGCACGTGCTCCTTGCCTTGCGTACGCACACGCGCTGGACATGCACGAACATGGCCTTCTCTATGTTCACAAAGCCTGGCAGTTCGAGGACGGAGCCATAGAGTGCCCGGTCGCAGATTTGGAGCGCGAGGATCTGGTAGCTCAGGGGGTCAAGAGCCATTTCTCGGGTAATTTGGACGTGAGCGCAGAGCGTTTGCAGCGGCAAGGACCCGAACGCACTCATTCGCTCGGTAGAAGTGTGTTTCGGCGTCTCGCCGCAGCGAAGCGCCAGTCACGTGGCTCTCCTCTAGCCGTTTTCTGCCGCTCCACCTTTTCCATTTCGGCGGCCGCTTCTCGTGGCGATCTTTTAGGCTTTTTCAGTATATAGGAGGCTCTTGCAGGAAACGTTGAACCATTGCCGAAGACAAGATGCTCGCGCTAGAGGTGGGACAAGAGAAGCTTCTCCCCGCCATTCTCAGCGTGTCAATGAATATAGACCTATTTTACAACGGCGTTGCCATCTTGAAATATCGTAACTTCAGTATGGGCGAAAGCATTGTTTTGCCGTAGCCTCAAAAATAAAATATATTTAGGACGTAAGCCTAACCGTCGCTATTCTCGTTTTTTCACCCCGTTACATTACGTAGATTATTATGAAACCTAGCTTTGATCTAACCTTGATAAGTGTAGCGTACCACGGTGGCCGCGATCTAAGAAAGATGGCCGGCAGTCAAATATCTGCCCCCGTCGTCCACGGAACACAGGTATGAGATAAAAGAAAAAACGGCAACAAAGGTAGGAAAAGAAAACAAAGAGGCAGGAGAGAGGACTGCGAGACACTTTCAGGAGGTTTCTCCAGCTGTGAAAACTTCGAAAACAACAACATGAATAGAAAAAAAGGAAGTGTACCAAAGCAGGACATGGCTACAGTAGACGTGCTGCGTGCCTGCAGGGCTGAGACTGGCGCGAGCGTCTGTCGCATTCCTCATTAAACATAACTTTGCTTATGACCGTTTGATCAATAGATCCAGCTACAAAAGTCTTAGTACCATCTAGAGATTATTTCTTGCATATAGAGATTGCTAAAAAGAGTTCGATCCTTAAATAATACCAGCGCTCTAATGGCATTGCATGGTAGTGTCACAGTTTCTGTCCTACGTTTCAATCTCTCGACAGCTGAGGCCAGTCTCGGTGTGAGCTGCGACTTCGCGGACGACTCGAAGTGTGGCTGGTTTCCGGAGAATGTGAAGGACGACACAGATTGGGTTCTGTACGACGACGGAAATAATCCACAGCGATGGCACCCTCCAAAGCTTGGCGAAGGTGGGTGCCCATAAGTTTGAAACCTGTGGTTCTCGGGTTTACTACGGTTGATCGAATGCCATTTCGTCAAAGCACGTTTTAGAGAACGGGCACGTTTTATCGAAGCATGGTTTAGAGAAAGCGTAGCCTCGGTTTAGTGAAATGCTGTTTATCGAAAAGGGGACGCTATTTAAAACATTATTTTTTACTTCGCGCGTCTATCACTGGTGCGCGTGTTAACCTAAGCCCACTGCAGCGCTCCCGCCACTCCCCGGAGACAGCAGTCAACAGCGGCTCACTGCAAAAATGTTTGCTTACCTGACTTATCCGTACACGCCGCTTCGAGGCGGCGGAATTCGCTAAAAGGAGGCTCATCGCCATTTTCTCTAAACTTGGTTTCTCTATAAAGGCATTCGATGAACTGGGTCGGTAAAATGGCGTTCGATAAAACGAGCTTCTCTAAACCGCATGCCTCCGGTGCTTCTCAAACACTCATTCTTTGGGACCCTTTTTGAACCTATGGAATTGATGCGGAACCGTATGAGCCGGTAGAGGAGAGAAATGGACAATTACAATGTCAAAAGGGTACATGAAAGACAACTTAAATTGCGTGCCGACTTACGTTGAAGCTTTGAAATGAAGAATAGAACCCTACTCGGCCGGAACGCGTGGTTTGGTCTAGTAGTATGTAGCTTCCTGTTACAGCATGCAGCAGTAAAAAAAATCCACGGACGATCATGTAAGGCGATGCGAATGGGCAGCGTCAGCTAGTGCGACATTTGTATGATGTCGCCTCGTGATTGACTTACCGTGAGAATGTAGCAAACACATTCTTACTGACGCGCTGCACAAATTGCTTGGTCGCGCATGGACCCGCCGTGAACAGGTGGCTGACGCAAGCATCGGGTGTCTGTAGGAGCAAGAAAAAGAAGTGAAATCTGCTACGTTTTGGACATTCATATAGTGTTGTCTTTTCCTTTCACTCGAAAGTTTTACTTTCTCACACCACTGACTCAGGTGTTAGGATAGGGTCAAACACAAGCACCAGAAAAACACACAATTTTTGGGTATACATTAACCCAGAAGAGAACCGGATCCGGAACTCGAAAAAAAAGAAACAACGTCAAAAATGCGGAGCGGAGCCTTTGCAACATTCAATGTTTCTCAACATCAGGAGCGTACATGGCCGCGACCAGCAGAACTGAGGGCCAGAAACGAGCGCACCTGGTGTCCATGCACATCCCTGCCACTGACAACGAGAGCGGCTACTGCTTCACCTTCTGGTACAACATGTGGCACCCCAACAGCGGCACCCTCAACCTCTACCTCCGTGCGGTAGACAACTTTACTGAACTCATCTGGACTCGGTCGGGTACCCAGGGCAAGGCGTGGCGCGATGGAAGCGTCGTAGTCAAGTCTGACCTGGCCTACCAGGTTGGATTTTTTTCTGACTAATCAATCGATCAATGCATCAGTTAGTCAGCCAATCAATTGTTCAATGAATTAGTTACCGATAACCGCGTGCAATTTCGGTTCCCATTACATGCGAGTTCCTGCATTTTTTTTTTGTCCGCGGTCTGTGCGCGCGATATCTCTTCCCGTGGCACGGAAATTTCTAGCCGTTTGCCGCGTGTTTATCGCACCGTGAAATAAGAATCTGCAGCATCCGCAGCGTGCGGCACCCAATCCTGCGACACTTGTGTTTCTAGCATATTCCCGTGTTTTTATTGCGCTCTAAAAGGCTGTCTCTATGCTCGGATAGTGCGGGACGTGGTTGATTCTAATCCGCATTCCGAGTGCCGATAATTTTGGAATCTTATCCGCACTCCGATTGCATAATATTTTGGATTCACATACGTTCTCCCCGATTGCGTGCGGAACATTTTCCTAATCCCTGCTCCGCGTGGCACGTGACTTGGGCATGGCAAACATTGAACACAATGACTTACGGTGTTTGTGGTGTGACATTGGCGTGTTGGCAGCATCGAGTCTATAGAAATATTAGTGGTTGTGCGGTGTTTAATTTGGCAAATACCTGTGTTTTGGGATTCATTCAATTTCAAACAAGTGCGTACTTACCCTTTTTTTTTAATTGATTAGCATAAGGTGGCACATTGGGATACAAATTGAACTACTCGGGCCTCGGAGGCTTCAGAAAAGGCATAAAAGCATGGCGAAATCATTAACTTTTCTTTTTAGTATCGTTTTTTTTTTTTTTTGTTGAAAAAAATAATTATTATTTGCAAAAAAGAAAAAAAAAAACAACAAGAAGAGAGGCTTTTTAAAGTTTTTTTTTTTTTTTTTACGTAGAATGCGCCTTTGCCACGGCCAGCACATTAACCTCACGAGGTGCTTAGCTGATGGGGGCGGTAATGTGGGAGCGGGGGGCGGCTAGCAAACAGTCGGGTGGGCCGTTAGCACCAGAGGAACTTGGCTGGCAGAAAAGTGTTCGCGTCACGAATCTTCGTGGTGGGCGACCTCGAGAGACAGGCGTAATTTATGACGCCTGGTTCTGAAGTCGCATTTTTTGCCCAGAGAATCGGAACGTGCGTTTCGGGCCGGGAGAACGTGATGGCTGGCACCGTTTACATCGGTGATGTCTCTTTCCCCCGTGTGTTCGGGGCACAGTAGAACTGCAACGTCAGACCGCGTCTGACGGCATGAATGACGGGATGGCTCAGTCGGCGCTATCCACACGGCGGTTGGTTGTCTGACTCGCCTTGCGAGTTGTAGATGTAGTTTGTTTGCATCGGATCCCGCATGACCTCTGGCTACGATATATACGAAGACCGTGGTGTCTCACGCGGGAATGTAAGCAACTGCCCCTTGGTGAGAAAGTGGTCCGATTGGTTGTGGCCTTTCGGCCAGTGGGAAAAGTCTGTCTGACGACGCGTAGATTTGCTGGTTTACTAAAAGGGGATGGACTGACAAGTGACTTTGAGTGAAAATGAAACAAGCGGCTTAGTTTGTGCTGGAGTTCGAGAGCTAGTGTTCCGGAATCCAGTCAGGTCATGGGATTCCGAGGGATCCCCGTAAAGTGGACGTAATCCCACGATCCAGTCAACTCCAGCCTATGAATCAGCTAATACCCGAGCACCTCTTTCCCAACCCCGTACGGTGATGATACCTTTTTAACAGTATTGTTTCGCTTATGTATTTACATTCGCTAAAAATATTAGATAGCTTATTGAAAAGTAACTCCCAAGTCCAGCTGAGTTAGTCGTCGACGGCGAAAGGCTGCTACTTCGTCTTCGACAAGACTACCCAGCTTTCCAGAGTAAAGTTTGTCACCCCATCCGGACTTGGCAAGCCGGACGGCTGCACGGTGACCAGCAAAGAACCCGTACTCCAGGGATCCTATGTTCATTCATCACCGCTGCCCGTTTCGATCAGGATGAGCATTGTACCAGCGTGCGGTCATGAGCCATTACTGCATGATGTACGTTGATGATCCCATAACAGCAGACGCACTGCCGTGCCAAGATTTTTCACTGCAGCAGAGGGACTGGATGCCCATCGGGGCTGATTACCCCCCCGCTGTCGAAGCAAATACCCAACACAATTATTAGCCAACCCAATACTTAACTAATTCGTTTATCAGTCTATTAATTAGTCAATCAGTTTGTTGATTTCTTCCCCAGGAAAATTGTAATCTACTGAAAGATTCGTTGGTGCTAAAGACCAACGTGTCACCTAATAAGAGTGCCAGGGACATACAATGAAGGGCATTCCAGCCAAGCACGTCCCTGAAGATATTTAGCCAGTTGTTACTCCCACATATACTTGTTAATTAGTGATTGATTGCTTCTTCGGCGCGCTAGAACTAATACCGTATTGTTTTCCATGAACCTGGTAATAAAATCGGTTCTCCCCTGTTGGAAAATTTCGATGATGGAAAGATGACGGAAAAGGCTCATACAAGCGTAACCGTAATATGGGACATCCTATACAAGCGAATCGGCGGATCCAGTGTAGTGGATTACGGCGGAACGATACAGGTAGGCGGAACCATACAAGCGTGTCGTATTATGGGACATCCTATACCAGCGTAGTGGAATATGGCGGAACTGTGTGGAACCATACATGCATAACGTAATATGGGACAACCTATACCAGCGAAAAGGCGATACCAGCAAGGTGGAGCCATATGGCTCCAACATGCTGGTTTCGCCTTTTCACTGTTGTACAGGGCGATTTAGTTTTAAGCTTTACATATATGTTTAGAAAGGTCGTGAAAACTAAATTAATGCGGTTTGTGCAGGCGAGTTATATGGCCAGGCGTACGTAGTATAGGGACCTAATCGTAACGATCAGTCAGATAATTAAATACAATTTGTTAATTAACTTTTCAATTAGTGAAAATGAAAATATGGTTTCAATTAAAAACTTGCTGAGTCATTGAAAACCACAAAATCAACTCTTTTTAGAACGATATAATGCAGGGGTAGCCTTTTACGCGTTCTGTAAAAACGCTTTATTTGGACGAGTTTCTAGGTTTCAGTTTCTTATCAGAGCTCATCTCTGCGCCCAAGGTCCTGTTCCCCCTTAGACACGAAACGCACGTGCGCCTTGCTTCCCTCCATCCTACGAGGGAGGCGAGGGGGCGGCTTCGCACTGCGGCCACCGGGCAGCAGGACCACAGGTGCAAAGATGCGCTCTGGTAAGAAACCAAAGTCTGGAAACGCGTACAAATTGACCATTTTTTTAGAACGCCATAAAATGCTGCTCTTGTTTTATATCTTCACAAAGAAAGTTGATTTAGTGTGTTTTGATGATGCTTAGCAAGTTTCTAATTGGAACCATGGGTCTATTTTCACTGATTAAAAATTTCAGGAACATGCTATACTTAGAGAGAGGCTGAAGCGGTTTTGTATTTGAGAAAACACTTTTAAATCTTCTTCATATGACCTCCAGAATCTCAAATATGCAAATTATTTGGTAATTTTATGAATCGAGGCTGCATAGAGTCATTTTTAAAGCGCTGTGAAAGCACTTCCCTGGAGAGCGACGTCACAAAAGTGGCTTTCGAAATCTTTGCTCATGCATCTTCAGCACCTATCAAAGCTATGCACGCACGTGCTATTTTTTAAAAGGGCAGAAAAATGTGTCACGACTGGTGCCAATGCGGGAGAATATACCTAGAAAGCTTGAGATTGGACGCGCGGCCCTTAAGCGACACGCTTGGCGGCCGAAAGGTCTTCTTACGATGTCACTATTGGTAGGATGTTCTTTTGTGTTTTCTCACGTTTAGTTATATCTTTGTGGAAAACGAACGGGATATTCAGATTCGCGGGATAAAAATATGCTAGGATGAACCTCCATCTAGTTTTCTGAAAGAAGACTGGCACATCTCTGTAATAAGCTGACTGATCATTACAAATTAGCCTTTTATACTATGCCGCCCTGGCCTTATAACTCACGTGCGCAGACCGCGTAAATGTAGCTTTTACGGCTTTTTTAAAAACAAAATTTGTAAAACATACAAAAAAACACTCTAGAATGTCCCCCGATACGATACGATTGTATGGTTCCTTTCCCGCTTGCATTGTTCAAGAAAGACCTGTGGACATCCAGCGTTTCATTGGAATGCAGGATGTCAGCGAGTCTACATTAGTGAGTGGTTTCAAACAAGCATGATGTTTGCACACCGGTAAGCTCTTATCCGAGGCTCACCAGGAGCACTAAGAGCAGAGGCAAAATGTCGTGACGTGGTAAATTTGGTTGCAGGTATTTATTTTTAGAAGAATTGCAAGCAGCAAAGCTTAACTTTGCTAAAAAGAAGATAATTAAAAATTCAATACTGAACAATGGTGTCCCTTGAGCTGTCAGACCAAACTCCCACTCTTGCCACTCAGGAGTTCCTAACTTGTGCGTAGAGGATCAGCACAACCCAGATTTGTGCTGCAAGCGCACCTGCAATATAAAAGTTGAATAAACATGAGATGAAATATGAGACGTTTACAATTCTCTGTAATGTGAAATTAGAGCACAGATCTTGAAGAGGAGGATGGGAGGGTATGACCCCCCACCCCCTAACCCCTAACCCTCCTACTCTTCTGCTCCCTCCCATTTAGCGAAAAATTTCCCTGAATTTAGCGGGAAAATTTGCCCACTAAATTTAGCGGGTTAAGTTTTCCACAAAATTTAGAGCGGAAATTGATGTCACATGACCTCAACACAAATGCAGTTTTCCCACTAAAAGTAGCGGGGAAAATGACGTTGCATGACCGTGTCATGTCATCCATAAAAAATTCAGTTTCTCAGCTAGACTTAGCGGAAATATTAACGTCACATGACCGCAACATTAATTCAATTTCCTGCCAAGTTTAGTTGGGCGGTTACGCCGAGGGCGACGCCGCGAAACGCGGAAACAGGTGCTAAGAGCTGCGCTAAAAAAACTAAATGCAACAGGTGAAATAAGATGAAAATTAGAG